TAAATAACCTGGTGACCTGGTGACCTGGTGACACCTTCAGTTCTTCAAAAATAATTCATAACTGCCTTCCTCCTGTGTTGTTGTCAAAATGTCATGTTGTCACTTTTTTCAGAGAAGTTAAATAACCTGGTGACCTGGTGACCTGGTGACACCTTCAGTTCTTCAAAAATAATTCATAACTGCCTTCCTCCTGTGTTGTTGTCTAAATGTCATGTTGTCACATTTTTTCAGAGAAGTTAAATGACCTGGTAGCACATGGTAACATGGTAGCACCTTCAGTTCTTCAAAATAATTCATAACTGCCTTCCTCCTGTGTTGTTGTCAAAATGTCATGTTGTCACACTTTTTCAGAGAAGTTCATTAACCTGGTAGCACATGGTAACATGGTAGCACCTTCAGTTCTTCAAAAATAATTAATTATTGAATAACCTGAAAACATTAACGTAAACATTATTTTTGGGTCATTTACACTCATTACGATGAAATCTTGACAAATCATTTACGATAAAATCACGACAAAACATATACGATGAAGTTTATTTCCTGGACTGTTGTCTAAATGTCATGTTGTCAGTAATTTTAAGAGAAGTTAATTAACCGAGTGACACATGGTGACATGGTGACGTAGTGACACCTAAAAACCATCTACCCTAAACATTATTTTTGCTGAATTCAGCAACAAAATGAACGAGGTCAGGATGTATGCAAATACCTTTGAATTCATTCATAACGCCTTAGTAAGCTCATAAAATGCTTGTTTTGCATCACATTTTGACGAAGTGAAGATCTTCACTTCGTCAAAAATGTTTTGCATTCTCTACTGTATCTTCGAGTTCTTCTTCATCTAACTTCTCATGAACTTTCTTGTCTATGGAGTCCATAATATATTTGACATAAAATGCATACTTTACAGAGCACCATTCAGCAACAAAATGAACGAGGTCAGGATGTATGCAAATACCTTTGAATTCATTCATAAATGCCTTAGTAAGATCATAAAATGTTTGTTTTGAGGTCGAGCCACTTTTGGCTTGACCGTATTCGTTCATCCAAAACTCAAGAATTTTCCTGTGTGAATTTTGTATAAAAAGCAACCGTCTGAATTCCGGCGGTTGTTATATTCTTCACAAAATGCCTTATAATACTCTTCGTTCTACAAAGCAAGCATATCATTGGTTTGAAAACCAACAGACAAAAGAACTTTTAGAAGAATTTCCTCATATGATTGCTTCCCTCGGAAAACCGAGAGAAGAGATTCCGTATGAAAATTCAACAGGTTAGTTATCGGGTTAGAAAACGTGTTAGATCTAACATTCTAACATAAACATTATTTTGGGTCATTTACGCTCATTATGATGAAGAAGTCATGACAAAGCATATACGATGAAACCTTGACAAAGCATAAACGATGAAGAAATCATGACAAAACATTTACGATGAAGAAGTTTCGACAAAACATATACGCTCATTACGATGAATGATCATGACAAAACATGTACACTCATTACGATGAAGAAGTTTCGACAAATCATTTACGTTCATGTTTGACAAAACATGTACGCTCATTACGATGAAGAAATCATGACAAAACATATACGTTCATGTTTGACAAAACATGTACACTCATTACGATGAAGAAATCATGACAAAACATGTACGCTCATTACGATGAAGAAATCATGAAAATTCATGAGGTGAGAAAAGAGGTGAGAAAAGAGGTGAGATCTAACATTCTAACATAAACATTATTTTTGGATCATTTACGTTCATTACGATGAAGAAATCATGACAAAGCATATACGCTCATTACGATGAATGATCATGACAAAACATATACGTTCATTACGATGAAGAAGTTTCGACAAATCATTTACGTTCATGTTTGACAAAGCATATACGCTCATTACGATGAAGAAGTTTCGACAAAACATGTACGTTCATTACGATGAAGAAATCATGACAAAGCATAAACGATGAAACCTTGACAAAACATGTACGCTCATTTCGATGAAGAAATCATGAAAATTCATGAGGTGAGAAAACATGTTAGAAAAGGTGTTAGATCTAACATTCTAACATAAACATTATTTTTGGATCATTTACGTTCATTACGATGAAGAAATCATGACAAAGCATATACGCTCATTACGATGAAGAAGTTTCGACAAAGCATATACGCTCATGTTTGACAAAGCATAAACGATGAAACCTTGACAAAACATTTACGCTCATTACGATGAAGAAATCATGACAAATCATAAACGATGAATGATCATGACAAAACATATATGTTTAGTTTCGACAAAACATGTACGATGAAGTTTCGACAAAGCATAAACGTTCATGTTTGACAAAGCATAAACGATGAAACCTTGACAAAACATTTACGCTCATTACGATGAAGAAATCATGACAAAACATGTACGAAGAAGTTTTGACAAAACATGTACGATGAAGAAATCATGACAAAACATAAACGATGAATGATCATGACAAAACATGTACGAAGAAGTTTTGACAAAGCATAAACGATGAATGATCATGACAAAACATATACGTTCATGTTTGACAAATCATTTACGTTCATGTTTGACAAAGCATATACGATGAAGAAATCATGACAAAACATGTACGCTCATTACGATGAAGAAATCATGAAAATTCATGAGGTGAGAAAACATGTTAGAAAAGGTGTTAGATCTAACATTCTAACATAAACATTATTTTTGGATCATTTACGCTCATTACGATGAAGAAGTCATGACAAAGCATATACGCTCATTACGATGAAGAAGTCATGACAAAACATGTACGAAGAAGTTTTGACAAAACATATACGATGAAGTTTCGACAAAACATGTACGATGAAGTTTTGACAAAGCATATACGAAGAAGAAGTCATGACAAAGCATATACGAAGAAGAAGTCATGACAAAACATGTACGAAGAAGTTTCGACAAAACATTTACGTTATACAGTAATGTTAGTCATGAATGTTTGTCCTACGTGTTGGCGTTAGTGTTGAAAAATTCATGGAGTACATGGGAAGCAATATAACATACAACAAAGACATATACAGTGAGTTTAAGTACTACTGTGAACAGCATGAGATTGAAGTAATGAGTAAAGGAGACTTTGAAACGCTTATGAAAGACAGTAAGGAGGTCATACATGCAATGATGAAATAGTTCATGAGAACAGTAAGGAGGTCATACATGAGAACAATGATGAAATAGTTCATGATGTCGTTCGTGAAGAAGCCATTGCAACAAAGAATGAGATAAAGGATTTCATAGAACTTAACAAGGAGGAGTTTAAAGAAGGCTATGAAGTGAAAAGATGTGAAGAAGATTTCTTGGCGTATTTGAAGAAAAAGAGACTAAAGCCAATGGCTCAAAATAAGTTTCAATCGATGTTTGAAAAGAAACGTTTGAGCTATGGTGGTGTAAGAAGCACATATTACTTTGTTAAGAAGTGAGGACATTTATTTTTGTTGTTAGTGTTGGAGTTTGTGTTTGTTGTTAGTGTTTGTCATTTGTGCTGAGGTTAGTACTTGATGTTAGTGTTGGAGTTTGTGTTTGTTGTTAGTGAGAGAATACATTAAATCAGGAACTATTCCAGAAGGTTTTTACATTCATACTATGAAGGATGGTAGAGTTCAGTTTAGAAAGATAAAGCAACCATTAGATAAAGAAAGAATTTTGAGAAAGATTAAACTTCATGAGGACAACATTGCTGAACTTAAGAAGAAGTTAGAAGAGTTGGAGAAAGGAAGAGAGTTATAAAGCAATGAGAACGTTTATGTTATGAGAAATTTTTAACGTTAGTTTTATTTTTACTGAAAATTTTTATTTGGATGTAATGACGAAAACTATTGAGATAACAAACTACAACGGTCATGAGTTCAAGAACTTGTTCTTCGTTCCGCGTGAAAATACATTCTATCAGATACGAGGGAGAAAGGGTAAAGTTAGTTTAAGCATTTATGATAGCAAACATAATGGAAGATATATACAAGCAGTAGATACAAACGGTAAGCGTGTTTCATTACATTTGTCAAAACTTACATACATTTATTTTGACAGCGACTTTGACTCAGACGATTGGAGCGACAGTAGTGAGTCAGAAGATTATGAGCTGTTATGTGAAGCACAGCAATGGGAGGAGTTGCAATACTTTTGTAAGTGAGAACGTTAGTGTGAACGTTAGTGTGTACGTTAGTGAGAACGTTAGTGAGAACGTTTATTTTTTCATGCACGTGCATTGTGTCGTGGGGAGTTGCCATGGACAATGACCTGCGCACAATATATAACGTACAGAGAGGTGAGATGAGGTGGTTTATGTGATAAATACTTTACGTGGCAGAAATAGTTTAAGGTTATTAGAAATATTGCATCTGTGATGTAAAATATACGTTAGTGGTTTTGTAAAGTGTCAGATTGACATATCTTCGGTAAGATGGCGCGCAGTGCCACAGTACTGAAGATATGTATACTAACTATATCACATCTTATCCCGATGTAATGGCGTAAGACAGAACAGCTTTGGGTGCTGTGCAAAGAATTCTTTCTGCAAATATTGATTCAGCTTATTACAATTGTAAAACTTGAAAAATGGTTAGTGGCATTATGTCACAAAACCATTCGGCAATAGATTATCAGTCTGTGTTTTTGGTCGATCATAAAAATTTCAAGGTTATATTTTGAGATATTGATTTCCGAAAAGATTCATTCATGAATCTGAAAGAGATATTTCTGAGCGCGGAAAATTTTCTCTATTCTCAGAAAATTTTGCGGTTGACAAAATCCATGCACTCAAAATTTTATTTATAATTTCAAAATCAATTCTCAATTTTATCTTTAAAATATTCATAAGTGCAATACAGTTAATGTATTTTAAGATTTCGAGTGGAACTCAAAATTGTAAATTAAAAGTGCCAACGCGATTATATTTCTCTCAAATATATTGTTCAGTGCTAAATTCCTCCATCTTTGCTTTTTATGAACGACTTTATCTATAGCAAAGTTACAGGAATTTGTTCTCGCATATCAGTTCTTCAACAGCATGAGATGACGACATTTGTACACTGTTCAAAATTTAACTCTCTCATACAAGCATTTAAAGATTTAATTCCTTATTTAGAAAAATTTATTCAAGAAAACACAAACACGTTCAATGGATCCACAATGAAGCATTTTAGCAATATAGAAAATGTTGTCGATGAACTTATTCAGCTTACTATTCAATCATCCCACGATTCTTTCGTCCGATTTGTATTAGCGAGCTCTACATTAGAAGTATTCGACCAATTCTTCTCAATACGAGATACGACAATCAAATCTTTAAAAGCTTTAGGGATGAATCAAGCAGCTTCAATTTTCGAGCTTACTCCAGACAGGCTCATTTCTCAAGATCAAGTTGATCTCAAACACATTGCTACAATCATACAGCAAATCGAGACAGACTACGATTTAAACCAAAGACAAGATATCTCTGATGCAATTAAAGCACGATATATATCATTGCAACGCAAAAATATACGAACAGCAGAAACAGCCAATAATTTTGTAAACATTCCTGCACTTCCTGATTCAGTCGATCTTGTAATAAAACACGAACAAATTCAATACGAAAAAGAAATCGGTCATGGCTACAGCGGACGAGTATACGAAGGATATATCGTAGGACGTCCGGAAAAGGTCGCTATAAAGGTCTTAAATGGCTCAGATACAAACGGAGCAATGAGAAGGTCTTTACGCACAGAAATTACCACATTAAGTACATTATCACATCCATCAATACTTAAACTACTCGGATATACACTCAAATCTCCTTTCTGTCTCATTATCGAATTATTACAAAACGGATCTTTGGCCGATTTCCTTAAAAACAGGCCAAATGAGCTTACACCGACAGACAAAACCCTTATTACTATCGACGTCGCACGCGGCATGCATTATATCCACGAAAAAATGTTAATTCACCGCGATTTGAAAAGTTTCAATATTCTTTTAGATTCTAACAAAAGGGCCAGGATATGCGACTTTGGCTTTGTTAGAGTTGATTCTTTCGAACCTTCTACCGGAATGATCGGTACACCACAGTGGATGGCCCCAGAAGTGATGATGTGCTCACCAATGTATGATAACAAAGTCGATGTTTATTCGTTCGGAATTGTTTTGTGGGAAATGCTGACAAATCAACCTCCATATGCAGGAATTCCCGTACAAAGGCTGCCAACATTGATTGTGAAGAACGAATACAGACCAGAGATACCAGAAGGAACTCCTCCAGCTCTTGCAGGCCTAATAAAAGATTGTTGGAGCTCAGATCCAACGAAAAGACCTTCTTTTGCTGAGATATTGACCAAGTTATATGACCCAGCATTCCATTACCCGGGTACTGATGAAGAAAAACTCTGGTCTTTGACTTCAAAAGATTGTAATTTCGTTACACACTCATTATCCATCTCAAAACTTGCTGTCAACCTTCATAAAATAGATGATGAAACAGAGGCACAGCAATCTTTGGTGGAATTAAAAGAATTATTAAAGGAAGATATTTCTCCAACATACAAAGCGATATGGCGTGTTGAGAAAATGGCTTCTGTTGCATTGAGAATCATAACTTCCTGTCCGGATATATTAGTTGAATATGGAACTTTTCTGAAATCTTTGATTTCGTATATGGCCAACGTTCCATCGAACTGTCTTCATCTTCTCCTTTGTCTGATACATGAGTACTTGCTTTCCGATACAGAAAAAACGAAAGTTGAGTACCAGGAATCAGGAGCATCGAAATTCATCGAAGAGATGATGAATAACGAGCAGGACAGTGTTGCTTCAGAGGCTTTATCAATATTTTCTATGCAGTTAACTGAAGATTCCATCAACAAAGAGTTATTTATGAAGGTAACTTCATTTTGTAAGGGAATGAAGGCTCCTCTCAACATCAGAGAAAAAGCTGTTGATACAATCATCATGATGTACGAGAAGAAACCTGATTTTGCGATCAACAGTCCGAACTTCTTATTCCATCTCCTCAGTTTCGGCATATTTACACCTAAAGTACTCGATGTAGCACTCAAATTAAGCGAACAAGTCAAGAGTTGCGTACCAACTTCCACAATTACTCAACTTTTGATTGCATACGACAATTCTCAACGGAATTCCAATCTAACGGTGATCACTAAATGTATCACTAAGCTTCTTACGCGATTTGAAATACTCAGAAGTACAATTTGTTTAGATTCTTTGCTTAGATTATCAGAAGATTTTCCATTGACAGCTCCTTTCTTCTCAGAGTTTGCCCAGTACTCGAAAGAGACAGGAGAATCCCTCTTCACTCGCGATATCATCACTGCTCTCTTCCAATCCGTAAAAACTAATCCGAAATGCATCGACGCGATCACGAGATTTGCGGCCACTACTCCACAGTTGGTCACTTCACATCTACCTGTAGATTCAAAGGACACAAGTAGAGTTCTCAAATTGTACACACAGATTCCAGAAGCTTGTACAAATCAGAAACAGGCGTACGAAGCAATTAAAGACTCCATTGGAGGCCCTGATGAAGCCATTGCATGTACATTGTTAAGAAGTTTCGAACTTTCTGATCATTTGATAAGAGAAACAAATTTACACAATACTATTATACAAAGAGTTGTTTCTATACCATTAGATGAGAGTGGTGTCCAGAAACTAGGCGAAAACGTTCTTCCTGCCTTGTTGGAGATGGTTTGTTGCCTCAAAACTAATTTCAATGAATACAGTGAATGTGTTCCAGTTTTGAAGCATCTGATGAAAGGAAACTATAAATGTGCTGGTCTTGCTACAGAAGTAATCAGAACTTTCCAGATTTACAGCCAAAGTGGCGCAATGAGTGCTTCTTTGTTCTCTAAGAACGCAAAAAGACACTCTTCGACACAACCAACACCTGTAATGGTTAGATCTCTTTCAGTAAGCGGTCCTAGAAGAAGAAGTCAAGATGATCCACTTACAGATACTTGATTTATGCGATTTTTAATATTATTTGTTGTTATTGATTTTATTTTTATTATATATTATTTAATACCATGTAATTTTATTATTATATTATTTGATATTTTTGTAAAATATTGAATTATTTGTTTTTTGCTTTTATAAACGTTTATTTTATAAAAATTGCTTTATACTTTGTTGCTTCTTTGATGTTGATGACTAAATTCAATTTCATAAAATTGCTTGTTCTTCAATGAAATACAATTTTAACAAGGTGGCATTTTAACATAGCAGTTTGTGGTAATAAACATGCATCCTAATGCATTTTTAATGTTTGACTTCAATAAAAATAGGGATTAAAAATAGTCCAACCATGAACGAGTTTCTATGTGACTGTTTCAGCACCAAATGGATTTGGATCCTTGGGTATAGTAAATTATACAATAACACAACAAATTGTTTTAAACCGTAATATAATGATCTATATGTACAAAATTTAAAGCTGCCGCAATATTAGATTAATATTGAAATTGTCAACATAAAAATTCTAATCGACAATCTTTATTGTTTTTAACTAGCAGACCATTCAGAAGGATCCCACACTATAGAATAAAAGCTCTAACCAATTAACTTATGCCCTTACCAATTCAATTTTGAACAACAACATCCATATTTTCAACAAAAAGAAACAGATTTTTAAGATATATTCTAAGAAAAAACGAAAAATCAATAACGAATTTTAATTTTTTACAAGGAAAATAACATAAATTATATAAATAATATTACTGTATAAGGTTATAACTATGAACATCTCCAGAGTGTCCGAAGAAAAAGACAACAGGGTATTCTTCACTCATCACGAAAGTACTTCCTGGTTCTACAGGTGATTGCAGTTCATGTGTTACAGACAAATCATCTCTGCAAACGAAAGGTCTCAAATTTGGTGGAGACAAAACGAAGAAAGGATCTTTTTTGTGGACAGAAAACTGTGCAATTCCTGGTGTATATTTATTTCCGCAAGTATTCATTACATTTGTTTTTGCGTCATACACCAATGTTCTTCCGTTTTCGCATGCGCAGTAAATCAATCCTGAATTAGATCCAGTGATTGAAACAATTTTACTGTCCAAATTCATTTGCAACTGCTTCTCAACACCTTGTTTTGTATCAAATGCTCTGACACTTCCGTTTTCGAATCCAACAATTACTAATCCTTCCAAAGTTGCATGCGAATACATTGCAGAAACCTTTGCCTTGCAATCCATGAAAGAATACTCTCCAAGCAACAAACCAATTGATGCATCCCATGCAGAGATTCTTCCATTGCCTCTGACAATGAAAAGATACTTTCCTTTGCTGTGAATAAATCCGGTGTCTTTAGCTCTTGATGGTTCAACACACCATTGCTGAGTAATTATTCCACTGTGTGCATCAATGATTGAGCAAACTCCTTCATCAGATAATGTTGCAACATTTGTTGAAGATCTGATGAAAATTGCACAGCAACTCACAACATTTCCAACATTGAAATCTCTATGAGATTGAAGTGTTTCATCATATATTCTGAACACTTCGTCTTGGCAAGAAACAGCAATAGATAAACCACCAGGAACAACAGTAGAACATCTTGCAGGAGAAGGTAAATTACATTCAGCTCTTAACTGTAAATGTGCTGAATTTAAATCGAAATTGCCGTAATCTCTCGTGTATCTTCTTGTTCTCGTGAAAGAACCACTTCTATTTCTTGGTTCTGTGAACAATGCTGATGTACAAACTTGCATCAAATGGCTTGATATCTGTGGAATGTCTTCTTCATTTTCTTCATCTTCGTAATCTTGTTTTCCATCAAGCATCTTCAAAGTGTTTTGGTAAAGAATCTGTCCTCTTTGAGAGATCTTTGGTAAGGCGTCTTTTGATAGTTTCTGGATGATAACAACCAACAAATTGCTTGCGATCTTTTGGAAGTCATCTGATTTTGCAATTTCATCGATTTCTTTTGCCAAAATAGTGAATTTATGGATTGGCAAAATTGTTTTGTTCTTTGACAAGAAAGATGAAATCAAATTCTTGTATGTATCAAATTTGGTGCTACATAATTGTTGATCATAAAATCTTACAATAGATTTATGATTAAACTCCAAATATTTGTAGACAAACTCCAACAAAGCGAATCTTACATGCATGGAAAGATCGCTGATTGTTGTACTTACATGTAGCAACAAAACAGAATTAGTGAATTCATCATTCTGTTGCAAGAAAGATGACAAAGCCAAAACACTTGATGCTCTAACTTCGTAAGCATCGTGATGCAAAGCAGCTGCGATTTGTAACTGCAAAGGAAAGTCTTGTATCAAAGAAGACTCAATTGGAGAATCAGCGAAAGAAACAGCAATGAGAATCAATAACCATGTCAATAAGAATGGACCACTCTTCTTCATCGCGTTGAATAAATTGGTCATGAATGGTTTCGTGCAAATGATTTGTCTGACACTTTTAACTCTGTCTAAAGAGATAACTAAGAAAGCGCAGATCAACCCTCTTGTTTCTTCTTTGATTTCATCATTAAATAAGTTACTTGTCAGTTTGGAAAAGTCACTTAATGGTGAAATTTCTGTGACTAACTTGGAATCTTCGTTTGCTAGTAAAAGTAACAAAAATACAATGTGATGGGCTTCTGGACCGAATTCTGTCAGTCTCTGAGCACTTTGTCCGTACAAAAATGGTGTAACTAATCGAGAAGCGTACTCTGTACCACATGAAGCGTATTTAGCAAGCAAACTGAACGCATGAGAACATGATTGATCGGAAAATGGGGCGTGGCAAGCAACTGTCAACAGAGGAAGTGTTGCTTCGTCCTCTCTGTTGCTCTTAAGAAGACTTTGGAGCGATGTCAAACAGCTGGAAAAGAAATCTGTTGAAAGAGGAGGACGTGGAGTCTGTGTAGAAGTGATCCAGAGGTCTGCGGCTGATGTCCATTGCTTCCACATTGGATTGCGGTTCATGACAGGAAGCTGTGGATGGATTTGCGGGTGGACATTGAAATCATGTAATAAATATCGGGCAAGAACGAAGTTTCTGAAGAAAAGAGAGGTGATTTTTTCTTTTCTGAATAATTTGGTGAACATATTTGGTGGTAATGTCTGTGCAGCTATTGCATCAATGGTGGCAGACAAAATTGAAGACAATTGTGCATGGTCATGTGATTCAAATGTAAATATATTCTTAATATATGATAGTAATTCATCTGGATTTGGAAAAGAGAGGCTGTAGTAGTGAATAATATGAAATAAAATTGCAGTTGGTACTGGTGACATGAGAATTGATGAAAAAAGATCGCGGGGAAGGCGAGTATCAATGGGAAGCTCTTCGCCTACATCAGTTGCACACATGCAGTAGTAATCTGTCCAGTCAACTTGTCGAATATAAGCTGTTGTCTGTACAATTGGCGATGTTGGTACCGACATGTATTTTTCTTGATTCTTCTTCGATATTTTCTGGAAGGTTGGAAGAACTGCCGCTGCATTATCGCAATCAAAAATGTACCATGATGGAGGTTTTAAGCCAGAAAAGATCGTTTTAAGTGTAACAGGCGATGGTTGAAATGTTAATGGATCTGATGCGTAAATATGTTCAGCAGTTATTGTTGGATATCCAAATCCGACATATTGAAAGATAATTCTGCCTGTTGGTATATCACGCCTAATTTGAGATATTTGCGCGAGTTTTTCTGATGAAGGAGGGCAATTTGCGGCAAATCTGATTTGATTTCTTAAATTTTGATATGCAGACTTATAAACTGAGTATAATGATTTAGGATCGATAGATGATGTTGAAAGAGACCAAGCGAAAATAGGAGGACGTGAATTTATGTAGTCTGATTGTAGAAGCTTATATTGTATAGGACGAGTCATGCTAAATATAACGCATTCAATTGGATCTGGATCAGGGTCTATTAATTCCTTTTCTTTTCGTAAAGTTGCGATTTTATCTAATGAATTAATAAAAGTAAAAACATTTTGAAGATTATTACCACCAAAATATGGATCAATCATTTCGAGTTGTTTCTCAATTGGTTGTCGTAATCCGTTTTGTGAGCTAAATAACGATGAAGATTTGGCATTCAGAAGAGAATTTCCTTGTAATTTCATATCTTCGGATGTTTCACCTTCGGAATAGTCATAATCTGATTGCTCGTTGAATTTCATGTTCTCAGTCCTATGCATTTTTATGAAATTGAAATACGGTTTTTTTTTCACAAGAATTTCTCCAACATCCGTGAATATATATCTTTAGAAAGTCATATCATATTACTAGATAATTTTTTGAGCAAGAGGCTAAATTGGGACATTTCGAACTTTCAATAGAGCTAGCAAAAAATATCATCTATACCAATAGGAGTTAATCCAACAACTCTCATTCCTTCTTGATGTATTCCTATTCTGTTGATTCACATCATCTATTTGACAATATTAATTTTTAAATTCTTATATTACTCAGCAGCTCGTGCTCGGATCATGCTATAATAACAAAAATTTTCTAAGCTAAACTGATACACATAAAATCATTATTCTATATTAAAAACTTCTCTTTCGATAATGCATGATACCAAATATTGACTCAACAAACATAATTATGCTTTGACAATCTCTAAGATTGTATAGTCAATGATATTGTTCTGAATTTCTAATTGTTAATTTTTGATATGATAAATTGTACAGGAGAGTTTGAATATTAATGAAATTTTATAGAGCTTTAAGACATGTTGTGTTAGTTTTCTTTCAGATGATATCATATTGCATTAATGATTCCAAACAAAGAATCCATTATAAACCAAGAGACGAATTCTTGCCAATTAGACGTTGAAACTAAAAATGAAACGAACTTCACAACACATAAACTTGTATTTGCTCAGAATTCGAACTTCCTTAATTTGGTAATTCAAACAATTAATGACACAGCTAATATAACTATATTAAATGACATAGACGATTCACTTAATGAAGCATCCGAGCAACAGAATAACGAATTTTCGCTCATTTTCCCGTATCAAGATTATTTTCGTTTTCTTTTAGAGATAGATGACCAATCACAGCTTTTAATAGGACTCAATTTCTTTGCTAATGTAATAACGCACAACTCAATATCTTTTCAACAGTTTTTAAAGGAAAATTTAGAGAATTTTTTGAACTTTCTATTAACTCAACTTAATTCAGAGGAAGAACCAATAATAATAGTTATAATCCATGTGATTGCTATTCTTTCATATCAAAGTTCAGATTATTTAAAATTTTTTATAGAACATGGTGTTCTTTCATTTATTCCACAAATACCATTTAACTCCGATGTTCTTTCAATAATTTCCTATATGTATTCACGTGGATTTGCACCAGCTTCAGCAGTCCTTCCATTTTTTGAATATGGGATTGAGTCTCAAAATCCAAATAATATTGAGTGCTCATTGGCATATCTAACAAAAATATGTCTAAGAGAATCTGAAGAGGATTGCACAAATGCACTTTCAATAATATTGAAAAATATTTCTATAATATTGTCGTTTGGATTAGATCAAAATGAAATAATTTCTTCATTTTATGCGCTTATATCAATAGTTGATGGCGATTTTACTTCTTGCTTAGAACTTATTTATAATCATGCAATTAATTTAATTGATGCTTTAATCAAGATGAACAGTAACGATATTACAGAGTATTCAGATGTAATTAAATCAATTGCACAGTTTTTCTCAAAATTCAAAGATAAAGTTACAATTTCAAATGAGATTTGCGATTTCATGTATAATGCTTCTAATGTACTTCCATTTGAAGCATCAAAGTCTTGCATTTCATGCTATTTTGATTGTATTAATCGAAATAGAGATTTTTCACCAGAAGTATTAGAAAGGGCGAAACACTATGCTGCTGATCCATCTGTTATGATACACAGCTGTAATTTTATTTACGATCTATACACAATCAACCCAAATAATCAGGAAATATTAAGCACATTAGAAGAACTATTAATTATTGTACAGGAATTTATTGATGATGAAAATCCAAAATTTGCAGAATTTGCGGAATTATTCTGCGAAAATGTTTCAAACATTCTAGACAATCATGAAAAATAGTTTCATTTGTTGTGTTTATTAAATATACCCATTGCATATGAATAAATATGTATGTATTAAACATTTTGTTTGAAATTTTCATGTAATAGTAGAGTTCAATCAAAATTCTCAGAGAAGAAATGCTATCAAGCATATGGAGGTTTATCTTATCTCATAAATCATGAATATATAGTAATGATTTACGATATTTATATTTAATTATCATCATTGACAGCCATTTCTATAAGGAATATAATCATTTCTAAGTAAGAGATTTGCGTTCTTGAACTACAGCCTATTACAAAATATAGGGTGTCCAAAGGTGCGTTTAGCACAGCGCTCTATATGAGACTATTAAAGGAGATATATGCTGATTATAAATATATAATAAAAAATATGAATATATGTATATGATGAGTATGTTGTATTTTGGCGCCATGCCGGGATATAAAATGAATTTTGAGACAAGAGGCGGTTTCGCGGGAAATTTTGGCGGGATTTTTTTCATTTTTTTAATGAATCATAAAGAAAACATCCTCGCTCTTGCAAAAAAATGCAAAGACTGTAAAAAAATCTACGAGACATTGGTAAAATGCTTCGGTATGGATGCTCCTAGCTATTCCACTGTAACGTATCATGTTAGGATGTATCACTTCATGAACAAAAAGGCGCCCATCATAAAAATTGACAAAAAATCGCCGGATCAAAGAAAAATCAAAGCAATTCTTCAAGCGCTAGATGAAGACCCAAGAGCATCACTCAGAAGGATAGAGGAGATGACAAAGATACCACGTACAACAGTCAGTTATTATCTGCACAATTATTTGAACTACAAACTAGCGTATACACGTTGGGTTCCGCACAACCTTAATTCAGTTCAAAAAAAATCTAGAGTCCAATCTTCGAAAGAGCTCCTCTCTATATTGGGTGCGTATCAATCCAAGAAGTTTCGCTTTTTAGTAACAGGGGACGAGTCTTGGTTTCAATATGCAACAGAAGCCAAAATCATGTGGATCCCGAAGGATGAAAATCCGCAAACATTCCCGAAGAAAAAAATTGACACACCAATGATGATGTTGTCGGTTTTTTGGGGCGTGAATGGCATCATCGCAATTGATATTCTTCAAAAACCTAATACGATGAATGCTCAGTATCTAATTGACAATGTTCTTACTCAAATTATCAATTCTGATGAGTTTGAGAAATCCAAACAACAAAAACAAAAGTTTGCAATTCATTTTGATAATTCAAGAGTTCACAAAAGTCATAAGGTAATGAATTACTTGGTGGAAAACAATGTCAAAGTTGTTCCAAACCCAATTTATTCACCTGATATTGCACCCTCTGACTTTTATTTATTCGGCACGCTAAAAAAGAGAGCTGAAGGACGCGAATTCGCGAGTCCAGATGATCTTGAAAATTTTGTAAGAGAGCAATTTGAGCAATTTTCTCATGATGATTTAAAGCGTGTCTTTCAAGCCTGGATCGATCGCTGCGAACGCGTGATTGAATCCAATGGTGATTATATTTAAATAAACTTTATATATATGTAACTTGTTTATTTCTATTCGCAGTATTCAGGTTTGTGCTAAACACACCTTTGGACACCCTATATTACCATTTTCCATTTCATTTTTCTATCCGAGAGAATATTTTTTTCAATAAAAATCAATGACTCAGCCTCTCAACGAATTTATCTGTGCAGTTCGAATTGCAGACAATATCGAACAAGAAAAATTCATTATCAGGACTGAGCAAGCTCAGATTCGTGCATATTTAAGGAAATGTACTCCTGAAATGAGACCAAGAATCGTCTCCAAAATTATTTTCCTTGATATGCTAGGAGAAAACCCTGTTTGGGGACAGATGGAAGCAATTACATTAATGACCGATGATCGCTATTCATATAAACGAGTAGGATATATTGGCGCAGCAATTTTATTAGACGAATCAGCTGAATTAACAATTCTTGTTACACAAACATTAACAAAAGACCTTCAAAGTACAGATCCAAATATTCAATGCCTTTCTCTCGCTTTTATTGCAAATCTTGGTTCTCAAGAATGCTGCAGATCAGTTACAACCCACGTACAAAAGCTTCTTAGCAGTATGAACCCAGCTGTACAGAAGGCTGCAGGAATGGCTGCTTGCAGGATTATTTCAAAGAATCCTGACTTGGCAGAATCCTTTAAGAATTCTGTTCAATCACTTCTGAACTCAAGTTACCATGGTGTCATTTTGGCAGGTATGAACTTGACAATTCAGATGATGAGAGCTGAACCAAAATTAGCTCAGATCTGGCATCAATTTACGATTCCATTCACAAAAATTTTGAAGAGCCTCGTTTATACTCGCCCATCTCCAGAATTTGCTTCTGGAATTTACAATGATCCATTCATGCAGATCAAAGCAATGCAAGCCCTTGCAATGCTCAAGAAGGAGAACGATGAACTCGAGACAATCCTTCAAAGCATCATTTCTACAACAGAATACAAACGAAATACAGGCAGAGCTCTTTTATATCAGGCTGTTGAGACAGTCTGCGCTATCACGAAGAAGGCTTCATTACGTGGTCATGGTTTCAACCAAATTGGCCGTCTTCTCTCCTTGAAAAATCCAAATATCTTATATTCCGCTTTGTCAGCTTACGCCAGAATTCTTACCAACGATCCACGTCTTATATCGAGAGGTGGCGCCGATTCCATGGCCATCCAACGTTATAAGAACGCGATCGTCAAATGCCTCGATAACAAAGATCCTTCAGTCCGCCGCAGAGCTCTTGACGTCATCTCCGCTCTTATTGATGAAAAGAACGTCGAGACTCTCATTCCAGAAATTCTTGGATTCGTCAAATTATCTGACAGCGAATTCCGAGCAGAATTAATTTACAAGATTTACACAGCCACTCAGAAATTCGCTCCCAACCTCGAGTGGAACTTCGATACAGTCCACAAGATCCTCATTGACTCCGGAAATTATGTCAACCCAGATATCATTTCATCTTTCTGCGAATTGATCACAAAGAACCCATCAATACACTCTCACGCTGTTTCTAAGCTTTCTGAGAGTATTTTCCATTACAACGAGAACCAAAGTTTGATTCAAGTTTCAGCTTTCGTTATTGGCGAATTTTCAGAAGATCCAAAGATTGTCGATGCATTAGTTAAAGTCCTTGCTCTTCCACAGACTGTCACGGAGACAAAACTTTACTTAATCACCGCGATTTCGAAATTAGCTGCCAGATTCAACGACGTCAAGCAGTTAGTCATAGAAACACTTACTGATACAGTTAAGAGCAACACATTGGAAGTACAACAGCGTTCTGGCGAAATGTTGAAGATGTTAAGTCTCGGACAAGTTGGCGAACAATTGTTAGCTCCGATTGCAATTGGCCACGATACAGAACTTGATGAGAAAGCAGTTGCAATCAAAGAGGGAACAGAGAACTCCAAAGCAGATGATGAAATGCTTCTCAACATTCTTGACACAGCTCCATCACAACAACAACAACAAAAGCCACAACAATCAGCTCTTGATCTTCTTGGACTTGGAACTCCATCAAATCCACCTCCAACTAATCCAACACCATCAAATCCATTAGATCTCCTTTCTCTTGCTCCTTCTCCATCTCCACAACCTCAAAAACCAGTTCAACAGCCAGTACAACAACCAACTGCTCCACAACAGCCAGTTCAACAACAAGCTCCACAACAACCTCCTCTTCAGTTAGTGATGCAGGATGTTGCAATCAGAGCATTGACACAAGTGAATAAGTCTGATCCGAGACAGATGATGCTTAAAGTCACTGCCATTTCTAAATCAGACAAGACATTCACTAACTTCCAGTTCCAATTCCAAGCATCACCTGCTTGCCAGATCAAAGTTCAAGCACCAGATGGAAACGTTGTTGGACCAAACAAACCTGTTTCAGTCATTGTATTCCACTTCAATCCACAGAATGTTCCATTCGCTCTAAATGTCAAGGTTTCATATTACTATGGTGCAATGCCAGTTACAGATGCTGGCGTTCTTAAATATTAAGTAAAAATTTATTGTCATATTATCGTATAAAAAAAGCTATCATTTATTTTTTTGAATAATAGATTCTCAAAAAGAGCGAGCTATTGATGCTTGGTATTTATACAAATATAAATAGGTATTTATATGCAATAATAACTGAAGTGAGACTCAATTATAATGCTGCACAAAATTATAACTACATTCCTAAAAGATCATTTCACAGTATAATTCTATACAACATTTATTCTTTCTTCAAGTCTTGTTTCGGCAGGTCAGGCAATAAAAATGTGAAATTAGGAACGATAGATGACTAAAAATACGACATTTGCATACTTTTACTAAGGTAAGAATAATGTTAGGAATTATAGTTCCATATGAACAAGAAGAGAGTCTGATCTCGAAAAGAAAAAGAAGGAAATCAATTTTATATTTTCTTAGAGGTTCTAATTCAATCCCGATATTATGTTGTCACGTTTTATATAAAATTTTTGAAGAATGACTTCATTTCAACCTCCTACAAACTTGCTTGAAATCACAACGAGACCATATTTGTATGGTCTATCGAAGAAAATCGGAAAGCAAGTAAAAACATTTAAAGATATTCCAGAATCAGAATTCAAATCTTGGAAAGACAAAGGTTTTCAGTGGATTTGGTTCATGGGCGTTTGGCAAGTTGGTGAATTCGGTCCACACCATGATAGGACTGACCCAGGACTTAAAGAAGCATTCAATCATCATCTTCCAGGATGGACTGATGAGGATGTGATTGGTTCACCATATTCTATTACTGAATACAAGCTTAATAAAGAGCTTGGAACAGAGGCTGATCTCAAATGGCTTCGTCAGAAACTTCATTCATATGGAATGAAATTAATGGTTGATTTTGTTCCAAACCATTCAGCATGCGATGCTCCAGAAATCAAAACCAAACCTAACTTTTACATTCGTTGCCCACAAGGTGAAAATCCAGATAAATCAAAATATTTAGAAAACGGAATTGCCTTTGGATGTGGAATGTGGTGTTCTCCATGGACAGATGTTGCACAATATAACTATGCTGACCTCAAATTCAGAAAACATCAGATCACAGTTCTCAAATATATTGCATCTGTAGCTGATGGATGCCGCTGTGATATGGCTCATCTCATAATTAACGATGAATTCTGCAACTACTGGCAAAAGGAGCTTGTTTCATGGGGATATGCAAAGCCATCTACGGAATTCTGGGAAGAAGCAATATCAGCTGTTAAGAAACAATATCCAGATTTCAAGTTTATGGCAGAAAGCTACGGAGATGTTCTCGGAAAACTTCATCATTATGGATTCGACTGGGCATATGACAAAGATCCTCTTGATAAGTTATATGCTCATGACATGGATGGCTACCAACACTATATTGCTAACCATTCTGCAGAATTCTTCTCAAAGACTGCTCATTTCACCGAAAATCACGATGAACCAAGAACAGTTGAGAAGTTTTGGGATTGGCATCCAGCAGCAATGTGTGCAGCTGCAACACTCCTTACATTGCCGGGTGTCAGATTCTTCTTCCAAGATCAATGGCTTGGTTACAAGAACAGAATTGCTGTCCATCTTCGCCGTGCAGTTGATGAAGAACCCAAACCACATATTGTGGAATTCTACAATGTTCTCTTTGAAGTTTTGAAGAAAGACGCTCTTCAAAATGGAAAATTCCAACAATTATGGGTTAATGGCTCATCAACGATCCCATGCTGGAAATGGTCAACTGACAAGCAGAATATAATTATTGCTGCTAATTTTGGCGAAAACAAGACAGGTGGCTACTGTGTTATCAATGATTTTCCTGGAAATGGCGAAGTAGAAATCAAGGAGCTTTTCTCTGGCGAAATCTACAAGAGAAATGCCGAAGAAATCAGATCAAGCGGTCTAATTATTGTATTGGAGCAATATCAGGTTCAAATCTTTGAGTATTAAATTATATATCGGCTTTTTAACATGATAATAAAATATATATTTTAACATGCAGAAAATATGTTTAAGATAGCTTTTCTTCAATACACTGTATTTATCAAAATATTATCAGGAATTATTATAACAATGCATAGGTTATGTGTAATGACCCATCATAACTTTTTATAAAATCCATGATATTTCATAAAATGGTCCATTATATTTAATGTTTTTCTTCGCTGCATTCTCCATTTCACAAAAATTTCCAAATGTATCAATTTCATTTGGAGCAATTAATACTCCTTTCAATCCATATATGAGTGCTACTCTTCCAGGATTTCACACATGCCAAAATGAAAAATTCAATATTCAATACTCGCTAACAGAGAGAAAAATACTAATTCCTTTCAATGAATCAGATAACAAAGGCGTTTTCCATTATACTCACTGTAAAATACTTATAGATGATCAATTTATTAAAACAACAAAGAAAGTTTTGAAGCCAATGTCATTTTTAACATTTTACTTCAATAATATTATGACTCATGTTCCGTTTTTCTCTCCTAGTAAAGATCAAAACATGATTTTTACAAATTTTGATATCGAATTACCAGCAAATTACAAATCAAGTAACAATTTCTCAGTGCTTCCAAGTGATCTTAAAGAAATCAAAGTCGGAGAGATCATAACTATTACATTTTCAGCACATTTTCACGAAATGAGTGAAATAGAACAACAAACAAACATTTTCCCAGAGATACTTATATTTATATCCGCATTTTTCTTACTTATTTCATTCTTTATCGCTTCTTACTACAGAAAACACTTCAGCAGAGGAGATTCAATTGCCCCGTCTGAAGTTTGGATCAGAAGTAAAGTGCATACAGATATTGCATTACTGGCATCATCCGGCGGAGTCATTGTTTTTACTTTAATAATTTTTACAAAATTAATTGGAAATTCTGAGGTTTCGAATACTCTTATATACACATCCTTATTTATCTCAATGGTTGTTATATCCATTCTTCGTCTGGTGTTCTCAATTCCTTTTGGAGAAAATTTCGAATCTGCAGATGTTTTTTCAGCGGTTTTACTTATATATACAGTCAGTATAGCACCACAGAGATTTTTACAAGCCTCAACTCTGTTGTTTGGCTGCTTTAGAGGACCAAATGTTTTATCAACAATTCTTGGTGACTCTACGTTCTTATTTTTCTCATTAGTATTTGCACATTGTCTATGCAAGTCATACAGAAGAATTGTTAAGGCTGAACCAGTCAAACAAAGTGCAATTCCGAAAGAATCAATCAGAACTGGTTCTCCAAGCACATTTTTAACATATTTGATGTCATTCTTAGCATCAGTCATCATGTTCCCTGCTATCAATGACATAATTTCTTCTTCTTACAACAATGTTTTTCCAAATTATTTCTTAATTTCGGCATCTGCAATCATGTACGTCACAGCTGTCTCTATTCCAGCTATTAAGAGAATGGCTAACTGTGTTATCCTAAGTTGTCCGTTCTGGGTGCCTGCGAACATGGCAGAAGGAGCTTGGACAACTCTTTTCTGTTTTATTTTCACGATTTTCTCTGTTTACTTAAATGGAGCTTATCAATCATTTGCAGCCATTTTGAACATCGGTTGCATTGTTGTTGCATTAATGCTCTCAATATTCTGCATTGGATTGTTTGGATCATTATCATTTAGCTTCTTGTTTGCAGCAACAACTTTCCAATACCCTAATTACAAAGTTTAAATATATTTTTTGTTTTTTATATCTCAAATAAAGCTTATGTAATATTTCAATTGCATATCTCCTTCAATTCTTTTTCTTGAATTTATAACATGGATTATCCTCTCAACTTTGATATTGAATTCATGCATTTTTGGCCATCTTTATCTTGTTTTCCGAAGTTCTTAAGAGGAAACCATCAATAACACAATGTACTCCACATAGCCTGTTGTTAACATTGTTTATATTTCCCTAGAATGTAAGGCTGGATCCTTGAAAAAAGGAATCTTAGAGCCCAAATAAATTGTGAATATAGAGCCATAAACTTGCCCAATTCTGATATGGCAATTGTTAAAAAGAAGAACTCCTCCCAAGCAATTTCGATAAATTTAATTACATTCGACACAAGGCATGGTCATATTGAATTCATATCCTAAATAAAGAAAAATTAAAACGTTAACAAACATGTTTATTATTATGGTAAAATACATGTGAATTATTAAACTGGAACTTGGACATTATTGACTGCCTGTAATACATGTTCATAGCACTTTGCAAATGTAGTTCCATTTGGTAATTGATATTTATGTGTCAAGAGACATGGAACTATTGCTTTCACATCATCAGGGATGATGAACTTTCTCCCAGAAAGAAAAGCGTAGTCTTCAATTGCTTTGATCATTGTTAGTCGTGTCTCTGCTTTTACATGGCCAGTTGCAAGGGGCCAAGTATCAATTGCTAAGTAAAGTTCTGATATATATGTGTATACATCTCTGTCTAAGTATACTGTTGGTGGCTTTTCTGGAAGAAAAGTTGTGTACATCATAAAGAAAGGAGTAGAATTACTTGGAATCGAATGTGGTGGTTCTGTAATATGGACACAGTAGGTGAATACATCTAGTACTTCATGCGACATGTAAACAGAATCAGGTACAATTCCAACGATCGTGAAGGGTTGAGCTAAATCGCAAAGTTGGTTAGAGAATGTGCCTTTCATTTGCTTTGCAGTACGCACTAAGCCTGGTAAATCTTTATATGTCTGCAAGTTTTCAAATACTGCAACATTTGTACAAAAAGGTGATGGATTTTCAGCTAATTGCTCGGTGATTCTAATTTGGTCAGCATCTCCCATTGAATGTTTTCTATTTGGATCAAGCTGAGGAGAGTTAACTAAATTTCTATTTCTTCGATTTTGAGCTATTCTTGTAATACTCTGATTATTTGTAAATGAAATAGATAATGGCATGATAGCTGTATAAATATAATCAAGTAAAGAGCAAATTATTTGTGGTTGAATTTTATCTTGCTTGGAATAAGTAATTAGAATATTTTCTTCACGCTTTAATGATGTAGTAATGATAGTGATTAAAGTTCTAAATGATATAGATTCTTGCCGCCCAAGAAGGCGCAAGAGCTCATCCATATAAGATGACTGCATTATAAATGAAACATCAACTAGACCAAACTTTAAAAATTATATTATGAAATCTATACGTTTGTAGATTGGGCTCTGCTCTAATTGATCTAGTGATATCAAATTCAATATTAGTATTAGTAGTAGATGTTGCAAAGAATATTAGAAAGCATTTCCATAATAAATAACAATTTATAATTAATTAAACAAATAAAAAATTACAAATCAAATATTAGATAATTTGTTCTCGAATCTATTAAGTAACAATCTTGCTTTGACAACATTTGTTTCGAGAATAAGTTTCTTCATTAGATCTTCGTCAGATAATTTTATTGATTCAATATGTGACTTGATTCTTAATTGAACATTTCCATCTTCTTGTTCTTCTTCATTATTCATTTCTTGAGGAGCTTCAACAGTTGAAGCAAGAGTTGTAGCTGCATTGCAGCATGATGTTATAGCTGTATTCAAGGCTGGTGTTACATCATCAGCAATGGAGTTATTAAATATATCAAGTAATTTGGAAAATGATATCATTGGAACGAAAACATGTTCATCAATTTTTCCTTTCTTTGCGAATAAATCATGACAATGATTATCAACATTTTCTAATTCTTCAGTGACTTTTCCAACGAAATCTGCGAGTACATCAATATTAACGTTTGATTCTGTTGGATGTTCTTTCATCCAAATCATAACGCTCTTTACTGATTCGCCTGTTTTAGTTGCTAATTCTAACATTTGTTGAGATTTTTCTTTACCTTTTCCTTTTGGTAATTTTGCAGCTGTTTTAGCTGATGACTCTAATTTATGGAGTGCTTCTGTTAATGGACCGATTGCCTGTGAGAATTTGATTCCGAAATGTTTCCTCAGTTCTTCAGCAGCTGATTCTTCTTTTCCTATTATTTCTAAAACTTTTGAAAACTGAGAAAATGTTTGTTCAAGGTTCTTCTGGCATTCTTTGGCTTGGTTATCGAAATCAGGGCAGGATAGCAAGAACTTCAGTCTTACTGTTCTTATTACTGTTGAGAAATTGTTTGCGATTTCAAACAACAATTTTTCAATGTCAGATTTTCGTTCAAAATTGGAAGATTGTATTTCAAGATTTTGTGTTTTTGTGCAAATATATTTCAGCTGATTATTCAGTTCATTTATCAAATCAGCTAAATCAGAGTTAGATGTTTTCGCTGACAATGATTTCGTCGTGAAATCATAGTAATCATTCATGAATTTAATTGACAAATTCTTGATGTCTTTGCAGAGTTCTGATGCTGTTAATTCGCCTTGTTCAACAGGAGGAGTTGGCAAAATGAAACAAACTGGTATTTTATCACTTGACACTGTATCTGGCTGTTGTTCTTTAACATCAGACATTTGGCTGACTGAATCAACAGTTGACACTAAATTCTCGGAAATATCAACTAATTTCGTTGTTAATTCAGCAATGTCTTGTGTTTTAGAAGCAACATCAACGAATGATTCAAATTTAGTAAGTAAATCATCTAAATTCGCTTGGAATTCATTGTTTGCAATTGAGTTTGTGTTGGTTGACTTAAGTTGAACAGCTGTTTCTTTGATATTTTTAATGTTCTTGTTGATTTCTGGCAACTGCAATTTCATCACTGCGTTGAAATTTTCATCAGCTGTTGCTGTAGCCTTTAAACTCAATGTTGCAAAGATCTGCTGCATTGCTGTTGTTGCATTGTTAACAAACAATGCTTTCTTCTTTTCAAGCATTGATTTACTCTCTTGTTTTGATGTTGGATCCTCAATTTTTTCTTTGAGATTTGTAATAACTCTTGCCAATCTCCTTTGACCTCTTTTCAGAGCCAAAGGAGTTACGCTTGACGAACTACTTGCAGAAACAATTGTGTTCAAGTGAGAAACAGAACTATTCAAGTTGGAAACGAAATCAACCATTGCTGGGAAACTTGCTGCTTTGATATCAATTCCTTTGATCAACAAGTTCTGTGTATCTGCTGTATTTCTCACCAAATCAATGATGTTGTCATTGACAGAGCTTTTATCTGTTCCTGAGATAGCTTTGGACAAGTTAACAGTAGATCTCTCTATCTGGCTCAAGCTTTCATTGATTGCAGGAATAACTTGAGGAATTGTCGAAATCTTCGCGATTTGTTCGAAAGGAGATTTCGCTGTTTTATTGATCAAAGAAACCAAAGTTGGGATGTTTGAAGTAATCACTTGTACAGATTTCTGGGCATTTGGATCTGTTGGTTTGTAATGTATCAGATTAATTGCTGGATTAATCTTTGCGATGACTGGTTCTATTGATTGGAATTGTTGTTGAGTATTGAATCCTTTTGCTGCTGTTTGAACTTTTGCTGCTTGGAAGTTGATGATTTCTAAGTTTGCTTTGGAAATATCATTGGATTTAACTGCAGCAACAATGTTAGAAGCAATAGCAACAGGATTGTATTTCTCATCAGTGAAAGCAGCTTCAACTTTCGAAATAATTGTCAATAAATCAGACAACGATTTTCTGTATGAAGCCAATTTCTCCATGTCTTCCAATTCTATTGATGCCTTCTGTATATTCGAAACATGTGTTATGCAAACACTTGGATCATCAGGTAATAATTGCTTAACATTCTTCGGCAATGTTGGTAAAATTCTTGTCATTGATCCAACTAAATCAGGCAAAACTTGGACTAAAACATTGACATCAGGGTCGTATGACAAAGAATTAGATTCAAGGAGTTTAGAACATATTTGTGTAGCTCTTTCACATGATTGGTTAAGAATAGTTTGTGCTTGTGGCAAAGGTGTTGTTGACATCAAAGAAACATTTTCTACAGTGTTTGAAGCGACGTCAACTAAAGAACTAATGATTTCATCCATTGTTGGAACTTTGACTTCTGTTTTAGCTTGTGTTAAATCTGATGTTGGTAAACTAATCTGTTGATCAAATAAAGAAATTGGTCGGATTTCTTTTTCTGTCACTTTTTGAATGGTTTTTGTAACTATTGGAGTAGCAGCAGAAGATTTCTTTGCAACTGATGATTTCTTTCCTTTCTTTGGTGTTGATTTAGAAGACTTCGGAGTTGCTGGCGATTTAACTTGCGTCTGAACTGCAGAAAATATTGGAATCTTTGTAACTCCGAGTGCTTTCGCTTCAATTGCAATTTTTCTTTCTTCACTTGAAACAGGTTTAATTGTATCACTCAAACTTTGCATGACAACTAACAATTTCGATAGGAAATCTTCGTCTTTTTCATCAATATTATGTATTTCCTCTGGATTGTCAATGTAAACCTTGGCTTTCTCTTGTATTGCTGATATCTCTGACTTCTCAAAATTGACTGGTTTTGATGTAGCTTTTGCAATAATAACAGGAGATTTAGTTTCAATGGATTTAATTGCTGTTAATAGTTGATAGTTTAATTTGGCTCTTGCTTTTTGTTCTGTTACATCAACATTGATCTTCGCCAAATCGAAATTAGTTGACAAATTGATGTCTTTCAATGAAGAAGGAATCTTTACAATTCCTTCGAATTTTTGCGTCAAAATTTCTTTTGCAACTTCGTCACTTTTTACGCTTTCGATATCTTTTGTATCTTTCACGTTGTTTTCTATGATTGGTTTAACTGATTGTTCGTCCAATGCAGTATCAATCGATGAAGAAATGACTAGTTGTTGCAATACTAAATCTTCTGTTGTCATGTTCTTTATTTCTTCTTGACATTTTTCTTCGTTTATATTTGTCAATTGATCCAAAAGTTGTTTGAGCATCAAATCCATTTTTTCTGGAGTAACTTCTGTTGTAATTTTCTCTATCATTTGAGGTGTTGCTGCTTCAACAATGCCTGGCATGATAGATAATCTTTCTCTCTGCAAGTTGATCAGTTTGTCAACAGATGACAATTGAACATAAGTCTTCATCGAATCAACTTGATCAATATTAGTTTTTTCGATGTTGATTTTTGTGTTCAATTGTTTCGGATCTCTTTGTATCAATGATGCATGATCGAAAACTCTGTTCTCCATAGCAATATCGTTAGCAACATCTTCTTTGTTGCTTAACTCTAATAAACTCTTCAATTTGTCTGTTAATATTCCAACAGATAAACTTTGATCAATTGGATTTGTTTGCATCAATAATGAATTGACATTTTCTGGTTGTAATTCATTCAATGTCGTTAATTGTTCGCAGACATCATTGGCATTTTGAATTTGGTCTTGATTACAATTACTTATTTCCATAGAAAGTATTTGGTTGTTCTTTGTTTTCGTCATCGGACTTTGTCTGATTGTTGATATCAAAGAACTCAAATTAACTGTTTTTGTTGCAGCAGAATTAACGAATTCAAACTTTTGAAGAGAAGGTAAAGAAGAAGTTTGAGAGATCTCAAGTTCTTGTATCTTCTCTGGTTCAGCAAATATTGTTTCCAATTCCTTTTCCATGACTCTAGAAATGATTTTTGCATTAGAAATTTTACTTTGTGGATTATCTTTGATTTCATCCAAACTGTTGACTTTGCTTGATATTTGTACCAACAATTGTGATAACAAGTTTTGTTGTATGTTGATACTTTGTGGAGATAAACAAGCAACAGTTTGTGACAATGCGAAGTTATCATTTAATAACTCTAATTGTTTTGCAATCATTGGAATTTCTTGTTTGACGTTATCTGTTGCTTGCAAAGGTTTGATTTGTGTTTGTGGATACATCATTAACTGTGTTTGTTGTAACGACATAATCTTTTGTGCCAAATCAAGCTTGCAAAGCGAATTTGTCACGAAATTCTCAACTTTTTGATGCTTTTGAAGATCAACTAAAGAAGAGATGTTAATTTTAATTGCCTCCCTGTTCATCTGTTCAAACTGGTGGTAAATAGCTTGTGAATATATTGATGATTCATTTGGTAATATCTTTGAATCAGACATCAGTTTTTCTCCTAATTTTTCTGACATCATTTCAAGTAAATTAGAAATTAATCTGATTTCTTTGATTGTTTTATCAGGTGTCAATGATTTTTGTGCTAAATTAAGAGTTTCTGATGTATTTAGCATGTTCAAATGATCATTGATTATATTCTGTACTTCTATAATTTCATGGGAAGGAATTTGTTCGCTCATTGCTTGGAATCCTTCCGATGTTTTAGAATATCTGAAGATTTCTGGATTAATTCGCATTATTTCTGATTTAAGTGTTTGTAGTTTTGTGACTAAATTAACCACACCTAAACCTCTTTCAACAAATTTCTTTACATCAGCTAATTCGAAGTTACTTGCTGTTGAACCAGGATCGAGTTTAATTAAGAAGTTTTCTAACATCTTCATTTCGTTATTCACCATTGTTTGGACTCCCAAATTTGTTGGTATTTTTGTTTCAGGCTGAGAAACTAAATTACATGCATCAGACAAAATGGCCTGTTGTATCAATACTTGCTTAGGATTAAGAGCTATCTGGATATCAGAGAGTTTTTCTGTATCAGTCAATAGATCTAATTGAGATTGTATTGATCCCAAATTGTCTTGTATTTCGTTGATGGAGAAATCATGAGAAATTTCATTATTAATTGATTGTATATCAGTGAAAATTGTTCTTTGTTGGTTCTGTAAGTTGTTCATTCTCTGTATCAAAGCGAATTTCTGGTGTTGGTTCATCAAATTCTTGAAGATTTCTGCTGTTATCTGTGGTGTTTGTGCTAATTTTTGATCAACATTTTGTAATCTTTCCATTGGAGATTTCGTATCAAGTTTAGTATCAATCTTTATTAATGTTGATGATGGATCTTGCAAGATCTTTTCTCTCTTCATTTCTATTATCTTTTCTTTCATAGAATTATTGATTGTTTTGATTTCAATCGGTTCAATTTTTGTGTTTTGTAAAGTTCCGAAATCTGTCAAAACAGCTGCAGGATTTACAGTGTTTGATGAAGCTTGTAATGATAACAACAACTGTGTAACAGCTTGCATTGTCTGTTGTGTTGATTGTTCCTTCAATCCTGTTGTATCCAATTTGATTAACTTTGCACTTTGATTTGGTAATCTGTTCAAAGTTATTTTTGGTGTTGAAATCTGAGCAATTTGTTTTGTTGCCGTTAGAGCGGAATTTGCCAAGTTCTTGAACTCTAAGATAGAAACACCTTGTTTGTTGTTACTCTGTTTCTTTAGTTCTGTTTGCATCTTAGTTATCTGTGCCATTGTATCTATAACTGCTTTGTTTTGATTCGAATTATTTGCTTGTAATTTCTTCATCAAATTCGCTAAAGCAGCATCAGCAGAAGATACAGCAATGATCTGTTCAGCTTGTACTGATGATTGCTTAAGAGATCCTTCTAAATCTCTTAATATAGCTGATAAAGAAACTTCTGTTTCGTTCCTTATTACTTCGTTTGGAATCAGTTCTTTTGTTGCTGACCAAATTCTCATAACTGGTTTCATCTTCGTCAAATAGTTAAATGATTCATTAACTTGGTCTTTCTCTATAGAAGGAGGTGCATTTTTATTGATTGCTGCCAAATCTTTTTCAGAGAAATTCGTCAAAATACTTGACAAAATTTCGGAATTTTCTTGATTGAAAGCGATTCCTCTTTGTTTGTTCTTTAATATTGGTATCAATTGATCTAAAACATTTTGTGTTGTATCAGGTATTCTTCCTAATTCATCTTTCTGCATTATATCTTCCAAATTCCTTGCAATGTTATCTGCACAAGTATAAACCAAACTTTCCATTGTTAAGTCTGATTGTTTCAGCCATGGAGAGAATTCATTGACTATCTTCATTAATGATTGAAGAGGCGGAGTCAAAGATTGAACTCCATTACTTTGTGCAATGAAGTTATTAAGAGTTGTATCCAATTTATGTAATGCAACATATTGAGTGATTGCATTATCAAATGTTGGAATTGCAGACAAATTCGATGGATTGATCGATTGAATGTCTGATTTCAACTGTGAATACAAAGTAATTAAAGGAGAAGGAATATTACTTAATTGTGAATTAATTGCTCTGTCAAGATCATTCAACATTTGCGTGAAATAAGGGAAATAATTTGAAGCTTTCATGCAATCTTTGACAGCCAAAATTTGTAACATTTTCTGTCTTAATTCTGGTTCATTTGATGAAATTGCAACAGTTCTTGCAGCATCAGAAGCATAAACAGGTTTAAGAGTTTTAACACATGGAATGAAATTCCTTGCATTATTAATAATAGACAAAGGCATTCCTTGTTTTGTATCTTGTAATTTAGTAAGATAATCAATGATTTGTGTTGCAGTTTGAGTATTAATTTGTGGTGAATTAATTTGTTCTGCAACGACATTGAAAACAGGAACAGTTTGATCATCTAAATCCTTTGGTTTTCTTGGTATCAAATGGCCAGCAACTTTGATTGGAATTCTTTGTGCTGTTGTATATTTATTCGTCAATGAATAAATTGGTTCCAATTTGTCAATTGCTTCTATTGCTCCTGGAATATTATCCAAGCTTTGCAACAACTGTGCTGTCAAAGTATTTAATTGATCAACAGTTTGTTGTTGCTGCTGGACATTTTGTGATGGCATTTGTCTGACTAATCCATTTGCTTGTTGTTGATATGTTTGGCATAATCTAGTAACTGTTGGATTAGAAAGAACTGATTGCAATGACATCAATGAAGCTAAATTAGGTAAAGCAATATCCATTGTTTGTTGCAATTGAGAAACAATCTTAGGAGCTGTTAATTTAGTCAAATGTGGCCTTGTTAACATCATATGACATTTAGAAACATTATCAGAGATTAATTTCATTACTTGTTGGAATGCTTCGTTATTCAAATAGCTTGTGACTTTAGAAGCAATTTCTAAACATTGTGGCATTAATTCTTTTGCTTTAATTAATGTTTCTATTGCTAATCTATCATCACTTATATTTTGAACTTGTTGGATATTTGGAGTTTTCATTAATTTGAGTAATTCGTCCAACAACAAATTTGCTTCAATGTTTTCTTTGATGTCATCTCTTTGTTGCGCACTTTGTATAACATTCATGAAGTTTGTGTAGTTCTTTATTAATTCAGTCATTGCGTCTGAGATTTCTCCTTCCATCACAACAGGTTTAAATGTTGAAGAATCGAATTCAAACTTCTTTGATGTTGGTAACAATCTCACACAATTTACAGCAACATGTGAATGGTTTCTAACAGCAGAAATTGATTTACCAAATGCTCCAAAGTCTTTGTTTTGTAGATGTGGCTTAAATTCAATAGGAACTTGAGCACATTCCGCATTAATTTTGAGTAAAACATCTTTTACTTTCATCAAATCTTGTTCATTTGGTTTTTGTTTCTGTTTGAGTTGAGACATCTCTATGAAAGCTTGGTCAAACAAACTATTCCAGTTCTTTATCTTCCTCATTGCACTTAAATCTGGTTGTGTACTAGATCTTGTTTGTATTTCTTTGAGTAGTTTTGATAATTGTTGAATTGGAACAATGTTTTCATCAATTGATCTGATTGCCAAATCAATGTTTGGTGGTGTTTTGATCAACGAATAGTCTAAATTCGATTGTGTCTGTTCTACAAGGCTCGTGAATGCAGAGTTCTGTTTAAATGACTGTATTCCTGCCAATAAATTCTTCATGTCTGTATTCAATTGTTTCAATTTTTCTGCAACAGGAACGAATTCGATTGTTGGATCTAATGCTTGTTCTTCCAATGCAACACCAACAGGTGAGAACATTTGTATCCTCTTTGCAAGCTCTTCTGATAGTTTTGGCTTCGATTTCACTTCAGGAGTTTCTAATAATTTTGTAAACATTTTCACTTCACTTACTACATTTTGTAAAATTTCATTAACTAATTCTTTTTCTGGCGGCTTTCTGAAATCACCCAGTCCTGCAGTAGTAATTGTTTCTAATGATCCATCAGTAGATGCCTTACAAATTGCAGAAATTTGTTGGATCTTCGAATCTCTGACTAGTTTTTGAATTTCAGGAGAAATTTCAACAATTTTATCAACAACATCTTTAGTTTCATTGAGAATTTCCTTTGTCTTATCAATAAATGGTTGATGATAAGGTCTTTGCTTCAATTCTCTTCTGCATTTCAGTTGTTCGTCTCTTAACTTAAGAAGTCTTTCTCTCAATGTCGAAACAGTTTCATTCAATGGATTAAATCTCAATTCATCTGAATCTTTCGCTTGTGATAATTGGTTGATTAGTCTTTGCGCTTCAACTAATGATTGTTCGTACTTAGAAAGATGTGGACAAATTACGTTTCCTTCTCCACTTTGTTTATCCAAAATTGTTGAATTTAATGATTCTTCGTAAACATTAAATCTCTTTGCCAATGTCGGACTGTTTGTCTGTGTTTGTATCAATGACATGTAATCTTTCGTACGAGGAATATCTTTCTGTATTGAAATGAGTTGTTGCTGTATTCCTTTAACAAGTTCTCCATTTGTTGGTGAAAGAGAAAATTGTTGATTTAGTTGGTTTAGTAAATTCAATTTTTGTACTAAACTCTGATGCTCGTTTTGTATCTGCTGGATCTGCATCTGATTGAATTTGCCGATGTTGGATTGCGCTGTTTGCATTGCATCTGTCGCTAGTTCTGTCAATGACTTCGAAATTTCTTGAATTGCGGCTGGAGTTATGTTTGCAGTGGAAATGGAGAGCAAACAATCATCAATAAGCGGAATTGTTGATTGACAAAGTTGAGAAACACTGTTTGAATCAGGAACTGTTGATGCAAATTGAGCTAATCTGTTTATGAAATCTGTTAATGTGTCTTTCATTGTATATAATGTGTTAACTGATGCTGTTCTAGCGGATTCATTGTTAGGATTCTTGTTTAATGCAAAGAATTGCTTTCTAAGGTTCTCATTTCCATCATCAATCTTATTTTGAATGATTTCGAACAGTTTGGCTGATTGTTCGTTGTTCTTTATCATTGGACGATCGAATACTGGTTGAGATGTCGTCAAAATGTTTCTGATCTGTTCAATAATTTGATCTAATTTGGAATAATCTCCTAAATAGACCTGGTATTGGCGTGATCTTTGAATTAGTTCTGGATTAGTATTAGATGCTTTAGTTAATGCAACTAATTTCTTAGTATTTGCCAATAATTTTTGTAAATCAAATTCAAGATTCGTTGATTCTTCGAATTTGAGGTTATTCAATGCTGCATTTTTATTGAACTGATGCAAAATATCTAATTGTTGGTTGATTGATCCAACTTGTGGCAGCAATTTGATCAAATTTACTTGATCATTTGAAGATTTGATTTCAGAAGCGAGTTTTGTAACTAATGTTGAATGTGATGCCAATGTCTTCATCAAATCCTTTGTATTGAATCCCATTTTAGCGATAACATCCGAATTTGAACTTACGAAATTTGAGAATTTTTCTTCAATTCCGGAAACTAAGCATAAATTAGTTGCCAACTGTTGCTGCTTCTCATTAATGATAACAGGAGGATTTTGTTGTGCTGTGTTCTTCAATTCCAATATCTTAATGTTTGATTTTTCAATAGCTTTGTTTGAATTCGAAATAACATTTTTGATGTCTTTCGTGAGTTGTACAGAGATATCAACCATTGGAATAGCAGACATAGAAGCAGTCTGTACAGTGTTGTAGATGTTATTGAAACGGTTCCTTAGATCAACGTCTTTCTCATCATTTTCATCGAATTGTATTGTTGAAAATGTATCTTTTAATTTTGACATATCAACAGCGACTTCATCAGCTGATTTGTTTTGTATGTTATCCATGATATCATCAAGATTAACGATGATTGACTGCAAAGCACCTTTCTTTCTTGTTTCGCTTAGAACATCTACATTAGCACGCCATGTTATATCTTGTTCAGCATCATCACTCATAATTGAGTCTTTGAGTGCATAGTTTTCTTCAGTAATTTTACGATAATCGAATTGTTCTGTATCAATTCCTATGACATCATTTACATCAGGAGATAATTCAACAGTTGTTGATGTCAGATCTACATCCAATTTCTGGATTTCATCGAATTGGATAAGATTTAGATCGAGATTTCCATCATCAATGTTTTGTTCTGTCTTTTGATTTGTTGTGAAGAAAAGAGGAACAAAACCAAGAAGATTGAAATTAATTGTTTCATCAAATATGAAATCGTAATGATTATCAGCCATCTGTTTGAAACAGAACAAAATGTCATTGATGTATGAAATGATTTCTTCATTATTAGTCGAATCCAAATAAATATCATGGAATAATCTATCATTATCTTCAAATTTAAGATTTGCCTTTTTATCTTCAATTGTTGCTGAAATGATTGATGCGTAACTCAATGTGTGGATATCAACATTATCAACAACACTTGTTATAACAATTCCGTGTATTGATAATTTGATGACTACATTTATATCTGGAGAATTCTCCTTTGTATAAATAGCATCATATTTTTCAGCACAGAAATCAGGAAGACATCCAATGATACACAAATATATGTAGATGGCAACGAATTGGTTCATTTGTTGATGTTCTAAAAATGATTTCCTGTAAGTCATCATGACTTGTTGAGAAAATGGAACATTCTTTGGAATTGTTTTTTGTGCTTTATCATCACTGAAACTAGTAAACAAATTTTGTGTTTCTTGTTCTGATTGGCATTCACCGTATAACTGACAAATTCCGAGTTCGATGATTGCTTCAATAGGAATGACATTGTTTCCATTTAATACACAATCTTTCATGTGAATAAACAAAGGTAAATAATAGCTTTGATCTTCCATGAAGATATTCAACATGAATGGAAATCTCCTCTGTACAACAAGATCAAAATAGAATGGTGTTTCTGCTGGTAATGGATGTAAAAAGTCTAATGGAACTAATCCTTTCTGTGGTGAAAATGCACAAAAAGTGACACCAAAAGAAGGACCAAATTGCATCCATTCGCAAACAGTATTGACACTTTCATAGATAGGAACTTTAGGATGGATGGCCATTTCAACAATATTTCCATTATTTGTTGAAACGAAACCACTTATTTCATGAGGAATGACGTGTAAAACTGATTTCGGACTCAATTCTAATGAATTCAAATATGATGACTTCTGAAGAAATTCGTATCCTGTGTCTTCATCAGATTTCATGATTGAATAAGCGACATCTTGTGGTGATGCGCACTTAATCAAACAGTATCTCAATGCATCATTTTCTTCCCAACCTTCATTAATTGGATATGTCAATGGGAAAGGATCAGAAACATAAGGAGAAATCTTGATAGTTTTTCCTGAATTTTGTGCTGAATCAATGATGTTCTTGAAACCAGCTTCTTTGACCATGTTCTGTACTCTATTTCTTTCAACTAAGAATGGTCTGACACCAATAGTATATTGATCTAAGTAAAAAGCAATTTTCTCTGCATCAGTACCAGCAAATTCCATTGTTGAAATCGAGCCATCTTCAAGGAAAGCTTTGATTTGAATGATGTAAGAAATCTGGGTGTAAGAAATGATGTTTTGATATGAGCATCTAAGGAATGGATTGTTATTCTCAAGTTCTATGCCTTGTATACCGAATGGACAAACAAACAAATGTATTGGTGTTGCACCTCTTTCTGTTTTGATTCCTGACAATTTGTGGTAATTTACTTTGCATGTTATACATCCAAAGTTTGTTGTTGTTCGTGCAGTTGCTGCGTATTTCCTCATTGACTCTAATTGAGACATTTCTGGTGATGTCTTTAATACGTCTTTGATCTTTTTCGCTGTATCTTCTTGTACTTTAAAGTTACAAGGTAAAATTTTCTCAACATTTGTAATTGCAATGTGTTGAGCAGCTTCGTAATTTGGAGCATCAGCAAGAATAGAATAAACAGCCAATTCTATTGCTTTCGATTCGCTTACCCATTCTGATTCTTTAAGAATATGTTTTCTTATTTCCAAGAAACCTCTTCTATCAATGTTTTTGACATCATGGATTGTGTATGTCATATATCTTCTCTTGAAGATCAAAAACTCCATGTGAACTGTTTGTACTGCTAATGGCTTTGTTAAATCTAAAACTTCTAATTCTGATTTACCATTATCTATTTTATAAGTTTGTTTTCTTTTTCCCAATCCTTGAAGATTGCGTATCCAACATAGTACTTGATAAAGAACTTATAAGCAAGTCTTGGAATTGCTTCGTAAAGTGGTTTTGTCAAATCTATTGGAATGAATTCGAATTCTCCGGCTTCATTTTGAACAGGAATACGAGAAATACGTGGGAATATATAAAGGGAGGACTTCTCTGTTGGATTAACAACACCAATTGGTGCTTGCAAATCAACAAAGTTATAAAAAGCGTTTGCAACTTGACAAATCATTATATATTCGACATAAGGATTCAAATCTAATTTAGTAATTGCCAATTGAATTACATCGAATCCTGACATGTATTTTGAATATTCCAGGAACTCTCCTTTGCTTTTACTTAATGTAGCATATGTCATTACTTTAAACATGTTTGAAGAATCCATGATTTTGTTCATTTGTCTTGCTTTTTCTGCCAAATTACATAAATTGAGACTTCGAATGTTCATGATTTCAATGAAAATGTAATAGATATTTACAGCTTCTTCTGTAAACGCGTAGTACGATTTGGCATTATAGTTTTCATCTCTGTATTTGATCTCTATTTCATTGATCTTTCCATGAACTTCCAATATGTTTTCAATTGGAAATTCCAAGAATAATTTCTTGGTGTCATAATGGCAAATTGTCACGTTTTCTTGACCAATTTGTAACTTTTGTTTTGGCTGTTCTTCAGCTCCGAAACCTAAATCAGCTTCAACATTAAACACAATGACAGAAAATCCTTTGATCTTCCTTGCGTATTCTATATATAACTGTGCACCTTGGTAGCTATCCAAATTAAGATATTGTGACATCAAAACATTGAAAACTGATTCAACGGCACTTTTTGATGGTCTGTTTTGACCTGCAGGAACCCATTCTTTATCATTTTGAGGAATTGAACTCATATTTGGTGTTTGGTTCGTGAAAGCAGCAACTTGGAAGAAACAAAGATTAGACATATCTTCAGAACTTATCTTATAAATTCCTCTTAAAATGCATTCTCTTGTTTGCAAGAACAAGAACCATAATGTTTCGTAATCCATATTAGCTGTTGAGAAAGTGAAATGTCTCAACATAATATAGAAAACTTCAGTGGTATTCGCTTGTTCAGAAATAGATCTACTGATATCGAGATACTGCAAATTTCCATATTTTTCATATGCCAATGTCAAACCAGGAATCATTGGAATAGAAAACATTTGGCAAAGATCTTGAAGTAAAACTCCAATTGAACTAGAAATATCAATTTTGACTTCTTTCATTTGTGGTGTTTTACTTCCAATAGGAATGACTTTGATTGTTGGATTCTTTTCCAACAAAATCAATGTAGAAGCTCTCATTGGATGATACGATTTCAATATTCTCGTGTAATCAATCCATTGATAATCTTTATCAGGAGTTCTATACAAAACACAATAATTGACTTCTTTTGGTTGTTTCAGCCATATTGACAACAATTTTGCTAGTTGTTTTCCATTGTATTTCAAGTCAATCCATTCTTTCTCTAAGTTTTCAAACTTAGTTGGATCTTTCGTGAAATAGAAATCGCACATCGGACCATGGATGACACCTCTTTGATCAACGAAGCCACCTGAAAGCATTTTAACTTCTTCTTCAAGCATTTTCCTTTTCATCATTTCCTTTTGGTTCAACAAGTCATGTAACAGTTTGATGTTATAATCCAATAGCATAACAACTTTGGTGATTTCTGTTACATCAAATGTTAATTTCACTTGCATCAAGTTTCTATGCTCATCTGCAACGAAATTAATCATCAATGTATTATCTAATATTTGGTAATTAATAATGTATCTGTAGCCAATTTGATAAACAGGAGGAATGCCTGGTTTATTCTGTCCAATCAAGAAATAAAGTGGAGCTAAAGTGAACTGGAAATCAGGTAATGTTTTGTTTCTGTGACCTCTTTTTATTTCTTTGAATTTGCATGGATAACTTTCATAACCAAACATATCTAAACCTCTTTCTATACCAATGAACTTCTTGATAGCTTGGAATTTATCTTTAGGAGGATACATCTTGATTTGCTGTTGTAATTTGACCATGAAATTATCATCCATTTGTCTTCCAGGAGGCATCAAAACATTCAAGAAAGAAAAGTCACGAATCTCATCAATATCTGATGGAGTGTTACACTGTGTTGCATAAGCATATAAAACACAGAGTTCAAGTAACGTTGGATCAGCTGTTGGTGTCTTTCCTTCTGATATTAATTTGATAGTTTCTTGCATAACCATCATTGAAACATCGAGAGAAACAAGAATTTCACCGGAAAGAATGAAAAATCTTCTTAAAAGTTTGAGTTTTTTGTAATCTCCGACTTGTTCCGGGATAGTGAATCTTACATCCAAAGGGAATAGTGTTCCATCATCCATTTCCTTCCAAAAAGAATAACCTGTCAATGCAGGGAATTTGATTTTCGCAAATGCATCGGCTGTCAAACTTTCAACAGTTTTTGTCATATCTAATGTGACTGTTTCTACTCGGTCATTGGAATAAGTAAGCTCTATATCTTCCATTTTATTGATGATGAAGACAGTCATACCTGTAGATATGTTCAAAAGTGCCAAAATTTCATCTTTGAAGACAAATCTGTATAATTCAGGTGCCAAACATACGAAAGGAATATGGTTGTCATCATGTTCCAAGCCAATATTCTTCTCTGCAACACTTGTTAACAGTTCTCCTGTATAATTTATGTCGTAATCATATTCAGGAATGTCTGTTGTTGCTAATAATGACCTTGAAGTGGGAAGAGTAACACGATACTTCGAGGAAATGATTGGTGGAAGCAATTCCGTCCTCTTTGCTCGTTGAACCATGAGTTTTTTGATGATATTAATTTGTTGATCAATTACTTCGTTCATTTCTTTGGCCATGTCACAGATAAATGTGTATTTGGCTGTAACACCTTTCGAAATGAAGAAGACAATTGACAAATTATCTTCAACACATGATAATTGAAGAATTTTCGTAAAAGAAATTTTGTCTTCCAAAACATTTGTGTCCGGATCATAAATGGAAAGTGACATTGGAGATATTTCTACGGCCACAAACATCGAATGTGTGCCTTTTCGTTAATTACGTTGACTGTGCAGTCATAACTCAATGTTCCGAAGCCGGGATACCTTCTAATGAACTTCAACCACTTCCTGATCGCATTGAACTTGCTTATTTCAGGATATTCAGTGACGTATTTCAATAATTCTGGTCCTAATGTATGGGAATACTCATTACACTCTGGGAAAAGGAAATGGATATTATCTGGAAATGTTGGATTTCTTAAAGCATTGGCATCAGCTTCAATGAAAAACTGTAATGCGGCAAATTCAAGGGCAATTTCTTCCAAAACATACAAATTATCACCGAAGAACCTTGTTTTGGAATCTTTGTATGTTTGCATGGCTGTTTCGAGTGTTGAAATGTCAATTCTTGACAAACAAAAGAATTCTCTTCGTAATGTGAGCTGATTGAAGTGTTTTGTTTGTTCAGGGATAGGTAAATGTGGATTTAATGGTAATTCTGTTTCATCTTCTGTTGCATAAAGGGAATATCCAAGAGGATTTTCAATTCCGAGTTTTTTAGCGAGATCTTCAACGACATTTTCAACTGTATTTTCAGCATCGATGTTTACCATGCGCGGCTGATAGTGTGATGTCGATACCATGACCTTTAAATCTCTTTTGAAAATATATAAAGCAGTTCCTTCAACGAATTGGTACTTTTCGAGTGAAGAACCTTCTTTCAACCAAAACTTTGTAGCTCCTGGTGCTGTAAACATGAATGAATACCTTGGTTCATTATCTAATTTGAAATTTTCAATAAGAATGTTACGGACATCTTTGTATTCAAACATTTGGAAGAGTTTGATCGTTTTCGGTTCAGGGTCTGACTCCAAAAATCCGAAAACAACCTTAACTTCGTAAGGAGCGAGACCTTCATTGGCCCACATCTCGTAAAGCTCGTTTCCTGTCTTCTTAACAGCTCCGAAATCGATATTGGCGAAGTCATCATTGATATCGGCATCAATAACAATTCCATTATCCAGCATAAAGTCTGTTGTACCTGTTCCATCGTGGATATTCTGGTCTTGGTTGTTTGCTCGTAAAGCAACTGACGAATTGAATAACGCAGGGTCTTGATCAAGTCCAATATTTTGATCTTGCTCGCCATTTATAGTATTGAAGCCTGTATTGTAGTTGAATGATATACCTGTTTGAAATTGTGGTGGTTCGTTAGTTGAATCGAATGCGCCGCTAAATGGATCGTATTGATGAGAAATTGTTTGGCCGTAATTAACTCCTTCTTGCGTTTGTTGGTCATAATTCTGTGCATTAATGCCTATTTGTAACGGAGCGCTGTTTGTTTGTGAATAAAGACCTAATGGCATTGGACCAGTATTATTTTGAGCGAAAAGACCTAGTCCTTGGTTCTGTGTACTGAACAGTCCAACTTGAGCAGTATTCTGACTCGCGAATAATCCCATTCCTTCAGGTTGTGCAAATAATCCAAGTCCTGCTGGTTGAGGAGGAGCATTTTGAAAAAGTCCTCCTTGGGCTTGTTGTTGGTTCATCTGGGCAGTAAAAAATCCCATCGGCTGTTCAGGTGGCGGAGTTGCGAATAAACTTAATCCGTTATCTGGACTTGGAGATGAATTTTCTGGAGTCATTCCAAAACTTGGTGTACTTGTATTTAGTGCTGCTCCTGATGATAAAGATAATGTTCCTGAGGCAAAATTCATGTTATTAGTTAAATTTCCTGATGAAAATGGTGAAGCTGGATTCGAATATGTATCATTCATAGAAGGAAATTGAGTATTGTTGTTTGTTGATAATAATCCTGATTGAAAATTGTTTTGATTCATATCATTCGGGAGATACATGGAATTTAGAGGAAGGGATTGTAAAGCAGGCTGTATTTGTTGAGGTTGGGCATACCTATATTCTATTTGCGTTTGATTGGTATTTGGGAATATTTGTAAAAAATCTCCATTCTTAGCGTTAAGAGAACGTAATGTGATATCTTTCTCGATAATAACGCTAACCCCTTGTGTGTTTCGATAATAAACTACGTAGTTTTGTGTATCGAAAACTTGGAGATTTGAAAACGCCATTTTAACAAGTTCTCCACTTGGAGAATCAATAGGATATGAAAAACTCTGTACATTTCCTTGGGTTGTAGATGTTATTGTGTACAGGGTAACATTATTCATTTACAAATCAAATCTCTGAAACAAAATTCTCTGAATTTGAACATTATTCAAAAAATAGCAAATATCATGTAATATCTATACACGCAACGATTCGTATTTACATCTCTCAATTATTTAAACTGAAAAAAAATTGGATTTTGAGAAGAAAAGGAGAAGTTCTTATACTCATATAAAAATTTAATATTTCAATAAAATTAGCCAAAGCCAATTGATTTGGCAAATTTTGTCACTTTTGGGAATCGTATCAACCGAATTCTGGTTGAATATCATAATCAGATACATTTCTTAAACTATAGTTTTATTATTGCCTTGTCTGGTAATTCACCGTATGAATAGTTTGCCGTTAAACTGATTTTTAAATCTCCAAATTTGATTGTTCAACTAAAATCCATGTTCAATCTGATGTTGATGAATACATGGATCTTCTTATTATATATCTATGTATTTTTACTTCAAAGCCTCGTATTAATAAATTTTGTATATTTCACTATCTTTATTGGACATCTATGTAGAATATCAGCATAGCAAGATATATATGAGCGTTATATTCGTTATATCTAACTCCAAATCTGTAATTAAGCGATTTCATAAGTAATGATTATGAAACTGAGAGGCAAATGGTATGATACATTCATTAATTGCTAATGCATAATATTAAACTTATGATAACAAGTTCATTTTTATTGAGGTGTTCCACCTATGAGTGATCTTCAAAATTTATTGCTTGATTACAGCGAATCAAACTTTGATAAGATCGTTAAACATATAATTGATAATGATTATACCAAAGATGATAGCAGTTGTAAACAATTTATCCGAAGTTTGATAAACTATTCCAATGTTAGACCTAATTATTCAAAAATTTACGCTAAAATACTCAAAGAAATACATGATAAGAATGATAAATCCCAGATCATTCCGAATTCAATTTTACACGTTTGTTTTATTCCGCCTGCTCAATCGTTTATTGCATCTGAATACATTCCTCAAATGAATTTTCTTTATCAATGCTACTTAATTGGAATTTTCTCATTCGAAATGTTGGATCAAAGAATCAAGTATTTAATCGATAATAATGATTATATCAAAGGTATATACGCTTCGTTTATTGCCTACTTCGCTCCTGTTATGTTTGAACTCGATCGAAAGACGTTTTTCAGTGTTAAATGGTTTGTTGAAAAGAGAATGGAAAAGAACCTTTATATGTCACCATTCAAGCAATATATTGATTACATGAACGAGGAAAAGATCTCAAATCTTCAAGAAATGATAAATAATACCTTCCAAAAGGATTCTTTAGCTTATTTCATCATGAAAGATGACTTAGATTCCGTAACCAATCGTACTTGTTTACCATCATTTCAAATCAACGATTTACTTCCTAATACAATTTATTGTAATTCAGATATCATGAAATTCCGTTTTACACCTCTCGAATTGTCTGCCTACTTCGGTAGTATTAATGTGTTTAAATTCTTTATTGAGCAATCAGCAGATTTCGAAAGAAATTCAAATTTAATCGCGTATGCAATTGCAGGTGGAAATATGGAGATATTACGTATCTTACAGCAAAGAGAATGTAATTTTGAATCTTCTTTGAGTTTTGCGGCGAAATACCATAGATTTGAAATTTTCCAATGGTTAGTTGATGTTTGCGGCCAACAGATCAATAATGATATATTACTTACTTGCTGCACTGTAAATAACTTACCATGTCTTCAATATTGCTTCGAAATCGAAGATGGTAATTTTATTCAGACAATCCCTGACTATAGTATTGATTCATTGATAAAAGAAGCCGTAAAATTCGGATCCCTTGACGTTTTCAATTACTTAATCTCTTTTCCACATGAAAAGATTGAATTTGCTACTTCAGTTATATTTAGACAGCCACATATGGTTAAACTATTATTAGATAGAGGAGATGTTAATTTCGATACTAAATTCATCAATGGAACAACACTCGAAAAAGCTGCAACTTGTGGTGATGTTGACATCATCAAATTAATAGTTGAATCTGGAAAATACGAAATTTCAGACCAAACTCTAATAAATCTCTACGGAGCTGCAAAATATTATACTGATATCTTAGCAATGGATTATTTCAGAGAAGTTTTCAAGCAGAGGAACATCCCTGAACCAAAATGACCCGTCTAAATGCTTTTCTTCACAGATTTCAAAGAAATTATCTCTCTATGAAAAATCTATTGATTCAGTTTCTTATTATCAAATTATACTACTTTAATATGTTTGTTTTTAATGAATTATGAATAAAAGTATATGTTTTGTTCTTTCCTACTATAATCTTGAAGTAAAAATGAGATCATATCAGTTGCATGTATAAATAAGATTATGTATGAAAGGTAAAATATTGGTTTATAAGTAGGTTGAGTCGGAAGAAAAGGATATAAATAGTTAAAACTACTTAGCAAATACGGCATTTTGGTTGCAACTTCTGAGCTTCGTTCAACTCTTTGTTGCCTTCTTCCATTTCAGTCTTAGCTTCTTCAACTGTATTATCAACACGAACAACAACCTCATGCTGTTCTTGAATACGAGTATTAAGAAGTTCGGTGGCTTCGTTCAATGCCTTTTCATCCTCAAGGATATCTTTAACTTGGTTATCCACGAAATTGATTTCTGCTGTCTCCTGATCTAATTCTGACATTTGTTGTTGTTTCTGTCTTGCTTCTGCGTCCTGGCGATCTCTTTCTTCTCTTTCAGCTTGCTTCTTCTTTTCTTCTTCCTCGTATCTGACGCATTCTTGCTCGAGCTCTTGATTAAGTTTCATGTATTTGTCCTTTACTTCCTTGTAATGAGCTTCGAGAGCTTCCTTGTCTGGTTTATTGTATGTGTTGAATTCTTTTGCGAGATCTTGATCGAGTTTCTTCAAATTAAGAAGCTGAGATCTGACATTCTTTCTTTCCATGGAATTGCTAAGACTGCCAGAGTTCTTTTCGAGTGTGTTGATGCGCTGTGCAAAAGCCTTGATGCGTTCCTCTAGTGATTGGTTTGCGCCTTTCTTCAATGACATGAGATAAAATATCTATCGGTGCGATTTTATGTACTATTCAATTATCGATCGCAACATACAAAAATGGCCAAAACACGCATTTTGTATAAAGCAATAAAAATGATGGTTGATTTTAAATTATCTCAAAAAAATTATTTTGGCTATTTTGAAGAAAATTATTGATTTCATTGTTTTTAATATCTATATCCAAAATTCATTAAAGCCACCGAGTTTGATTTTTAAAATTTTTCCAAATTTTTGCGAATTTTTGGAAAATTAATTCAATTTCGACAATTTTTATCAAGAAAAATATTTGTCATGATTTTTTTTGAAAATTTTAAAGACATGTAATATCATAAAATCCCTAGATATAGCTTGTCCATTATATTATGGTTGATAAATATTAGAGTACAAAAAATTATTTTAATTTCGCACACATTAATAAATAGTTTATTCTTCACCAGCTTCTTCCTCTTCTATGTCTTCTTCTTCATCCTCTTCTTCGTCTTCCTCTTCCATATCTTCTTCTTCATCTTCTTCCTCGACTTCTTCTTCAGCTTCAGATTCTTTGACAGTTGACGACTGAGGCTTCTCAACAACCTCTTCCTCCTCTTCTTCAACAATGTAAGAAGATTTAGCTGTACTAACGGATTTTGCAGTAGATGCCTTTCGAGATGATACTGATTTAACAGTTGATGACTTTCGTGATGAATGAACTGACGGTGGGGAAGGTGGAACTGGTAACGGTTCAGCTGGCTGATAAACCGGCTGAGGTGGAGGAGGAGGTGCTGCAGCTTCTTCCTTCTTGTTTCGTTTGTAGTTTAAGAACATCTTGAAATCATCGTATAATTGTTGTGCAGCAGTTGGATCGAGCGGATCAATTCCAAGCTGACGAATTTCATTTGGACCACGGCGAATAATATCTTCTGCGGATACCATGTAAGCTTCTGTTGGAGTTAAGTTACTCTTCTTGCTATGATGTTGATGGTGATGATGACGATGATGAGGTTTCTTGATATCTCTTGATATTACATTGGATTTTGGTGGTCTAACAGAACGTAAAACTTGCATGTATAAGTGTTTTTGATCGCTTAAACCGAGAATGTTTCCAACTGGGACAGGCAAACTCTTCTTTGGAATAGCACCACCACTCTCAACGCTTGCAGTAAATAATGCCATTTCCATACCGTGGTTGTAAAGGAAATTTGCGACATGTCTGCAGGCAGCAACGTATGCATCATTTTCCGGAATCTTGGGAACATGGCGTTTACGACGAATTCTCTCTGGTGCTTTGCGAGTCATTTGAATCGCAATCTTTTCGAAATATACTTGGCGAAGGATATCACGAGCTCTCGACATTTCTTTTGTTTTCAAGTATATGAACTTTACATAACGATTTTACAAAACAAAAAAAAGTTGATTCTCCAAAAAAACTGACAGATAATTTCCGATCATTCCCGATCAAAATTTTGTCACTTTTGGTTTGGTTTATAATTCATAAATGTTCCTTAGAGACCTTTGGTTGTTCTTGAATGGAGCTGTATTAACATCAACTGTTCTATCCATGATATTTGGCAGAAGATATCCATATCTATTCTTCGTTTCATACTTATGTATAATTTTGTTGTATTCATTAGTTATATATCTTAATGCAAGAAACATAAGAGATCTCAGACAATTGAAATCATACTTATGGAAGAATGATTCATTCCATATTCTCGTAATTACACTTGTATTTGCCTTATTTACAATTATACAACCAATTTGGATATTTGCATACGGATTTTCTGCATTTTATCAACTTCTCAATTTTGTTGTTTCGCTTTATAACGGAGTTCAGGAAGATCAGGTTCCAAAATTGATTCAGTACTTAAGAAAGTTTAACCAAATTCTTACAAATCCACCATTGGCACGAAGCTTATTAGTGAGACTCGAATTATTTACAATGTTGGGAATTAGATACCCTAATGTACTCATAACAATGGCTTTACAGATTGGTTACTTAGTATTTGGTGTTCTCTTTAGATACGCAACGGACGATATCCATAGAATGTATTGGGCACAATGGAAGACTACACTTTTGGGATTAAGTCAGAGATTCCCGGCCATTAGCTCAATCGTGAACGCAGTAATCCGTAACTTTGAGAATTTTGGCGTACTTGCCTATAGATTGTACCAATAAAAATTTCTATATTAAAAATTCAATTATTTTCTCTTATTTTTCAATCAGTAACAGTGCAATGTTCCTAATAGACTATGAACATTTAATTCTCTTCCCAAGGATGAGGTTAAGGGTATAGTAAACTCAAAATTCTAGAGTTTTGAGAGTGCCAATAAACTCTATAGGCCTATATATATCTATATTTTAAAGGAGAGGTTACGCCATAATATTTGATATTATAAATTATTAATTCAAAATAAAAGTAGAAAATGAAACTAATTTTATTCTAACCTATATAAATATATCAATAATCTAAAATGATTATAGTCTGAACTATATTTTACCAGATTATCAAATATAAGAGAAATGAAATAAGGCATAAAAATATCATAGCATAATTATTGGATAAATGCATTAATAAATTATTTATATCATAATGAGAAAAAATCAAAATAAGAAAATGAGCATAATAATAATTTAATTAAAAACAAAAACAATAAATAAAATGTAATTTTCGTTAATCAAAGTCATCAATGTCTTCGTCTTCTGATTCCCATTCGGACTTGAAAACTTGATAATCTCCTCCTGGTACACTCTGAATGAATTTTTTGTATTTGTTCTGTTTTTTAGAACCTTTTGTAACAGTTTTTTGTTTCAATATCATTTTGGAGTAACAATTCTCTTCAAATGATTTGACACAATCTTCTGGAAGTGGGGGAAGATGTAATGCTTTTTGTATATCTCCGAGAAAATGCTCTGGATCATTCCATTCTAAGATTGCAACGTTAACTCTAATGTTAATGTTCTTCCAGGCTCTTGATTTGTCCAAATAGCATGCAATTTTGGAGTTAAACGCTTCATTCATGCAGGTAGATCCAATGGAAGAAACTTTGGAAACTATGGGTGTCCATTTGTGAACCCAGTCATAGAGCATGAATTGAAGTTGGATCGAATTGACACCTTTTTGCCATTCAAAGCATTTGTAATTGTGCGGTTCGCAAAAAGAATGATTGCCTACGTAATGGTAGACACAATTCTCCCACATTTTCGTACGTTTGTCAATATTTTCTTCGGCAAAACATGACCAAAGCCACATACTTAGGCTTGCATTCAGACCCCAGAAAGGTCTCTCTATTTTTTCAATCTTCTGAGTCTTGTCGTTGAAAACTTCAACTGTCTTATGAGAAGCTGAGAACTTTGTAAAATCTTTTGAGATATTTTTTGATACATGACCTGGATCGAATCTTTCAAGATGAGAGACGCCAAATTCTTTAAAGACAGAGACACTTTTGTTATCTCGGTCTTTAATAATCTCTTTAACATCTTTCAAGATATTGTATTTCTTTAATTGCTTCAAGATGATTCGAGTTCCAGCACTTTCCATATTGTTGGAAGCTCCGGAATACTGAGCATGCTGTCTGTTTCCACCAATATGGTTGATGTTCACGCATGCAAGAACTCTTTTTGTGACAGCATCGAGCGCAGTTACTGTACAACTTGGCGAGTTTCGCCTGTGCGTCCATCTTGCATCAATGGATAAGTAACCACTGAAGGACTTTCTCGACAGCATTAGGGAAATACTTTTAAGTCTTCTAATCTTATCGTCACAAAATCTCTGTTGTCTCATGACACCACTCTTCACAGGGGGCTTAGTTCCACAAAGAGAAAGAAAGCGAGCACCTTTTGTATATGGCATTCCGGTCATTATGCAAGCACCAAGCATCTGTCGCGCTGAGAGTCGACGACGTTCGTGGAGTAAAATGTTATGCATTGCCTTTGTTTTCCGTTTTGGGTGAACAATATGGCCCATACAACAACAAAAAAATGAAATCCCGCCAAAAGTGAAAATTGAATAAAAAGTAATAATTAATAAATATATACTATATCATTAGATGAATATTTTGGAATAACATTTTAAAATCGAGGTTTTTCAATGGATAACGGTTCAATCAAAAATTTGACCCATTTTAGAATCTACATTAAAAATGGAACATTTCTGTCGTTTCAAAATTCCAAAATAACGTTTCTATTCCTCTCAAAAGTAAAAATAAACTTTATTGGGGAAAAAATATTTTTATTTTCCAAAAAAAAATGAAAACCTTAAATGCAAATCTAATTTTGATGCTTTTGTTTGTGATTTTTTGGATTTCGAAAAAAATTTGAAAATTCAGACAAGTTACCATTAACACTAATACGTTTCAGCGAGTCGGTCCCATCAGAGAAATTTTCATAAATCGGCGATATAATTTATTATTTCAGCAAAATATTCTCAGATCCAACTAGAATAAGGTCAAATTATACAAATTTAGCAAAGGCTAGTTATCCTACCTATTCAATTAACTTTAATTTTAAATAATTCAAGACAATTCTCAAAATTACCTTAATAATCGCGTTCTCTTCGCAAAATGACGATTCATCATTCACTACCAGCATAACTGAGGGCTTGTGCTCACAGAATAATACAGATAATTTACTTATTAATGCAAAATTTAGTACCAAAAGGTAATCATAGAAGATACAAAAAAAGTTTCTTTATTTTGATTGCTGATTTTATTTCTTCTAAAATTTACCAAATCTAAAAAATCCAAAATTGAATGCTATTGAATTTCATGTTTATGTAACATATACTATTTATTATATAAGGAATAAAAATTTTATAGTTTTAATCAAAAATAAAGGTGTACTAAATGCATACAAAACAAGGTATTTTTTACTCATCCAAAATATGTTAACAGTGCTATTTATATAATCAATATCCGAATTTCGAAATCATTTTGATGAAATCTTTATTTTAAAATTGAGTTGACTGTTAAAATCACCCGAGAAGAGGGATTATCTCAATGAAAAGTGCATAAAATAGCAAACGCACAAGATGGCACTATGCAGCTTTATATTGTTATACAGGATGAACATATAAAATGTTTGGAAAACACTTACTTCGTTCTACAAATGTGTATCTCTTTATATCAAAGATTCTTCTCAAATTATTGAGAGACTTCTCTCAAAAAAAGGGAAATTTGATAACTAAAAAAAATTATGGCATAACCTCTCGTTTTGCATAGATATATATTTACATGGTCACAGAGCTTATTTTCATTGTCAAAACTTAAAAATTTTTAGTGGACTATACCCTTAAGCAGGCATTCAACATAATTGTATGTTTTTGCTGCACTTTCGTTTATATTATCTATTATCAAAAGTAAAATAGCAATTTGTAAATTGAAAGAAAAGATCATCATTCATTCATGTGTTATGGAATATTATTTCAAGTATTTTAAAATAGAGCAGTTCAAAAGTTCTTTTCAAACTAAAAATTCTATGAAATTACACAAAATACTTCTATTTTTATATAGCATTTCTTGAAAATTATACAAAAAATATTCACGCTTTGTCTCATTAACGCTATAGTTCAATTCAATTTTTTGAAAAAAATATACGTTTTTAACTTTGTAATATTTACAGACAAATTACAACTCATCACTAATAAAGTACAACATATCATTTTTAATTGAAATAATAGTTTACGCTCCTTTTTTATATAAATGTTTACAAGTCTTTCCTGGATATGTATCTTTTATTCACATTATGATTGAGATATTTATCTGCATATGTATAGTTTCTTTTCATCAAGATATTACAATGATATTGCATTTTTTTATTGTTTATATTAAATTCTCTTAATTATATGAATGTTAAGAGATTTGAGTAATAGATGTTATATTTGATTATTCTTGACACAAGATATAGCTGAATATTAAACTAATTAATTCTAAGGTTTTGTGATCGTTTTTTTTATTTTTTTATGTTTTGATTTCAGAAAGGTAAATTACTAGTGAAGTATGGTTAAATGAAACAGAAAAAGTATTAAAATTTACAGGAAGTGGAAACTTCTCTGGACAGACAAACAATAGTGATGTTTATCACTTACAAATTTCAGGTTTTACTGCGTTATCTTCACGTTGCTTATATAAATATAAAAATTTAACAAACTTTACAATACTTGATACAACAACATACATAAATGACAATATTTTTCCTTTAGGATGCCCACTTCAATATTTTTTTCTTCCAAGTTTTGTTACAAAGCTTAGTTATTTTAACCCATTTGATACATGGAACATATCTTATATTCAAGTCTCCCAATCTAGCGAATACTTCTGCGATATTGACGGAATTTTATATACCAGAGATATGAAAAAGCTTTATTGCTATCCTGCAAAACATCCAGGCGAGGTATATGTCGTCCCAGATGGGGTTACATTTATCGCAGGCGATGCCTTTAGTTTTGCGTTAGAAATCAAAGAAATTTATGTTCCACCTTCAATAACAATTATATCAGATTACTTTGCAAATGAAGTGAAGAATCTCGAAAGATTAGTAATTTATAAAAGAAAAGACGGGATGTATTTTTGTAAAAATGGGTGCTTTATTAATGTTACGAAACCCCAAGAAGACATCGTAATATTTCTTCCTTATTCGCTATGCTACTGCAAATTGAGCAATAATTGTCCTTCTAAACACCATGATTATTCCATATCATGGCAATTATTTTTAAATTTAATTAATCTCATGTTCATTGTTTAAGTTTTCATGACTTATAGCCATGAAGTCTATGCGTTATTAGCATGGGCTGCAGATTAAACATTTAATTTAAAGATCTTCAATCCTGAATCTATGAATTTTACTTGATGAATACCTTTTATCGTTCCATATAAAATAAGGGAATGTCATTTGATGGGAATGATGACGTGCAAGAGGCCGTTATTGCAGAAATTCGCAACTTCAAGGATGATATATTAGGAAACAATATCAAAGGAGATGGTGCGATTCCTCATTTCGGCAAAATTAATATTAAAATGTCAGAAAATGCAAAAAATGCACTTGCTGCTGCAACACGTAATCACCTAAGCGAAGTAATCAAAAATAAAATGCCATCGGATGAACAAACTAAAGAGATTCTTGATTATATCTCAGATGTACAAACTGGCTTAATTAAATATCGCAGAAAGACATTTACAGAGTTAGCTGAGAAATACAAAGCTTTTAGTCATCTTTTTGATAATCAAATCATTCGAGCTTTTGTTATCAGTCGAAAGTATTTTGATATCGAAAAATTCAAGAATTTCCTTGCATACATCAAAGTACTCAACTTAGATTTTATGAACATTCTTGAATATTCTTCAAACGGAAACGAATTTGTTTCACAAGATGATTTTCTTGGTTATATCAATGAAAGAATCATGTTTTCCTCACAAATCAAGCAGATAATAGAAGAAAACCCAGACGAAAAAGATTTATACTCTAACTATTTACTAGAAATGACTTATTTGTCCCTCGATAAATTTAGTAGGAATCGTTTATTAATTTCTGAAATTATTACAGCACCATGCTTCCAGCAGTTCTTGGAAATGGACAGACCACAAAGTCCCTGCTCATTTAACAGCTACAGAAACCAAATGCAAAATTTCAACAAATTATCAGACGACCAAGGCTTGATTCCTTTAGCAAACTTCAAATACGCGTGCGACCGAACATTTTCGAACGCATTCTGTACAAGATTATTTGAATATAGCGTTACTTACGATGGATGCCTTGATTTCTCCGGCTATCTCCATATTTCTACCACAATTGAGCGTCCTGAAGAGTTCAGCCAAATGTATTTCCGCATTCTTGACGTTGATGGCGATGGAATCTTCGGACCAAGCGATTTACTCTACTTTTATGAGGGAATGTGCGATGAAATTGGCAAAATTTCAGTTTCCTTTGATACTCTCCTCCAAGAAGTTTTAGATAATATGAGCGCACACCAAGTTGGCGTTACATACCAAGAATTCGAGTCATCTGGCAACATATCATGGCTTATCGATATTTTGAGCAATATCGAGGAGTTCAAAGTATATGTTGGCGCTTAAAATTGAAATTATTTTTTTATTTGTTAAGGGTGCCCTATAGACGATAGACCACCCTCAGAAAAGCACTTTTAAGGCTATTATATTGAGAACTAGAATCTGGATAATCCATTCATTCGAGTTCTAATAAGGTTAATTTTGTGATGTTTACATTATCGTTATAGGGCACCCTTAAATAAAATCAACCATTATCCAATATTATTCATGAGTAGTTATACTTTTCAGCAAAATTGTTACTCTAATTCACATTTTTAATTTTTATACTAAATTTCTTTATTTCATACAATTACTGGTTACTTAAATAAATGACCATAATAAAATGATTCATTAAATCGATACTTATCCGGATACAAAACTTCTAATAAGAAATCATCAGGAGCTTTGTTAGTTGTGATCTGTCCATAATAATACCAAAGCAATATTACAATTGGAAAACCTATAAAATAGATAATTCTCGCTTTAAATATCGGATTTGAAAAAATTGGATCAAATCCAATAATTAATGCCACCGTGAATGCTGGAAGTGCATATCTGAACAAATCCATATGGAAAATCGATATGACATATATGATATAAACTGTTGAATAAATTGCAATTGGAACACAAGTTGTATACATCATCACTGTTGCAGCAAGTAATGGTGTTATAACAGCAAACAACATATGACTCTGAATACAGAATTTTTCATATCGAGATGGGATAATAAGTGAATACAAAGGAAATCTTATCAATCCGGCTGTATTCATGTTGAAATTTATATATGCCTTATACGAGTGGAACCTTATTTGATGGAAATATGCAACAGCAGGAGTTGCAAGAAAGCCTAAAGAAGTAAACATCGCTCTGAGAATATCAAAACGAAGTAAGTATGAAAGACCAATTGTCCCGACTATAGAAAGTCCTTCTATTCTTGTAATACATGCTCCCCACATTGATAAAAGCATAAAAATTAACTGATCAGTTTTGAAAAATATTAAAGCCAAGTAAACATACATCATGTAAAGAGGTTCACTTGCACCAACTGATTTGTAGAGAGTGAGTCTAATAGGAATTATCAATAGCAAATATGAGGAATAAACCGGATCAACAACGCAATTGTAAACAACAAGTAAACGACGGAATACAAAAGCAATTCCTACAGATCCAAAAAGAATTGCTAAAACATACCCGAGCCAGTAACAATTTAAAGTTATGGTAGCGAAAAATCGTATTAATAGCGGATATCCTGGTAAATGACATGCAAAATATGATGGTGGATAACGAAATGCGCGAGTCCATGGATTGTTTGGAGGAATTTTATATAAAGTTTTTGCAGCATAAACGTAATTAGGCCCATCCCAGTAGCATAAGAAAGCCATATTAGTATTGGAGAAAAATGTCGTAAACCAGATGACAAATTCTATGATTAACTGAAAACCAATCATTTTATAATCATTTATATCTGGTTTCCAAAGGTCTTTTGGTATTTCTTTTAATGGATATAAGCTAGACATCCATCTTTTAGAAAATGATTCTGATTTTGATGACGTATTCTGATCATCTATTATCTCTTGATTATCCATCACCAAAAATGAATAAAATTAGATGAAGTTTTTGATACTCATAAGCATATACTTGATGATTTTGAAATATCATTGATTTATGTAAAAATTTTAGTATCAAAAAAGAAATTTTTATTTGGATTCAGCTACAATTTTTTCGAATGCCTCGAGATATCCGGGTACATCTTCCATAATCTCTTTGGCTGGCTCGAATTGGCCACCTTTACGTAAATGTGAAACAGTTCTAAGAGCTTGTCCAAGTTGATTCGCACCAATTTGTAAAGCAGATCCTGCACACTTGTGCGCTTTTTGATAGCAATCCATATCATCCAACTTCGCAAAATTATCAATAACTTCATGAATAAGAGGAATAATTGTAACATTCCATTCTTCCATTAATTCATCTGGGAACTTTGCATCCATGAGTTCAAGATTTTGCTCTACAATCTCTTCATCAATAACGGGCTCTTCTCGTAAACTTTCTCTTGTCATTTCAAAATTGTCACATTTCTGAAAATTTATATGTGAACGGCCATTTATCTCGAAATCATATACATCAATAGATAGGTAAAATTATGACATAAAGTTAATTTTCTTTGAAAAAATAAAATTGTTTGGTTGATTGTATCTCACATAAAAGCGGCCTTTTCTATGCATGAGGATGCATTCCCATTCAAAATTGATAATTTTATTTGAAATCGGAACAATCAAGTCAACGTAGTCTGACCTTGAACATCTGCATTGATTATGACATAAGGAAATAATTGAGCTTGAACATGGAGTAATAACTAATATTAACATTTTGATTTCAATTGATATCAATATATATGAAATATCTAACCGTAGGCTAGAATACAAATTACTATGACAAAATAAATCTATTTGTCTGTTCGTAATCCCATCAATGAAATATTTAATTAATCAACAATTTACTCTTTGTTAATGAGTTCAGCATTGTTAATTTCACCATTTATTTTTCAAGTCTGATACTTTTCAATCATACTTTAATACCAGAAATAGGTTCAATTAAATTTAATTTTTAAATTTTCAAGGTCGAAATACTATAAAATGAATGAAAAATTAATTAAAATACAAATATTAAATAGTTTAGATATCACCATGTTATAAACTTTATTTCTTATCAGCAAAACGATAAGATTCGATGTTTGGTTTGCTTCTTGAACCAACAAATATCCAAGCATCATCATTCGAGAACTGGAGGAAGTTTACTTCTCCTTCGTGCATCTCATTCAATGCTCCGGAGACCTTTCCATCCTTCAAATCGACAATTGTAAGTTTACCCTTTCCAGAGACAATTGCGAGTGAAGCACTGAACACAGATGCCGTAAGAAGTCTTATTCCTTGTATTTCCCAGACATTTCGAGCCTTGTTCTGTTGAATCTTGTATGTATAAACTGTAAGAAGTCCATCAGCTGTTGCAACGACGAGTTCGCCTGTCTTTGCACAGAAGGCCATCGCTGTAACAACTGCCTTTGTTGGAACAGTGCAGAATTGCTTCCATTCTGTCTTTGACCAATCGAAAACTTCAATTGAAGCTCCAACAGCAATGAAAAGACGATTGTAGTCGTGGGATGGAACAACATGGTTAATCTTCTTGCCTTCGAATGAAATTTTGCCGATTTCTTGGAGTTGCATGTTGTAAAATACGATTTTGTTGTTATCAAGGTGTAATGCGATGTATTTAGCTTCTGGATGAACTATGATTGCGTTGCATGCTGATTTGTAGACGTTTTCGATCTCGTTTCTTGAGTCTATGACGAATTTTGATTCATCATCGAGTTTAAGATTAGCAATGATAAGTTTCTTGTGAGCATTTTCTGTATAAACAACCTTGAGACCTTCGGAACGAACGAAAGCAGCGTTAGTAATCTCAAACTTGTCTAATTCGAATTGTTGAGTTAACATTGTTGGAGAAATGTTGAAGAAATCTGTGTAGTATAAATGGAAAATACGATCCTTTGATACTGCACAAAGGAAACCTTCATTATTAATCGACATTGACTTAAGAGCGCTTTCGTTTGTATTTAATGGGAGATCAGAGCGTCCCTTGTTTCTTCTGATGATGTTTACTTTTTTATTCTCTTGTCTAGCTTGTTTCTTTGGATCTTGTTTTGGACGATTTTTTGCTTCTTCTTCAGCAATGGCTTGAGCTTGGTGTTGTGGCATTATTTTAGCAGCTTTCTTTGCATTTGGACGTGGACCTTTTGGTTTTTTGACGTGCTTTTCGGTCTGAAATCCTGGAACATTTGGAGGTTCAATTCCGGCCATTTCAATTACCTCTGCTCTATGTTTGTAGACATAAATACAAGAACAAACAAAGAGAACTATTAAACCAATCATAATATAAGGTACATAATCAGAGAACATAATTTCTTCCCTGTTTTTTAATTTTTTTTTATCTTTACATTCTCTCAAAATAAATAGTCAATTACAGTATCATTCTGCAATAAGCGAATCATAATGACCATGAGTATTACTTTATGTTTCAAATATTATTGTCCAATAATTTCATGATTTGATAAAACAATATCTATTTTCCTCAAAGATAGCATGAAGACAGCAACAGTAAACAGATTATCTACTAAACTCTAATATAATTTAATAAACAAAACATAATATATACATTAAAAGAATGGTGTTATTGATAATTTTGGATCCATTTGTGCGGCATACGCAGCACCTCTTAGTCCTAATCTACCAAGGAACTTAATATAAGGCCTTCTGACTCTTGGATCTTTCGAATGTTTCAGAGATCTATGAATAATATCTAAATCTTGGTCAGAAATGTTTCCAATTCCGCATTCAACAGCTTTGCACAATATCCTCAGTGATGCAGCAAGCTCAGCGGAAGGCGCAGTTCTGTTTTCAGGAACTACAGGAGTATCAAAATCAATCAAAGGTTCATCAGGAATATCAATATCAGGAAACGACGGACTTTCACAACGGGTTATGATAGAAAAAGCCAATTTCAAAGTGAATTGCGTCAGTTCTTTTTTGCCTTTTAAGTTCTTCTCAACGAACTTAATTGCTGCAGCTCTCACTTCATTTGCACCTCCTATTGTTAGCCATTTCTTTGCGGCAGGAATTACAGAAGCAAATTCAATTGGTCCAAGTTTCATTTCTGACAAAACATAAAAAGCACCTGAACATTTCATCGCTAATGGTCTTAGCACTCTCATAACAAACCAGCTTCTAAACTGATTCGAATTCCTTTCATTTATAAGTGTATCAACCCAATCATCAGTGTATTTCGCTGTGACAGTGATCAACAAATTTCGTAATGGTTCGTAATTCGAATTTACTCTGTCTAAAGCAGTGATTAAGTTACTTAGAACATTTGGATTGATACGAGAACTGTTCGATGAAGTAAAATAATCAGAAATTATCTGTGTAACATCCTGAAAAATCAACATTTTTGTTAAACTTTCTGATAAAGGAGAAAAAACATCGTTGTTTTTGGTCAAACTCAGCTTAATTGCTTCTTTTGTTGCTAAATATATTGTCCTTGCATTGTCTCCATTGAGAAATGTCCTAGAATAGTCAATTTTTGACAAAATATTATAACTTGTTTCGAAATTACACATTTTTGAGATAACAAACGCTGTGTAATTCAGAGAATCATCATAAACATTCGATCCGTAATTAAATGAGTAAGCACAAACTAAAGTTGTCAATTCTAAAGAAGAAATCGAATTTGTATCAAAATTTAAAGGATTATTGTTCAAAATAGCAAGCCTTGCTAAACATTTAGCTGAAAGTTTCGTTGACTGGTTGGAATAATCAACAATTGTCTGGATATAATAATTCAAATCAGATCCAGAGAGAATACTTGGTTTAGACTGTGCTCTCTTCAATAATCTGACTAATAGGTGCATAACACCAAAGTTTGTGCCCATAGAACGAATAGCTGATATCGAATCTCGAACTAAAGGAAAAACAACGTCATCTGAAAGTAATTCGCAAACTTCAGCAAGATGACCAAAGAACATAGATGCAGAATGAGTCTGTGAAGCAAAAGAATCCATGAAATGAGATAAAAATGAAAAATTTCGTGGAGGTTGAACTGTTGACGTAACAGCAACGATTTTGGCAGCTGCTGATGCTTCGAATTGGTTTGTTCTAACAAGTGTAACTAATTTTTGAACTAAATTTGGATGAAAATTTTGAGGAATATTTCTTAATAAAGCTAGATAAAGAGAAGTAACGAATACTTTATCAGGGATCTTTGATTCAAGCATTACTATTTGTGTTAATGCTCTTGCTGTTAAAGGATTTGCTTCTTTTAGATGAGAAGCAACTGTATAAATTAATTTTTCGATTTTATTCTTTGGCGAAGTATTCTGTTCAACTATAAATGCTGGTATTGATACACCAAGCTTAATTGGAGTCTTTTTAACTGCACCATCTAGTAATTGAAACGCAAATTGAGGATTTTGGCCCCAATTTTTTGCAGTACGAGTTAAAAATGTAAGAACATCTTCAGAATATGATGAATTGAATGTAGATGGATTCTGAATTAACGAATTCATCAAATCCCAGTTTGGTTTATCGAGAATTGTTGAGTTATAACTGCAAAATATGAGAAAACTCCATATGGTATCTGCACTGAACTCAGATTTCACTTCATGAAGTAAATCCCAGAAATTTTTTGAATAAGTAATCAAATCTGTTGCAGTTTGTCTAATTGCTGTATTGGTGGCGAATTCTTGAGGGTATTTTTCGAAGACAGATATAACTGAAATGAGAATATCTATTCTTAGTGTTGGCGCCCATTTTACTAATTTTGAAGCTGTTATGCATTGTAATGTCCATCGAAGTTTAGACGATCCGCTTTCACTCGGATATAAAAGTGGTAGTGCTATATTTGCAATAACATTAACCTGAAATTGCTTCATGAAATCATCTTCTAAAATATCGTCTATTTTACTAAGAATATCGCATACTCCTGTATATTCTAGTGATCTGTATGATATTTTGAACTTATCAAGTAATGAATTAATTTCTGGGTCATTAGACCCATCCATCAATTTTCTTGATTTAAAGAAAAATGAAAAATATTAGAATGTTAATAATAGTTATACAATTTGTTTACTTCTGTAATGCTGAGTTTTCTTTTTCTCCAAACATATCTAAGAAATGAGGAGCATTCCACCAATTTGGAAGGTTTTCCCATAAAATTGCAATGCCATTTTCATCAAATGTTAAAAATGATGACTCTTGGATACTAACAATTTGAGAAATTTCGCATTTATGGAGCCAAGATAACTCAATAAATTTTTTCTCATTTTTATCGGCTGGATTACTGCTATCAGAGAGTTTACAAAGAAGAATATGCCCTCCTTTGCAAATAAGAATGAAATATCCAATTCTTGCAAGTGGAAAACAAATTTTTGGTGAAAAAGTTGATGGAAATACAATTTGGCGACTAAGAGTGCCAGCCATGTATGATAATATAGTATTCTGATATATTATTAATAGTAATTTCTTTGATAACAAAACGAAATCAATAATATTTTCATTTGTTTGAGGAGTAATTGGTTCTGGATCAGAGAATGTGAAATCTGGCCTTGCTGTAACCTTGTAAATGATGTTAGACCCTTTCTTTGCTAAGTAGATTTCTCTGTCATCGCAAATTACTTTTTCCGCATTTGCAAACGTTGCCAAATCTTTGCAATTTGGATTATTGATGATAGAAATGATGTATGATGTAGCTTCTGTGGAAATTAATATGTATTGTTGGTCTAAATTCATACAAGAAGCTTGAATAATTGAAGAGTTAATTTCGACTTTTAATATTAACTGGTTTTTATTATCTTCTCCAACTAAGTGAATTTCACCATTTTTTGTAACTATGACGAATATTTTGTCGTTTAATGGAATGAAAAATTGTGGTTTTGCAATATCTAATGTAATAACATTGAATTTTGAAGTCTGGTACTCGAGAATATAAATTTTATCATCTGAAAATGCAACTAAACGAGATGAACCTATATTAAATACATTTTTAATTTGAATTGAACCAAGTTCTTGAGTAAATTCTATATCAGGTAGTATATTCGATAAACAAGTAATCGTTCCTGTATCAGATATAAACACATAATTGCCAACTTCTCCTTTATCAGAATTATATTTTATTGCTTGCAAGAATTTCGCTTTGAAATTGAATTGTTCTGTCATTTTTGAAGAAGTAAACATTTTCTCGATATCTCTATTCCATATTTCATCAGATAGTGTGAGAGTATCTGATGTATTTCCTCCCATTACAAAATCTGAACTGAATAGAAAGAGAAATAACACTATAACATCACTTGAAAAATCTCTATTATTATCCTAATTTTTTATAAGATTCATGAATATTTCGTGAATGATTTTATCAAGTTATTATCATGTTCTTATACTGTGTAAAATGAATGAGTTATGATATGCATGGTAATATTTTATTCAACAACAACAAATTTATCTAATATACATCTATATTGAGAACAAATTTCATCGTCAGAGCTTTCTTTGGCGAATCTTTCAATAGTATCAATTCCAACTATATCATCTACAGATATGGCAAAGGATTTTTGCATTTCATTTTTAAGAAAGATTTCTAAACAGTGGTCAACAGATCTGACCGCATATGGAGTGTACGAATCATTCAGTTCGGTCGCTATATATTCTAAGGATTGCTGATACATATCAAATTCAGCATCATTTAATTCATTTTCAACTTTTGTTAATAATGAATTAAAAAGAACTATAAATGGTCCTTTTTCTCCAAATCTTGCATCTTGTGACTTTTCCATTATATACGAAATAAAGTCAGTCTGGAAAAATCTTTCGTAAAATTCTTTCGAATTCAGAAGATTAGCAAGCATCTTCATTACAGATCCAATAATTTTCTTATCATATACCTCAATAGATCTGCGTACAAGATCTAAATCGATATCTACGTAAAAAATTTCGTGAGAAGCAAGAACTGTAATGAAATCATATGCTTTCATAATAGTATTGCTATTGTTTGAATGAAAAAGACCTGCAATCGGTTCTAAAGATGATTCAGGAAGTCCTTTTTTGTCAAATAATTCAATTCCAAATTGAAGTGAATAAGAGAGGTGTGGTAGTTCAATATTACAAACATTAAGCGATTTCTCAAAAATCTGAATGAGAAAATTGTAAGAATTTTCGATCAAATCATCGTTCAAAAATCTTCTTAAGTAAATGAACAAATGCTCGCAGAACTGGAATGACGGAAGTAATGTAAAGTTGTAGATCTGCTGTGCATCGAAAATTGAAGAAACATATGTAAAATCATGTGAACTGAATGCAATTAGTGTCGTATATAGACTATCGTCAGAAACAACTAGAGAATTCTGATATATATTTTGAAATAGATTCTCTAAGAATGAAATTGAAATTAATTTTGATTTGAAACACTCATAGTTTGAAATAATGAATGAAGTGCACGTAAGTGAATTGATAATGCATCCAGAATGTTGTATTGAACATGACATGTCACATATAAAATAATAAAAATCTTCTTCGGTATCTGAAAATATATAATCCTGGGAGGCCAATATCTTTGAAAATGAGCTTAAACAACCTGCCAAAATGGGATAGTTTCCTCTTGAATAATAGTAGTTTATCTTTTTACAACTCTCATCAATTAAATCTTCTTCATACGAATAATCATCATAACACCATTCTTCCTCTTCATCATGCATATCCGTATTTCTATTTATGTCTTCGCCATTTTCTTTGTAGATCATGGCTCGACAATACGAAAAAAATTAAGGTCAGACAATAAATGCATTCAAGGTACATTAAGTATCTATAGCAAGAGGAAAATAAGATTTTGTGTTTAAATCAGATCATCTATGTTATTTTATTTTGCCATTATTTTAACCCCTTAAAATGATATTTTTACATATTATACTCTAATATCCGCATCAATTGCAGAGGTTTGCACATGTGTCGGCTCTCAAATTATTTAATTAAAATTCTGAAAATTTAATTACCAAGACAATTATACATTTGATAAGTATCTCTCTTAGATTTGGTTTGTGCAATAATTTTGTTTCTATTTTGAAGAGTTTTACGCATGATTGCATTTCAATCAGATTCATTTCGAAATAATCAGATGAAACAACTGTATCTATTTCAGAAATCTTCTAAATATTATAGTTCAAGCGTAGAAATGAGAGGTTGGCCCAACCAAACTTGTGACAGATATTGAAAAGTGTAACGACAGATGTGAAAAGTGCCAGATCTTTGAAACACGATAGAACTGAAACAAAAGGAAGAAACAGTTTATAGATCAATATTGAATAAATTCATCCGATGTTGTATTTATCTCACAAACTTTCAAATATTTACAATACACAAACTAAAATCTATGGTTGATGAACCTGTTATAACTCCCTCAGCTGCCAGGGCAAAAAGAGCATATATAATTCGCTATGCTGGTATGATTATTATTGGTATTTTAAGTAATTTACCATATTGGGTAGCTTATTCAAATTCACAAGTTGTTACAACTCATTTTGACAAAGAAGGACACATTGGCGCCGTTTCTTGGGCAATTGTATTTCTTTCCGTATATGCTACACTATTCAACGCATTCCTCACGAGTAAAAACGTATCTTATACTTTTAGAACTATCCTCAATGGATCTTTCATGATTATTGGATTAATTGGTGCAGCATTTGCTCCTAATTTCTGGGTTGCAATTTGTTTTATTGCATTCGCCGGTGTATCATCAGATTTTGGAGAAGCTGTAATGCTTGGTTACGCAGCCTCATTTAATGATCAATCATTATTGAATGCATGGGGTATTGGATGTGGTTTCTCTGGCTTAATTGGTGGAATTTATTCTTTAATCTGCCAAAAGTTTACCATCTCTTACTTCTGGACATTCATTTCAGTTTCACCAATTGGAGTTATATTCCCAGTCATATTTGTTACAATGCTTAAGATGCCGAAAGAGCAATCACTTTTGAATTCAAAGGAGATTGCAAGTATTGAAAGTATGCCAAGCTATGAACATATAGAAGAAGATGTACCATTCTGCTCATGCTCTAATTGGAAGAAATCTTTCCGTTTTATCATTAATAATATTGTTATGTTTTCTTTCCAATATGTAGCTCTTGAAGGCTTAACAGACTGCTCAATGACAAAGCAGGAAAAGATTAACGAACCATATATTTTTGGATACTACTCCCTTTCATATGAATTTGGCCAATTCATTGCAAAGTTTTTGACCAAATGGTTAACATTAGATAAGTTAGAAATAGCTATTGTTCTTGGAGCGATTGATTTTGCAATTATGCTGGCAGAGGCAATCACTCACTTCTTCCCCCACATCTATCTTTGCATTCCTCTCTTTTTCATTGGAGTTCTCGGATCAATATCATACATGTCAATATTTGACGTTATCATGCGTGTTCCGAACACAACTTATAAGGAGAGAGAAATTATTACCAATTATACATCTGTTTTCATTGGTGGCTCAATCCAGATAGCATCATTAATTATTCTTGTCATGCAAAACACTTTCTTGAAGAAGCAATGCATCAAATAGAGTAAATGTTTTGATTATTTATTTAGAAATTAATAATGCCTAATATCTATAAGAAATGTAAATACCTTTGAAATCGATGATATGTTCTGACAGATTGTTGCATTTTCGTATAATTAATATCAAGCAAGAATAAAACTATTTATGTTGCCAATTAAGCAAGAGAAATCTGTTTTCATAGATTTTCAAACTATAATTCATACAATTATGCTGAATGTCATTAAATGGTAAATCTAATTCAAATAGAGATAAAGCAATATGCCATTATAGTTTCTGCAAAATAATTTTCCCTTTTGGATGATGCTGGCTTGAGCTTTGACTGTGTTATGCAAAAAAAGAACCCCGTAAAAATAGCATTGAAAGTGATTTTGAATTCAATTTTGAATGAATAAATCCGATCTTTTTCATTCTGAAATTACCCAAGATTTTGATCGCCACGGGCGTGAGCGGCCAAAATACTGAATCCGAGTAATAAAGCCACAATCATACTATCCTTGAAAACGATACACTTCCCACCGTGAGACGCTCAAGATCGTAAAGTTTGAATAGATATTTTACAGGCGCGAATTTACTGCTTTTTGATGAAAAATGGCTCTTTGTAGAAATAAATCTGATCAAAATAGGCTAATCTTAGCATAAGTGTAACTCTCAAGCATGAATATAATGCAATAAACTGAAATAAACTTGGGATTTTAAAATTGAAATTAGATTTTTGACGCTGTCTTTTAAAGCTGGCAAATAATCAAAACCTTATGACATGAGTAATGCATTTGCTTAACACATTTCTCGAGGATTTATTGAGTTTTGTCTTGGAGAATAAAAAAGCAGCAGAAAACAATAGAAATAATTATTGTTAGAGATGATATTTTTAATGCTAAAAGACGAACACGATTAGCACTAGTCTGTGTAGTTTTATACAGAATTTAATATAACAATTCTTTAAATATGAATAAATTAGCAGCAGCCCTTCTTTTCATGAGAAGGCTTCTTATCCGCTTCAAGATTTACAGCAGGTGGTTGCTCGGAAATAACAACATCTTCGTCATGATTGAAAACTGTATCATAAAGAGCCTTTGAAAGAATTTCAAATAGGGAGGAAATGCCAGTTCCATCCTTAGCTGATGTTGAAATGACCTGTACGTGATGCTCTTCTGCCCATTGGAAAACTTCTGCTTGGTCGATATCGCAATTAAGGTCGCACTTATTTTGGACAACGATAATAATTATGTCTCCAACATGCTGCTGTAAATATGAATACCAACCAGAGACGTGCTCGTATGTTTGCTTGTTGGATTGATCAAAAACAATTACAGCAGCATTTGCGCCCTTTGCATAGACTGGAACAAGGTTACGAAATGTTTCCTGGCCAGCTGTATCCCAAACACTGAGGTGGAGTTGCTTTTCGTTAACGATTGTGTCGACTCTTGTGGATGTCGCTCCAACTGTTGATGGGATCTCGCCATCAAGCTTGAGATATTTATGAATGATGGATGTCTTACCTACTGTTGAATCACCAACGAAAACGACTTTAAATTTTAACTCTTCAGTCATTTAAATAAAAAATGGCACTTTTTGATCGACGAAATCTTATTAGTTGGTTTTCGCTCTATGAAAAACGAGATGAGTATAGTCATATAAATGAGATTTGAATTTTTCGTCATTCAAAAACTTATAAAATGTAAAGTGGCAATCCAATTTTTTTTGTGTCAGATAATTCAAATTATTGCGATCCAAAATTTGATCTTCCACCGGAATAACACCGGCATGATCATTCTTTATAAATATGATGGTCAGACGATCCTTTGACTTATTTTGAACTAATTTTTACTTTCAATTTGAGTCATGTCTATGATCTAACACGTATTGTTAATGTTAAAATATTAGGCTATTTAAATGAATCCATTTTTCATTTCGCTTTTTTAAAACTAGAGTTTGATAATCTGATCCGAAATAATTAAACTATTTTCATGCGTTATAGCAAAATACATATACTACATGGACTGGATATTCCTAACGCATATTGCAAAAGTTGATCCTAAATGATTAATTTTGGATGATTTATAGAATTGCTTTTGATCAAATCAAAACTACCAAGCACAAATATAAATCAGTGTAAATCAATAGGTACATGGCTTGTTCTTGCTTTACAAGAAATTTTTAGAATATATCAAATAAAATTAGTTTTGTTACAAGTTTGATTGAAAAATGATATTAAAATCAATGGCATTTATAAGAAGATTTTTTAATCCGTATTAAGGAAGATAAAGAAAAATATTATATTATAGAAGTGATAAAACAAACAAAATAAAATCAAAAAAAGTAAAAAAATTAATAAAATTAACTTCTATCAACGAGATAAGTCAAAGCCTTTCCTTGTTTGATCTGTATCTCACCACGTTCTTCTATCTTATATGTACCACCGTAAATCAATTCGTAGATAGATCTAGAAACGTGTACTTTCATTGGAACGCCGTTGTGTTCCATTTGTTGGGCCATTGAAATTGCAGGGCCAAATATTTCAAATGTTGGCTTTCCTGTACCAATAACACCTGCAACAATTGGTCCACCGATGTGAACGCCAACTCTTACTCTCAGAGACATTCCATGTTTCTCGTTGACTCTTCCTATTGCGGCGATTGCATCCAAACCAAAGTCAACAGCAGCTCTTGCGAACTGTAAAACATTGGGAGTTTCCGCGAAGATACCTCCTGCGGCCATGTAGCAGTCACCGATGCATTTAATTCGTTCCATTACAGGCAATGACTCAATTATTGTATCGAACTCAGTGAAAATGTCATTCAATGTTCCTGTGACAACTTGTGCAGTGTTTGAAGAGCACCAAGGAGTGAATTCGACAATATCAATGAAGACAATTGTCGCTGAAGGAACAGAGAATGAAATATTCTTTTCGCCAGCTTGTACTCTTGGTACTAATGTTGCTGGCAAAATAGAAGCTAATAATCTGTCACTTTTAGCTCTTTCTTCAGAAATCAATTTATTGTACATGAATATTTGTGTTGAGTTTCTGATGGTGAAGATGACATCTTCTCCTGTCAATGCTGATGTTCTTGAGATGGACAAGAACTGCTTATCAGGATCTCCCTTGATAAACTGTATTCCGCATGTTGCATTCTTTGTTGTTGGATCAAACAATTTCTGCAATTTCGAGTTAGTTTCTGGTTGGAAATTTGTTGATTGAATGAAACTAGAAATACTCTGTCCAATCAATTCGTTGTTGAACAATGCAATTGCTGCTTTGTTCATTGATTTGACAGTGTAGTTCTGTCCGTTTGCAACAATGATTGCGTCAGGAAGTTCTTCGACCAAATTGTCATAGAACTGTGCATCTCTTGTTGACGAATCACCATTGTTTTGGCTGAAGTTTCCTGTGAGAACAGAAACGATGTATGAGTTCTGCATGACCATCGATGTCTGGCAAGCCAACAACAATTGCAATGTGTACTTCATCTTCTTGTGAATTTGTTTCGTGAAGTAAATAATCACGAAATAAGAAACAATGATACAGAAGAGACTTACACCGATGATTGATCCCCAAACAGGGAATTTGTCTCTGATTAAATCATCAACCATTTCACCAACAACTTCAGAACCAGGATACAAGAAATCATCGAAAATTCTGAATACAGCGATCTCATTAAACAATATAAGATCATCAACTCTTGGAGGAGGGATTAATCGCATACTGGTGTTTGCAGCTGTAACAATTGATGCATCAATGATAGAATGCAAGTGATAATATGCGTATTTGATGATGATATCAGGTGAGAAACAGTTGAAGCCTTCTTCCATTGTTTCATAGAGTTTCGTTGTGTTGCAATTAGCTAATTCTTTAGCTTTGACAACTAAATCTCTGAAATCAGGGAAAGGAAGAGAGTTGTCATCACCAAATCTCAAAGCGGAATAAAATTCAGTCAAATTGTCATTGTAAACTTCCATCATTTTGAATTTAGCGGCAACATTTGTCATAATTATTAGAGGCGTTAATGGAAGGAAATCAGTGAATGTCTTGTTCTTTAATATAGATGCGAGATCATTGACATTCATTGTCATTAAATCCAAAAATGTTGCTGTTGCCATGATATTGTGTACATGTCTTGAATTCTTTGAAATGGCGTTGCCTTGGTCCATGTACAATTTAGTCATTGACACTTCAATGAGAATGCAACAAACCATGATGATTAACATGCAAATTGTCAGATGCAAAATCTCTCCAACTGATGAGTTTTCATCTGTTGCTGCTGTTAATACCTTTAATAGGTTCTCTTCTTGTTTGGATGTCTCCATTTCACTGGAAATATTCGAATTGGATCTGAGGTTATTATTTTTGGTGGCGGTTTCGTCGGTTTTGACAATTCTCAAAGCTTCAGAAATTTGAGAGACAACGTTCTTTGGTAATACCATCAGTGTTCTGTAAACAGTGTTCTTATCTTTGGAGATTCGTTTCCAAATGATGTAAATAATGATAGAGAGAATAACAGCCAACAAAATAGATATGGCAATGACAGCAATGAACAAAATATGGTTTGTATGATCAATTGTTTCTGTAACGAAATCGGCAATTAAATCAGAAACATCAGCCATGTAATTATCAATTGATTTGATGTTGTAGAAAGGATTTCTCATTGAAGGTGACAACAATGTCCAATTTGTAATTTTAGTGGGATCATAATCAACAATTTCTGTCAATCTGACAACAATCATATTCAAAGCATCACTTAAACTCATTTCCATAGTAGAATTTAGAAAATAGTTGTTGAAAAGAACTATAGGAACAGAGGAATTGAACAAATAACTGTTTGCTGGTCCGAAATATTCATCATTTGAATGGTATCCTCTAAAATCAGAAAATATTTTCATTTTATCAAGGATTTCAGTGATAGCAAACTTGATTTGACCCAACAATGTGTCCTGGTTGTTAAAGTTCGTCATCTTGAAATCATTGAACTTGATGACATTGAGTGTTCTTAGTATATATTGATGAGCCATTGTTACAGCAACTGTTGCATAATAAGAAGCATAGTTTACAGCATCAAGTAGTTTGATTGGTTTCTGAACTCTGTTTCTGTAAGATGGTGAAAGAATGAGACAAATAACTGCAGCAACAATGACAATACCAACAACAATAGAAATGATAACAATAGTTAATTTAAGTGATGGAATCTTTAAGTTGTCAATCAAATCATTCAATGATCTTGTTTCATCAATTCTTTTTGTGATTGTTTCTTCATCAATTTCATCAATGAAAACTGCACTTTCTGACATTTCGTTGACACTAGAAAGTTGTAATTGTGTTGATTGTGTCAATATCTGTGGCAAATTTGGAAACGCTCTGAAACCTAGTTCTTGAGTATGATCTGAATGAACTCTGATACCTCTGGAGAGTAATCTTGTTGCATCTGATATTTCTTTGTATTTCTCCATGTCATTTGTAACATCATATAAATAGTTTGCGTATGTTCTATACAAGAAACGATTGTTTGGTAACTGTGTGAGTAATAATGCAAAAGAAGCATCTGTTTCTTGTATAGCTTGGTATGCAGAAGCAATTGCACCATCCATTTCAGCGATGTTTCCTTGAATGACTTGGTCCCAGATGTGTCTAAGTCTTCTCTTGCAGGAACCGATTTCTTTTGATACCTTCTGAAGTTTCTTCTTTAAATCAGCTGTCAAATTTGTTTCTCTTTGTTGGAAAATGATGTTTGACTGTGCAAGCATTTGCTTCACATTTCCTGATGACCATTTCTTGTTCATAATTGTCTGTACAATATACTGGTGGACATCACTTAACTCTGGATAAATAGCAACTAGTTTTGCGTATGTTATCCAGTAGTTTTCGTTGTCTGGATCACGTTCTGTGATATGTTTGAAGATGGTGAAATCTAAAGAGATCGGATGTGAGAAACGGAATCCAATGAGTGAGCAGGTGTAGAGATGATGGAGATGTTTGTATTCTTCTAAAACAGATTTGTCATCATAAATTCTGTCCAACAATAGAAGGGCCTTCTTTATCATGAACTGTTGTATAAAGTGTGAAAGGATGAAAATGACAAACAAAGCAATGATCCAAATGAAGAATCCGGCAATCGTCATTTCTTTCTTCAAAAAGATCATAATGGCAAACGCAAGATATGAAATAAGACCTGATATAGTGAAGCAAAGGAACACAGAATTGTGCCAAAACGATACAAGAACGAAATTCTTGTAAATTGAGAAATAAGCAGATAGAGATGCCAAAGAGCCGATAATCATGAATACTCCTTGGGAAGTTCTGGGCAAAAATGTGGCTAGACCAACAATGATTGCGGAAAATGTTGCGGTTTGGAATGTAGCCATTTGTTGCCAACCTGTAATAGTCATTAAAGAAGTTGGTCTAAATACAAGCGAGAATGAATAAATTTGGCGATAGAAGAAGTACCAAGTGAAATATGTAATGATAACTAATATCCACGTTGCGATATTGTATCCAAGAGACCAGTATGTATCAACGGATGCAATTATCTTACCAATGGTCTCGAAGCAGATTTCTAACAATGGACCTTGTAATAAATAACCGGGTACGGAAATGAAAAGGTGTATGAAATACATCGCAGCGACATTTAGAGTACCATAATGCTGGTAATAGTAGGCGGTTGCTGCAAATACTCCGAAAAATATGCTTGTTCCGGCAAAATAAATTACTGCAATAATAAAAGATGATTTGTCACGATAATCTATGGGGACAACATTCCAAAGAATCGAAAAGTAGTTGAAAAATTTGTGAATTGTAGAATTATCTGGATTTAGAGTTCTAAAATTTGATAAAAACATGTAACCGAAAATCTGAATAAGGCGCCAAACAGATACCACGCTGTGAACGTAATTAAGCGGAGAAATCATTGAGTCAATATAGTTCAAAACATTGATCATTGATTTCGTAAATTTTTTCACTTTGCTTTCCTGGATAAGTCCATCATACTTAGAACTATCCGTTGAAAAAGAAAGTGCTGCGCCAGGTTTCAAACTTCCATTAGAACTAGAAGTTTGAATCATGGATTAACTTAATAAGTTGATCTCTCAAATTTTAAAAAATACGTTTCAAAATCAATCGAATAGAAACACAATTAAACATGCTTTTATGAATAGGTTATAAAATTTTGACAACCTTTCAAATTTGAATTTTTTGAAATTGAGAGATTTCGCAACCATGAAGGATGGCGTTAAATATTATGAGATTTAAATTCGATGCTAGATTTTCTGATGATAGGGATTTAAGACTCGGATCAAAAATCTTTAATTCTATTAGATGTTTTACATATATATCAACAGCGAATATAGAATGATCGTTACTCAATTTGTGAAGGAGAATAAAATTTTGATAATCAATTCAATTTATTAAGTCATTAAAAATACTATTTATTATAAATCCAGTAATCATTTTTATAATCATAAAACTCTCAAATTTACAAGATGATAAGACTTTTTTAATTTATTGTGTAGAAAAACTTTAATGTATTCATATTCAGAGGAATTTTTTTGAAGTAAACGTTTATCATTCTCAAAATTGAAATAGATTTCACGTACAGTGATTCATTATAAATATGTGTAAAATGTTGAGTTGGTGTCAATATTCTGGTCGTATTTACTATAGTGATTAAATTCCGATTAGTCCAAGTCTTATTAATGGTTTGGTATGCAATAATAGAAACAGAAAACATCATTTTACAATGCTAGAATTTTATACTATTGCTATTGTTGCATGCTAAGTAGTGTCAATGTGTAAACCTCTCAATTTTATCGTCGGGGAAGCAACACAATTCCCTCAAAAATATTGAAAAAATATAGAAAATAAAATGAATTAAGATGTACTTAAAATGAGAAATAGATTATGATATTAGATTTTAGAAAAAAAAGACTTTTGATATAACTTTTGAGAATCTCATATAAAAAAAGCATTTAAAAATAAATTTAAATATCTTATTTATTTTACTATTGTAAATATATTCTGAGATTTTTAGAAAAAAACACTTTTCATAAGTATTCAATATTTGAGAATACGGTCCAAAAAAAAATTGATTCTCTTATATTTGCTTATATAAAAGGAAACTCTCTATCAGATGCGAATGCATGAATTCAGCACCTCTGATAGAGAGTTTCCTCTTATATAAGCGGATCTTTTTCATGAGTTATTGTTAATATAAAAACATAAAAAGCTACCAATATGAGAAATTAAACCCTGCGAGGTGCCAGTCTAGAACTGGCGCTTCGCAGGGTTGAATTTCTCTTGACAAATGACAAAACTTGTTCGCAATTGTGAACCATTGCGAGCAAGTTTGCCAGATATCTGGAAGGAATTGCTCCTTATGATATATGCATTGTAACTGTATATATCATAAAGAGCAATTCCTTCAATTAAACGCAAAAACTTTGGTGCAATCGTTGCTGATTGCACCAAAGTTTTCGAACTTTCCCGAGGGAATTGGAGGGTGAGAGATACATAGTCTATCTATGTACCTCCCACCCTCCAAATCCCACTCTAAATGGGAGAAACTTTGTTCGCATGTTATCTTATTCAAACAAAGTTTCTCCCATTTAGAGAAGGAATAGGAGCCTAACAGGCACTGATATATAATCAGTGCTTTGTAGGCTCCTATTCCTAATAAAAATTTGAAAACTTTGGAGCATTTGATTATTGTATTTTGTCAAGAGAAATTCAACCCTGCGAAGTGCCAGTTCTAGACTAGTGCCTCGCAGGGTTTAATTTCTCATATTGGTAGATTTTGATGTTTTTATATTAACAAAAACGAATGAAAAAGATTTGCTTATATAAGAGGAAACTCTCTATCAGAGGTGCTGAATTCAGGCATTCGCATCTGATAGAGAGTCTCCTTTTATATAAGCGAATATAAAAGAATCTATTCTTTTTTGGAGCGTATTTTCAAATATTGAATACTTATGAAAAGTGTTTTTCCTAAAAATTTAATATAATGCTTAGCACAATATATAAAATTAAAATATCTATAATTATTTTCTATATCACACTTTTCATTACACCTTGAAAAGTCTTCTCAAACTCTATTTTTAATTATTTTTTAGATATATCTCAAGTGTGATTATTCAAAAACTCATATAGACTATATTTATTTTTTTCATTCAAAAAATTATATGAGAATCTCAAATTAACTTTCAAATTTTTTATTTTAAAAACATATTAATAATCATATTTTAAGATACTTTTCGCCCAAAAAATAATCGTACTTCCTCGACGATTAATAGGCTCTCAATTTCTATCGTTGACACTACTTAGCATGCAACACTATTATCATAAATAAGCTCTTATTTATTATATGTATTTTTGATTTCGTATACTCCTTCACTCTCAACATTAGTACAATAGCACATGAACTATATATTTATTTGATATATCTTATTTTTGAAAGATTGGGAAAAATTTCATTTTTCAATTGTGAATTCAGAATACAGCGTAGTATGATCGTTGAATTCTTTATGTGTGTGGGATCTAAACATTTCACAAAAGTCATATTATGGAATATAATAATATAAGGCATCATGAAAACCAAGTCTTTTTGTGATTGTTAATTGATAAAATGGATTAACTTCTTAAAAGAATTTAATGTGATAATATAAAATATTTGAACTCGTGGACACGTCATCTCAGCTATATAAGATTACTATATTAATAATTTCTTGCAGTGTTCGAATTATTAATTTGTTAGGATCGATACAAGAATTAGATTAACTTCAATGAGATCACTGCATGTTGATTCAAAATTAAATCTTTAGGAAACCCCAAGAGGAATACAAGAAAAAGAGTAAAGAAATTAAGAATAGAAACAAATAATATTTATAATATAAGAAAGCAAACAAAATTTAATGAGATACAAGGGACATCATCTGAGCCTTAGCTGAAGAAGCTTGAGGAGCAGCCTTAAATGGATGGAAGGCTGGAGCGCCTGCATCATCGACATGAACTGTGATTTTAATTTTGGCTGGTACCTGCTCATCATGCCAGCATTTAAGAGTAAGTTCCTTTTGGACAACCTTGTTTAATTCAAAGTCACTTACCTTTAAGTCGATTTCGCCAATAAGATCATCGGCGAAAAAGCGGCGCTTCTTGTAGAGAGCAATTGTGAATGAGGAGTTGTTAGCATTGATAAACTTAAATCCCCATGCTTGAGCTGGCTTGTTTTGTGAAGCTGAGAATTCATGTGGATAGTCGCGGAAGCAAGATCTTGGACCACATGTAGCAACAATTGTGTTCTTTGATTCAATCTTGAATGAGCCAGAATTAAACTCATCGATTCGGATATAGATTGGAGATCCACCACTGATCTTTTGGTATTGTTCAGCGCTGTTGTGGAACATCAAAGCGATGTGAAAAATGAACTAGCCAAATGTTGACCAATAGTTAATTCAAAAATTCAATGTGATATTATCTTCAAAAATTTTTTGCAAATTTCAAGTTTATATTATGTATATAATATATCTTTGAAGATTAATTGTGATGGGTTTTGATAATGGATTCAAATAATTGTGAAAAGTTTATTATGTGAGTTGAATTGAATTTATGATTTTGAATAGTGTTAAGTTTCTTTATAGTGTTTTAATAAAATGAAATTTTAGTTTAGTGATGTTAAATAAATGATTACATCATCAAATCTAATTGATAAAGATTTGATCTCTCTCAATTTCTCATAGTTCAACTTTATGCCAGTTTAAATAGATATTTATACTATTATCTATATTTTTTAACAAATTGCCTCTAAATCGTCTTTCGATTCAAAATACAACAATATAAATATTTTTGGATTAATAAGGTAGTAAAGCTTATTTTTCATAAAAAAATAGGACCACCCAATTTTTCACAAAATTTATTTCTATCAAAAGTCTGGAATCTCTTGCAATTCTGATTTAGAATATTGATTGGAAACTATTTCTATCAAAATTTTATAAATTTAGATAAAAATTTATCGAAATGCGATTTTGTTGGATTCATCTTCTGCATTATGTATATTGTACGGCAGACTTATTTTTACAATTCAATTCAGAGTTTTTAATTTAAAATTTGAAATCACTTCACTTTTCACGGTTCGCATTTTTGGTAAAGTTATATTTATACCATCTAGATTAATTTCTCAAAAAATTATATCACAAATTAACGAGCGCTCTCTCAAACGATTTTTCAGTTTGAAAAGAAGAATGATGGCCATTCAAAAATCCGTTTTTATTTTTGAATACTTTTCTAATGTGTTTATGATATAAGATACCTAATGGATGATAAATTTTCATTTCGGATTTGATCGTTTCAATACGTTGGTTCAGAAATAGACGTAATTTAATAAAACTAATCTATTTACTATATGCATAATTACTAACTTAAGATGCAATGCTATTATTCACAAACAATTTTGAACAACTCTTTGTTTTATCCAACCCCAAATATTAATTTTCATCAAGCTTCATTATTTTTTGTTTTAATCATTCGACATAGATTAGTCTTATATAAATATTGTTAACTAATTTGTTATGCAATCAAAGATACATTCTGTATTCTAATTTGTATTTGGCGGGTTGTATTTAAGGCTATTCATTTGATTTCTATATCCATTGTGATTGCAATTTAGTAACATAATATGTTTTTAATATTTCTAAATATATATACTACTGATTATTGAGGTGATCCATTGATTTGCCTTATTTTTTTTGCATGGCTTCGCTAATAATAGAAATATATTTTACTTCAAATTGAAAGATCAATTTGATATTCAAAATTATTCTCCATTAGACTTTCTCTGAATAATTATATAGAGTTCCTTATCAATTAAGAATCATGGAATAAGCAATATGAAGTTCTTTAATCTATATGAATTGTTCTTAATATGCATGATTTATATCTATTTTCTGGTCAAAAACTCTTAAACATGTTATTTTGAAAACAATAATATCATTTGCAAACATATTCTCCTCTAAACAGATTAAAATTATTCTAATTACCAATATATCCCAAGTGAATTATCAACAATCCTCCTTTTTGTTCCAAAATTTCGAAATTTAGTTACTATTCTTTAATTTATATATTGTAGTGGTATTTAGTGTAATTTTCTTGGAAATTAAGCATATGAATTGAAGATTATCCCATATTATTAGTAAAAAAAAGATTATATAATAAAATCAAATTTTGATATTTATTTAGTGTTTAACGTATATAATATCAAATTTATCCTAATTATGAAAGGTGAAGACCTCTCATAAGATATCATTTCGATTTTGCTCTGCAAGAATTTGCTTTTGAATTTTTGAGCCATTTTGTTTTCGATAATTTACATCTTGATCTTCAATTGAGTGAATATCTGCATCGTCTTTGAGTAAAGATAGAGCCGGATCTGTTTTGTCCTTCATTGATGAAATATCTAAAGAAACCGTAAATTGTTCTTCAAAAGATTCTGAGTTATTAGAATTGTATCTTTCAATAAGATACTGTGCTGTCTTAGTATTATTTCTTGATTTTGCAATGTCTATTGGTCTCATTCCATCGCTGTTTTTGGCTTTAAGATCAGCGCCAAAATCTAATAGAATTTTCGCATTCTCAATGAGATTTACTGTTGCTGCATAGTGCAATGGTGTGTTGTTGAAATAATTCTTTGCATTTACATCAGCACCATTTTGCAATAAAAGTAAAGAAACCTCAAGATTATTGTTTCTTTCTGACAAATGCAGTGGTGTGAATGAATCATCGTCTTTATCATTAACCACTGCACCATGAGAAATCAAGCACTGAGCTATTTCTTTTGCACCGCACATCGATGCTAAATGCAATGGAGCCTTCTTTTCATATGTTGTATATTTGTTGATATCTGCTCCATTTTCAATCAAAATCTTTGCTGTTTTATTGCTCTTTCTAATAGTAGCAATGTGCAATGGCGTGTAACCATCATTATTTGTTAGATCGATTTCCGCACCATTTTCAATGAAGAATTTGGCTTTATCTTGTTTATCATTAGCAGCACAGATATGTAAAGGGGATTCTCCGTCATTATCTTTCTTATTTGGATCAGCGCCATTATCAATGAGTAATTTAATCATTTCATTGTTTTCACTTCCGTATTCTGCGCAAAGATGCAAAGTTGTGAAACCTCTAACTGCTTTATTAGGATCACAATTTCTATTGAGAAGAAGTTTAGCTGTCTCAATACTATTATACTTAGCGCATGTGTGCAAGCAAGTGTAGCCATTACCATTACTTGCATTGATGTTTGCACCTTTTTCAAGTAAGAAATTTGTCAAAGAAGGAATGAAGAAGGATGGACTGTAGATGAAGCAATTATCAATGTCTTCGTTAGAATCGATTGCAATGAGGAATGCATGAAGATTATCGTACTTCTTCACGAGATCTAAATCGACTTCAAGGTCGAAATTATTCTTCAAAAATTTGATGAAATTGAAGTTGTGAGAAGCAATGGCATTTTCCATGCAATAGCGTGTTGGTTTGAAATATTTGAGGCATTCAAGCATAATTTCTGGATTTCCTCCTAAGAATGATAGTTCCAAGCACTTCTCAGTGATTTGTAAGTCGTTGTTTAGTCTCAAAAACTTGAAAAATTGAGAATTTCCGTAGTATGAGCACCATTCGAGTAAATTCCATCTCTCTGTTTCATGGTGATATAATGCTTTTGTATCGAACTGTGTTTCGTTGAGTAATCTTTGGAACTGTCTTAATTTATTATTCATAATTAATTCTAAAACAGAATTGTTCTCATGAACGGCAAGGATTTCATCGACAGTCTTATCCTTATATGATTTAGGAAGTTCGATGTCAATTTCGTATACTTTTTTGAGAAGAGCTTTGAATGTAAGCGAAAAACCGTTTAAATTGAGAGAATTCGGATATTCATCATAAATCAATCGAAAAAGATTCCAGTAAAAGCTTAAAAAACGGCCGTGGACCTTGCAAGCATTATCGATACTCGAAAGTATTTGATTGGTATCGATTTTATACTTATTTATTAATACCAACTTAATTTCATGATGTAATTTATCGAGAGTTTCGTTATCTGGATGCTCAATATTATATATGTCTTCATAAACTGCAATATAATCTCTGTACTTCTGAACTAATCCTTCGAAAACGTTGAGCTTCCGATTGATGGTCATAAAAAATAATTAAACAGAAAACGATGAAAAATAATTCACTCAGCATTCAATAAAAAAAGTGATGATCGTAATAATGCTAGATATCAGTAATTTGGTATTATTCTAATGTTTTTTTTTTCAAAAAATTGAAAACTTTTCGAAATGAAATCTGCCCAAAATGCCATCATGTGATTACAGAGTGGTTATAACATTACTATATCTGAAGAATTATTATCCTTATGATATTTTTATTGGTTTTTTGTGTTCTATAATCACAGTATGGCTATCATTTGTTATGTAGGTTTGGTTTACCATCGCCGTACTATATTTATACTATCATTTTGAAACGGGAAATGTTTTATATACATAAAAGGATTGCTTATGAAGAAACTTAAATAGTAAGTATTAATTGAGTTGTTTTCCATACCCGGATATCAAATTCTAATTCATGCATATTTTGAAATAAAATCACGGCCTCACAAGCATATATCGATAAAAAAACATTTCCGGAATAAATTTTGTCTTTAGAAATGGAAAAATATCTACCAAATGTTCAGTTTTCTTTACTAGTATTAGACTAGTTGCTGTCTCAAGAATTGGAGTGTATGGTTTAAAAAACATTATCTGCAAACAATTAAACTTCCATTGATATCAGATGTTGGCGCTGTAACTTTCTTAATGTGCATTGTAAATACACTCATTCAGCAAGATGATATATGTATCTAATGCAAAAATCGAAATGGAAATCGAAGTTTCTGATAATTTTTTTACAAAAACACTCCTATGATCTGAATTTTTAAATGATGGCACATGGATAACATATGGAATTTATATTGTGGAGTCTGATAAATAAGGTTTTATATAAATTGAGAAGAAAGACAAATTTATTTTAATGTTAATGTATTATGTGATTGCATTACTCGAAATATTTTATTTTTCAGTCACTTTTGATTTACAACAAAAGGTGACGTCAATCAAAGAAAAATGGCGAAAAAATCGGAAGATGTTTCTTCTGCCGTTTTTCTGAATAAAGTTGATTCGTTTTCTATAAGTATGACAACAATATGTAAAAGATACTTAGAAAACGCTCCCAATGTCGATATAACTACTCCAGAAGGAGAAAAACAATTTCAGAACTTTTTCGAGAATTTCGATTTTAAAGATGATGGATTTCTGCGATTTATTACCAGTGTAGCTCGTTTTGGCTCTTCATTTCCTACGAAAAGTTATGAAATGTTCACAGAATCTTTTCCTATTATAACAAGCTCGTTAAATCAAATGCCGAAACTAGCAGATACTAATCGTATAGCTTTTACCGAGCGTTTGCATAACGTGGACTGGTCAAATCCCACACAAAAAACTTTAATATTTTTGTTAACTCAACTTGTATTCAGTGAGTATCTAGGTGAAATGCTTCCATACTTAAATTCACTAGCAAATGACAAGATTTCGTATTTCATTCGAGAAACTATTCAATTTGCAACTACAGATTGCATCACAAACTCTGCTCTTGTTCGAAAAGTAATTGCCCGTTCGCGTATAAAAATTATGTACTACATTACTAAGCTATCTCCTGAGTATTGTTTCGATAAAATTTCCGCATTCCTTTCTAACGCTTCCATGGAAATTAAACCAATCTATTACTTGATGTTTTCTTCCGCCCCCATCGGTTTAGTCTTTAAACCGGTCTACATGGAGACTTTAGTTCCAACATTAGAAGTTATCCAAAAAGCAACAGATCGATTTCTTATTTACACTGCATCAAAATATTACATGAACGTCGTTCTACAGATATTAGTACAAAATCCTTCTATGTCAACTTCATCTGCTTTTACTCATATTTATGACGACGTAAAGAAGTTAATAACAGTTCCGAACCAAAACAATGAACTCGAATGTTTATTTGCCGCTCTCACGAACTTCATTTTCGTAGATAAATGCCGATCCGCTGAAACATTTTTCCAAATTCATGTCAAACAATGCCAGTCGAGCAATCCTGCCATCATGAGAACAGATAAAACATTCATTGATTCACTCTGCATGAAGATGGCCGTGAAATTAAAAGGAGCAAACTACGAACCACCAGTTTTGCTGGAAGAAACTCACCACGACTTGAAATGGAGCTGTGATGTCGGATCAACGGATCAGTTCTACCAAGATATCAGTATTTGGCTCAAACAAAATATTTTTGAATTAAATAATAACATCGATGCGCATGCAGAGCTTCTAAAGATGTTATATGCCGTCAACCATAAAGCATTCCTTGAAAAAATCCTGCCAATTTTGAATAGAAACGAATATATAAATTCAATAGCGACAGGATTATGCAAATCCGTGATCTATGTGCTCTCTAACAGACCAGACATCCATTTTGTTGACATTGGAGAGTACCAAGTCCAAGTTCATGACATAATAATGAAAAAATTAAAAATGAGCAGCCAAGCAGACCAAAACGTCAGTTTCGACATGAACTCATTAACAGAAGCCCTTCAAGCATCAATAAATGATAAACCGATCGCTTTACAGAAGATTATTGAGACATTACGCGAAACAAGCTTTCCTTTCCCACTTACTAAGCGAACGACGAAGGTAGACAACCAAATAGCCAAAGAACTACAAGCATTCGACCAAAGGAGCCACAAATCCTTCAAAACTGACAATGTTTCGGAAATTGAATTTCCGAAATCTCTCTATGACAGGCGTAGAATTGATGAAGAGCTTGCCATACATGCAGCCTTGTATGTTGATCTCCAATCCGACCTCGTTACCTTGATATGCCATAGATTATTTTCAGAATCAGTCTACACAACTGTTCTAACAATCAGAGCTTTACAAGCTGCCATCCACTTGAACAAGAGATTGAGTGAAACAATATTTAATATGTTCGCCAAGATGTTTTTGAAGACAAAACTGACATTTACATCCATGGTTACAATTATTGTTGCAATGATTAACCTGATAGAGACAGCCAAGTACGAAGAAGCGACTTATTCACAGTACTGCATCAACTCCATCAATTTCATCATCGGAATGGGTCTTTGCGTTCCTCATCCACAGTTGAGAGAGAGGTTGTTTAAAGTTGCGAAAGTTTTGAACCAAACGAAAACAATCAATTTGTCAATTGTTGAATTCATATTGAATAATGAAGAAGAGATCTCCTCCAGAGCTATTTCCAATGCTCTTTCGTTTACTTCCGCTTTATCTAACATCAACAAATCGATGTTACCGAAAATTAATTTTAGAAGTGTCTTGGAATCAAATTATTCTTCTCTTTATTTGTTTTATTTGAGTAGTCTAGGTTTCCATTTATCAAAAGGATCCTTTGCTAATGAACATGAAGATATTGTCGTCAATCTCATGGAATTCCTTATGGGAATGTTCTGTAGACAATCTAAAAATCAGGAAGATTTTATGTTCATTTACAATTCATCGTCACTTTTATTCGCAATTTCTGATGTTTACGGAAAGAAAAGTGACGTAATTCAATACTTTGCCAAACATAGGATCCAAAGTTATTGGTCAAAGATGATAGAGAAGTTCAAAGAGTCTGATTTGATATTATTAGCAGGAATCATTTCAAACATGTCGTTGAAAATTTTCCCAGTATTTGCAACGATTTTGTCTAAAAGAAATATCAATTTCCAGTACATTATTTGTTCGATTATCAGATTGATCTGCAAGAGGAAAGACAATAATATACTTGATGAGAATGGAGATGTTACATTTATCTATTATAACTCTCTTTACAACATTTTGTTGACATTGATCAAAGGAAAAGTTGTTCCACAAACATTGGAGTTCAAAGAGAATTCGAACAAAAGTAATACTGTTATTGTTGGTTTGTTGACTTTCTTTGGCGATTGTCTCAAAGAAGTTTTCACAAAAATAACTCAATACCACAAAGTCAACATCAGTATTACTTTTACTGGAGAAAACTTGACTTATTTGTTCTGCAACAATTCGATTGGACATTCATTTGATACTGAAATATGGTTCACTTTCTTCTGCAACATAACAAGTAATGTAGAAGCACCGTATTTGAACTCTTTGACTGAAGCTTTTTCTCTTTGGATGAGAATTTCAAAGATTCCAACTGATTTGTTGCAAATTTTCTCAAAGAAAATACTTAATGACTTGAAATACTCTTTTATTATTTATAACGCGTGTTTCGCACAGCATCCTGAAATAACAATCCTTGAATTCATGGAGAAAAGTCGTTCTTCTTTCCCTATTTTCATGGCAATTTCTGATCAACTGCATTTTCCAAATAATTTGTTGTTTTATTTGCCAAAAATAGAGAAAGAGACTGATTTGATAGAGATAATAAAGAACTCTAATCACTGCAGTTTGTATTACCAATACTGCGGAAGATTGATGGCTCTTTGTTTCATGTATCTCGCGAGTAATTCTTTGAATGAAAGAATTTACGCTTTTAATTTCCTCGAAAAACTCGTTTTCATTTCCATGATGTATAGAAATGATGTTATTTCATGTGTGTCTACACTTAAAGTGTTCCAAAGTATAAAGAACACTTTGGTTTCCTCTTTCTCTGTCTTCATTCAGAAAGAAATCTTCAATCTTTCGAGTGAATTGGCGAAAACATTTGGTTTCTTGAGCGAACAATTTGCACAAGAAATCTTTTACATAGTCAAATTCATGAAGAAGAAGAGAAACAAAATGACGAATAACACTGTTCCTGCAAAGAGAAGACCTACATCTCTTAAAAGAAGAGTTACAACAATTGCGAAAATGGAAACAATTGATGTAAACACTCCAGAAATTTTAACAACATTGATGCCTGAATGGTTAACTCCAATTTCTTTCGATCTCCAGAAATCAGGTATTTCAAGTCGTTGCGAAAAAAATTTCAAGTGTTACACGTTGTATCTGTTTTTGCAAGAACTGTTGAGTTTAGTCACTGTCATTGGAATGATTCAGCCAATATCAGTGATCATGGGTGAAATTATTGAAAGAGATTTATCTTTCCTCATTTACGTTTTGTTGAATATTCAAGTGAATGCAGAAGATAATCAGTTGAAAGCATCAAGTGACTTAGTTCTGATTTACATTTTCTCTAAGATGCCTGAGAAGTTCTACTCAATAATTGTCCAGTATTTGGATATCTCGACATGGTACTTTTACAATGTTTTGAATGGAGGACAACCTGAAGAAAAAGAAGGTCTGATTTTTGCTGAACAAGAAAATATTTATAATGTTCTTGCTGAAATAGTTTTGAATGTAATATTGCATTGCTACAATGAAAACCCTGAAGCAGCATCTCCTTTGATAGAACATATCATTTTGTTCTGTTCTATTTTGTTTGCGGAATGCAGAGAAGAGAATTTGGAAGAAAATGAATATCCGACAATTATCAAAGTTCTGAAAAAATTCGGTGTTTGGGTTGATTCCAAATCTCTTCCGAATTTCAAGATGTTAGTTTTGAAATCGATTTCTTCACACGATATATTGATGTGGGGATTATGTTGTGGACATATTGTTATGTCAGGAACAGCTCTTCAAATTTTCTTTGACTTGGGATATTCCATTGATTCAACTCATGTTAATTTGATATTGAGAGCGATGCAAGCTGTTTCTAGTAATCTCAGTGAAAGAAGTGACAGTCAAAACAATTCTAGATTCAACAAATACATCTCTGTTTTGCATTTCGAATCAAAAAGAATCAATCTAAAGCCAGCAATTCAATATTTAACTGTTGCTTTGAATATTTTGGAGAGATATATCATTGATAAATCCGAACTTCCAAGATCAATATTCAATGCTGCAATACAGTTCATGAGGAACACAAACATGTCTTACAGACCTATCTATGTAATAAGTTTATCTATTGTTTCTAGATACATATCAAATGATCAGTTTTTGTCTGAACTTTCTCAAGACAGCCAATTGGACATTTTGAATTTGCTTTTCTCAGCTCCAAGAGAAGACAAATACGCAAATGTCCATGATAATCCATTCGCGCAAATCCTTAATTGCATGAGAACAATCATTTACACATGCATCGAAAAGAAAATGATCTTTGTTCTCACAAAAGATAGAGATGCTCCTGTAAAAGCTTTGTTCGCTTTGTATCCTTTCATGTGGGGAAGATTGAACAATATACACTCAATTCATAACATCGCTGAGTATTACGCGAAAATTTATGGTTCTGATGCAAGAATATTAGTAACAAACGCTATTTCAGGCCAATCAAGGTCATCAAAGAATGCTGAAGCGTTTTGGAACAGATTCAAGGAATATTTGCAGCCGGAATCAATAAATGATTTGTTGAAGTTCTACACTTTGATTGCTTTCAATGGAGATTCAGATCAGAAAGACGCCGTGTTTTGGATGACGAATTTCATGGCGAATTCTTTCAAAGAATCGAATTCCAAGGAAATCGCAGCAATCGCTTACGCAGCAATTGATGTCGGAGCAATTAATTCCGATGCTGTTCTTTCTTTGTTGCACACTTTGGTGAAGAACTTTTCCACTGCGGAAGATATCAAACAAACTGTGAAAATCCAGAAATTTACTGATGTCGACATTTATCCGAGCCAGGAAATCTTCAGATGGAAACCTCAAGCTGACGATGTCTTCAGGGATATGAACAATATTCCTCCTCTTTATGTTTGCGACAATATTTACTTGGGAAGTGAATTTTCCGAAAAAGAAAAAGTCGCAATACAAAGAATTTCTTGCACGAGATTGTTGAGATTGGCTGATTCATTGAGCAGAGCTATTCTACAAGGAAAGTCATCTACAAACTTCTGTGATGAATTGGTTGCTGATCCAGAGAGTTTCATCAATAAGTTGATTGGAATCATCAATGAAACTAAAAACAACGAAAATGAAAAAGTCACAAGAATAGTTCAAGGAGTTCCTTGTTTAGTCGCAAACAATGAAGTTTTCACTCCAACTGAAGAAGAAGTCGATTCAATGTGCAAGGATGCAATTGAAGACGCGATTTCTACTATTTCCGAATTGTAATTTATATATAATTATATATTTTATTTTGTTTAGATTTATTTTAAATATTTGCCGAGTTTTTGTTTTAAAAAATTGATTTTTTCTAAAGTGATGAATGGACGGAAATATGAAGTTGTTAAGCTTCTGGGGCATGTTGATCTACATTGATATAAACCATTTAAACACAAATGATACTAGAATTGAAGGATAGATCCTATTTGGAAGCCATTTCTCAACAATAGTAGAAATTTGAAGAATCTGAAATTATAATTGCAAGTTATGAAAAGAAAAATTGGAATGAATTGAAATGGTTCTCTAAGGTGCATATCATTCATTGGGCAATATGTTCATTCTTATTTGCTACAATACTAAATATTAGATCAGGAAAATCTTAAAAATGTAGAAAATAAAAAATAATATAATTTTTTATTCTTTCAAACAAACACAAAGACTTTCTAGAGATATATTTCTCCATTTGAGTAATTCTGTAGTTATATTCTCATCTACAACAGTATTATTTAACTTATTCTTGAATTTTTTGAATAAAGTATCAAATTTGATTCTGTAGTTATCAGGAAGCTGTTTCTCTGTTTCTTCCTTCATTTTTGCATATAAATCTGACTTCAAAGAAAAAATTGATTTCGAAATAGTTTCTGCAAGCAACATTTTTGGAATTCTTCTACGGTAAAGAAGTTCATACCACACTTCTTGTTCCATTCTCCTGATACTTCTGATGTCAGCTGCTTTTTTGAGGCAAATTAAGTTAGAAAACATATAAATTGCCTTGATTCTATGGTTTTCTTCATCAGAAGTGAGTAGATTCATCATGTACTTGGAGATTAATTTCATGAAATCTGTTGAAATCTCAAGAAACAGTTCAATATTATTTTTATTTGTGCAAGCAATGAAGAAATCACATAATCTCGACTTTATTGGATCCACAATTTGATTTAAGAATTCTTCTGAGTTGCACTTATTGATAAATTCAATAATATTCGACTGAATTTGATCAAGTTTATAAATTTTATACAATCTGAGATCAAAAACAGTTGAATTGAGTATCATGGTCATTAAACTCAAAGCATGGTCAAGCAATGGATCACTTTGTACGTCAAATGAATAGTTAATCAAAGTTTTTGCAAAATTCATTGCACTGAAATACAAATAAACGAACTCTGAGCCATTTCTAAGCTTAAACTTGCTCTTTTTCTCATTATCCTTCAATAAATTTTCATATAAAATTGAGACAATTATAAAATTCTTTTTGTCATCGAATTCTGATATGAATTTAAGTATATCTCCCTTAAACCAATCGAAGAATGTCATGAATTGGTCCAATTTGTTGGCAATTAGACATAATGAGTTTAATAACGTTATTCCCATGACATTTGGCTTGTTATCAAGGATATATTCAACAGATCTGAGTACTTCATCCCTATGTTCTTGACTTGTCAAGTAATATTTGTAAATTTTGACAAATAATTTTGAAGATTCGTAAAAAGTTTCAATACTAAAGAGATTTGATGAAGGATCTTCAATGCAATGCTTTGTCAGTTCTTTAAACTCTGGAGTTGTCCTGGTTTCGATCAGTAAATTCAGACAAATTCTTTTAATTTGAGGATTTGAGAAATGCATGACAGAATCAGCAGCAAAATTACATGTTGATGAACGGAACTGGTCATAAAAAGCAATATGAACGTCTTTAATTGACTTTCTCTGCACATGAATAATTTTTTCTGTGAAAACACCGAATTTTTCAAGATCTTTTGGTTCTCCTTGCTTCGCAGCGAAGTAATGTGAATGTATAATCTTGTTGCAAGCGACTAAAATTGAAAAAACCAAATGATAATTTTCATTTTTCGTCAATAACTCAATATTTTCATGAGCATTGTTAAGAACAGTTATTAGTTCATTAAACAAAGAATCGTTGTCAGCTGGATTTACTTCTTTCTGGTTAATTAGATACAAAGAAGCCAATTTCACGAAAAATGACAATTGTAGTTCATCAGGAAGTAGATTTTGGGCATTTCCACCTTTGAGTTTAGTGAAAAACGCTATTCCAGTGTTTTTTAGAGTAATTGTAAGTGGAGAATAAAAAATTTTGTCGTAATTTGGTCCAAACTTGGCCAAAAGCTCAATAAACTCTGGTGCATCAACTGCATCATCACTTATTGCGTTCATAACTACTTCATCTTTAGTAAAATCTGTTGAAATTTTTGAAAAAATGAAAGTTGTCAAATCTAAAAGAACTGGAACGTTCTTTGTATTAGACCATATCCTTAGAAGACATATAACATGTAAAAACAAGTTATTGTCGATTATTTCTTTTGTAATTTTGATTAAATTTTTTTCTAAAATTTCATTGATTTCTGGTGATGTTTTCTTGATGTATTCTGCCGTGACATTTAAAAATATCTGCAATAGATCATCATTTTTGAGATTCAAAACAACATTTGAATAAGATGTCAAAATGTTGAGTAAATTGTTGGAAACTGCTGGATTCTTTATGAAAGATGAATTGAGTGTACTATAAACTATATTTAGAACTGCTTCAATCTCACTAGCTTCTGAAAAACTTCGATATTGATCTGCAACTTCTCTTGTGAAGATTTTATCAAAAGAAATACCTGTTTCTTTGAATATTTCTTGTATTTCTAACGTGGAAACTATGAATTCGCCAAGATATTCGCCAATTAAAGAAGGATATTCAATTTTCATTGTTGTAACACGTTCTGCACGATAAACGAGTGGTCCAAATGATTTTCTTGCTAGTAATAAGAAGTTTGTTGGGTATAATTCATAATTAAATAAAGGAATTAATCTAAAAATTGAAGTTGGAATTCTAACGTAAAAAAGAAGTAAAATTTCGTTTTCCTCGAGCTGAAAATTGCTAATCAGTTTGTGTGAGAAGTCCATAATTGTAGAAGATCGATAATAAATGAAACATGTTAAAACTGCAATGGAATACGTATTAGATAAGATGTCAATTACGAATTTCTGTTCATCGTATTGTAAATTTTCTATTTCTGGGCTTCTGTCTTGCATTAATTTTGTAATAAATAAAGAAAAAGTTTCCAAAACTGAAGCTGGAATGTTTCTGAAGTCTAGTTTGATATATAGGAACGCTATTCTGAGTAGGAATACGAATAATGAGAGTGAAGTATTAGGATCAATTGTAGTTTGTTGAATAAAGTCAAGAAATCCATCACTATTTACGATTTGTGCGATTGTGTTATTCGAAATTATCTCATCATCGCTAATATCCATCTCTGAGAAACTAGTCAAAATTGAAATTGGATCATCATCCATTCCTAGCTATTACTTTTATCTAAAATGAATTGATTTACTAAATGTTATAACTATTAATATCATTATGGAACTAATATTATCTTATTTTGAGCGAATTTTTGAAATCATCAAGATATTTCTTTAGAACCAACTAAAACTTAGTTTATTTCCTTAGTATTTAGTTTTAAACTCATAATTTTGACTCACTTATAGTTTTTGTCCTGATTTTAAATCTCAATTCTTTCAATTCGAAATGTTGATCAAAAATATTAACCGAGAAAAATATATATGCAAAATTATAGAAATTCATAAAGCTTTTTTGATGTTTGAAGAAATGAGACTCCATATGATAAGAGAGTGTTCTATCTATCCATCTAAAAAGATTTATAGAAAATTCCCTATACCAATGGGAACTCATATTAGCTCATATATATAACCAGGATAATTACAATGGTCGAAAACAAATCTATCTCTGTGAAAAAAAGGTAAATTAAAATGAAAGAATAATAAATATTTTTTTATTGATACAATAAATCAAGAGCGGCCAACTTATCGCCGTTCAAGTAGCTAGTGATGGCATTCTTCAAACTCTCATCATCAATCATTGTCTGACCCATTGCGATGTCCTGTTTGAAGTCAATTTGATCCTGTGGAGCCAATTCATTCAAACATCTCTCGAAAATCAAGAAAGGAATGTACATCCTTGTTGCGTGTTTCACAAACTCAATTGCCATTGCCTCACCAACCTTTTTCACTGTTGAACATTCCATCATCAGTTTACGCCATGATTCAACAAATGTCATGATTTTATAATGATCAAAACCGACATTGTTTGACATCCAATCCAATGTAGCAATCAACGCTTCCTCCTGCATTTTTTCCTTGTCAATGTTCTTCTGCAGCACTTTCGTGTAGCACCTTGTTCCTGCCTCGAATATCTTTGAATTCTTGAAACTCAGCATCAACTGACAAATAGAGAACAAAAATTCAAACTGAGAAGTTTCGACATTTGCGTGAGGAATTGCTTCTTCAGTCACATTCATTGCGTAGACAAGTTCAGAAGGATTGTTGAATGATATAGGATCATTGAAACACGAATACAACAACACGTTATGTAGATATCTCAATTCTTCTTTCTTCAAAATCAAATTCAACAATTTCGAATAAGAATAAGCAATTGGAGGCAAATACAACCATTTCTTGATTCCGTCAATCAATGGTTGTATAGAGTTCTTCAATGTAACTAAACAATCATCACTGCCATATGAATAAACAGTTTGATATGCCAATCTGACACTTGACATGACAGAACTTGGCAAATCACTATTCAAATATTCAATGATGATGTCAGAAATTGAAGTATTTGCTCTTTTTGCCTTTCTCGCTTTGAGGATTATCTTTGTCTGGAAGTAGAGAGCATTTACAGGGTTAGTAAATGCTTCATTGAAGTACCTTTTGATCACTTTGTTGTGTTCATGGGATGTTCCGGCGTATGCAACAATTGAATACAAAACTTTAGCGGAAAGTTTCTGATCTACGTCGTTTGCAAGGTCGCGCATGAAGAGGAACACGATATCTCGCATTTCTTTTGTGTTTTTAAGCGAATGAGCTAAAATTAAAACACAATATAAGGCGAAATGCAACTTTTTCTTCTTGAATTCGAGATTTAGGATCTTAGGAAGCAAGATCTCTCTGATCTTGTTGTTGTCTGATGATCTGGACACGAGTTTACATAAAAATAACAAATGATCTTTTTTAATTTTCTCCAATTCCAAGAATTGTTTGATGAAATCATCGATATTGTACAATGCCCATGCCAAACAACCTTCTTCGTTCCCGTTCTCTATGTCTTTTATTGAAAATACTTTTTCAATACTTTGGATTTGGTTTTTCTCCAGTTTGTACACGAAATTAAATATAGGGAGAGCACATTTGGAGGAAATAATCGTGTTTGAGAAGTCAATTTTTGTCTTTTTGATGTAAGATTGAATCAGACAAGTTTCGTAGAGATCTGAGCGGCCAATTGCTGAATAATACGCGATTTTCTCCTCCCATGTGTCTATTACTGGTATTTTGATCAAAGATTCGATTGTTACTTCCGAGTTTTTGTTGATTTCGTTTGTTGCTTCCAAATTAATGAATTCGTTCTCGAATCTATCAACAAAACCAGGTATTTTCTTCTTGGACAATCGAATGAAGACGTTTGCTTTGTCATGTGGAAGCGAAACAAGGAAAGTTTGGAGTAAATCTCTGTATTGTTCGTGTAATGAGCCTAAGAAGCCAGCAAAACTGTACAAATCATGGGCCATGTAGTCCTTGTGGTTCTTTATAAAGAATAAACATGTTCTTGTGATCATATCTAAGAATCCTCTTGGTAAATTTCCAGGAGTCATCTTGTACAAGGCTATTTCAGCCCATTTAGCATGTACATGTGGACTGGATACTATATACAACTGATTGTGGAGGCTGGAAACTAATTCTACCCTTTCTTCGTCTGTAAATTCTCTGAAATTCTTCGCCATGAAGTTTGTACAGAGATCTGGATAGAATCTGAACAGTCTGATGCAGGCACTGATCAAGAACTTCCTATCTACAACGCAAAACTTGAGATTCAGGATTAATCTGGCGGCAGAATAAACAGGTCTCAGTTGTAGAATGGTGGAATGGGAGTTTTTGTCAGTAATATCAACAGGATGTCGTCCAATGTATTGGAAGAGCTCCTTGGACCATTGCATTGATACTTCTTCGTCTACAGATAAAGATTTGATTTCTCCCGTTAAGTATTGGATTCCGTAGTGGATGAAAACAACTGAGATGTCAATGAGACGCTCTAAAACTAATACTTTGTTGTTCGAATGGTCGAAATGAGATAAGAAAATCAAAATATCGGAAATAAACTCGATATCATCGAATTGTTCGTATAATTCATACAGACAGTCGATAAACCCGTTCAAAACAGGTATATCTCTGTTCATATTTTCTAAAATATTATTTAAAATTTTTAAGTGCGCGTGAACTGACTCTTTATCGAAGAAATCAGTGCAGAACCATATATCCTGAATAACGTCATCGAAAAACTTCTGGGACAAAATTTTCAAAAATAAAATGGCTTCTGAGGCAAATTGTTCGTTTGCGTTTGTTGCGTACTTTATCAATTTCCTGCGAACAATTCTCTGTCCATCCGAGCCAAAAATGAACGGATAGAACGTAATTTCGATGCTTTGTAGAGCATGAAGTATTTCTGATGAATGGAACCACGATTGCTCCTTACCAAGAAGAGTGGAGTTAAGTAAGTAGTAGAATTTCGGTGATTTTACGTATGTTATGACGTTATTCGCGCATTTTGAAATTGAACGCAAAATTGAAGTAAAATGACATATGTTTTGAGTGTAGGCGTCGTATATTAAGTCTATAATTGTCGTAAGTGTCTCTTTATTCGTCGTTTTCGAAGCTAATCTGCCTAAAGTTTCAATTTTTGTTCCGATGACAGTAGAAAGGTTGTTTTTATCAGGAGTAAGTAAGCTAAGTGGTAAATTTAATGAATAAAATGTCGGATCGTTGATATGGTTTGTAAAATCGAAAGATATTGTTTTATCATCGTAAGTTAGGTCGATTACGTTGTCACCTTTGTAAGAAATGGATATGTTTTTATCGTCTGTTGATAGAATTATGAAAATATCTGTTTTTGTGGAAAAAGATGTGTTTTCAAGTAAAAAATTGAATGCTGCAATCTGTGCTGGCTTGAATTGCGGCCCAAGAACCAAGTTTCCAGCAGAAACGAAGTAAGCTAAAGCGCTAATATACTTCAAACTCCAATTATTTTCTTCGCCAGCGGAAATGAGCTGTTGAATCAACAGTTTTCTGTCTTTATTGAATACAGACAGTGACGCTGACAGCATTGTTCTCTCTCCTGATAGGATAGAAGCACGTAAATACTTTGTAAAGAAAATTTCGAGCCATTCTTTATTGCAAACACTGATATTGAATATGATATTGGAAAGTCGTTCTGATGCTAAAACAGATTGTTGGAAGAAATGATGGAATATCGGTGTAGAAAGCATGAAATCGATTAAATGTTCTGGAGAAATGTAGTTTGTCATGTAAGCGAATATGGATACGATAAGAGTGGAGTCATAATCTACTACTGTGCACTCAATAACTATTTTTGAAAAAGCATTTGACAATTCTTTTGTATAAAATGTACAAACTTTCATCAAAAACGTAGTCATTGATGCGTAAATGTAATTTTTCACTTGGGATGACTTAATTTTGCTGAGATCTAAGTATGACATGAATATTTTGTAGAAATGATCTTCAATAGTTGCGCTATCCATTTGCTTGAAGATTGTAGCACAGATAGATCGCTGAAATATCCCTACTTCTTCAACTATTTCCATCTGGCTAAGAGTATGGGTGGTGATTTGTTCAAATCGGAGCAAAATCTCCACCATTCGATCAAAAAATTGACAAAAAAATTGAATGAAACAAATTTTATATTAAATTACAACAGAATTTAGATTGTTTGATCATTTGCTCAAATATTTTTTAAATGTTGAACAACTTTGAAAGAAAATTGAACATGAAATCATTCATAGAGCATTTATCTATTAATGGATAATTATCTCATCTTAAATAAAAATCTATTATGTGGTTATTGCTTGCAATTTGCGATTTTATTCAAAGATATGAATTATAACAATGATTAATGAAAACAATAATGAAACTCTAATGTCTTGCCTACATATTGAGTATTTTATATATGCAAATTGGAATACAATCAATAAAGAAAATCTCTCAATATATGATAGAGAATAGCAGTTTACATTTGATATTAAGCACTTTTAGGAAGAATTCAGTTGATTCAATTTATTGATAATGACTCAGAAGCATAAAATACAATTCAATATGAATTATATTTCGAATTATGATATAGTTTATTGGTGAAAAAGTGTATACATAGATAGTTCTGGTTATGTACAGAATATAGATCATTTTCTGAGAAGAGGCAGGAGCACGACGATAAAAGTGGCCGTCCTTTTTGATGTCTCGTCAAACAGTCAACGTTCTCGCCCAAGACGGCCAGAAGGCTTCAACCATCGAACTCCCAAAGGTCTTCGATACACCAATCCGTGCTGAAGTCGTTAAGGAGGTCTACGTTAACCTCGCTAAGAATGCTCAGCAGCCACACGCCAACGACCCAATGGCTGGTAAGAAGGTTTCTGCCATCTCTTGGGGTACAGGCCGTGCTAAGGCTTGTGTTCCACGTGTCAATGGTTCCGGCTCCAACAGAAATGGCCAAGGTGCTTACGCTAACTTCTGCCGTGGTGGCCACCGCTTCAACCCACCAACACTCCTTCGCCGCTGGTTCCGCCCAGTCCCATCCCGCCAACGCAAGTTCGCCATCGCTTCCGCCATCGCCGCTACAGCTGTTGTCCCACTTGTTCAGGCTCGTGGCCACGTCCTCGGTGAAGTCAAGGAAGTCCCAATCGTTGTTGTCGATGCTGTCCAGGAGATCAAGCGCACACGCGATGCTGTTGAGCTCCTCAAGAAGGTCGGCGTTTACGGTGATGTCCAGCGCGTCCTCGATGGCTCCGTCCACCGCTCCTCCAAGGGCAAGTTCCGCCGTGCTGCCTACAAGACAAAGAAGGGCCCACTTGTTATCTACAACGAAGACAAGGGCATCGTCAAGGCTTTCCGCAACATCCCAGGCGTCGAGACAATCTCCGTCAAGGCTCTCGCTCTCGCTAAGCTCGCCCCAGCCGCTCAGGTTGGCCGCCTTACAGTCTGGACAGAGTCCGCTTTCAAGGCTCTCGATGGCATCTACGAGTCCAAGAAGCGCTTCTCTCTTCCACGCTCCATCATGACAAACGCTGATATCGAAGCCGTCATCACATCCGATGCTGTTCAGTCCGTCCTCAACGAGAAGAAGGAAGTCGTCCCACTTCCAAAGTGCCGCTGCTGCAAGAAGCTCTCCGTCGGTGCTTGCGAGGACTGGCAGAAGGCTCTCAAGGAAGTCGCCGAACTCCGTGCTGCTCAGGAAGCTAAGCGCACATCCCCAGAAGTTGTCAAGGCTGTCTTCGCTGAAGCCGTCGCCGCTCAGCCAGCTACACCAGACAACATGTCTACACAGATCATCAACCACATCCCACTCTAAAAGATGGAAAGTTGAGCCTCCAAATGGGGTATCAATATATTTACGAAATCTACATTAATTTTTTTTCAAATTTTTTTTTCCAATTTCGATAATTTTTAGATTGCGTAACAAATCTATATTGAAAATATAAATGTTTTTGATTTACATTCTTTACTCATTAGTTGTTTCTTGTATTTTTGTTTCTTCTTGAATGATTTGATGAAGTCAAGCAAAATTAACATATAATCGATCTCATTGAGAAAGAAATTAGTTGTTTCAACAGATTATAAATAGATTCATTCTGTAATGTTATCTGAAATATAATTTTCTTATTGATAAATTTTTCATAAATTTCTTATTTAGTCGAATTTTGTTCAAAAATATAATTTTCATGTAAAATAATTACATTCTATTGCTTTAAATATGGTATGAATCTCCAATAAAATTCGAAAAATTCAATTTTGATTATAACTTCAACAAATTTTTGCATCATATTTATGAAAATGAAAAAAATTTAGAAAGACCAAAACAGCAAAATAGACTTCTTTGATCTCAGTAGGCAAAGTTTGAAGTGAATTTTTTTTAAAAACATGTTGTTAGTTAAAATAATCATCAGAATTTATATATAAATCATGAACTATTTGCTCACAGACTTACCTTATTCTTCTAATTTCAATATCTAGGTTATATGAAACTAAAAAAAGTTGGATTTCATTTTCAATTAAATCGACTATACAAAACAAAATCTTTATTAAATAATTACAGCTTTCCTTTCTGCTCAAAAGCGCTTATCATTCTATCAAAATCTTTCTCCTTGCTTTCTTTCCGCTTGTATAAGAAAATGAAATAGAAAGCTAACAAAACAAACATAACAACAACAATAAGTATAAGTGGAGCAAAATCAGAATCTACTTCCTCTATATCGCTAACTAAAACTTTTTGCTTCGTAAAAGTTATTGAATCCCATGATATGTCAACCTTAGTATTTTTCTTCTTCTTGTTCTTTCTGACGCATTTAACTGTTGTATTCGAGAGTAATGTTCCTTCAACAATAATATTGTTGAATCTACAAAAAACTGTCTTGGGAGATTCCCATGGAACTGGTTTGATGGTAACAAATATCGTCTTTCTGTCTGGTTTAGAATATGAACGAACTATTGTTGGGATATTAGTATCACATCTTCGATATCCATCGCCAAGAGTGAAATTATTGCATTGACATCCTCTGTGCATTGTGCAAGTTGCACGGTTATGGCATCGTGGACGGCATCGCCAGCAGCCAGAATCAATCGGATCTCCAAAATCGTAAAATATTCGACAGTGACATTGTCCACCGTAATATATTGTGTGTGGTTTAGTACATTCTGATCTAGGAACAGTTCTTGAGCGTAAATCTCTTTTGCCCTTTGAAATAATTTCAGAGACACCACCGGTTTCGGATGTGTCTAAGCCACCACGAAGATGGATATCTATTCTTGTATTACCTGCAGTACCGAACATTTCAATAGTTTTTTCTCGACAATGATTTTCTTCTCCGCCTTGATCTAAACAACGCTCCATGAATGCTTGTGCAAGGACATCAGAATCTGCATCTGATAGGTCCTCAAAATCAAAATTTTGACAAGATTTTAGGAGCAAAAAAATCAAATTCATTCGAAAAATTTAATCACGATTATTTTGAATTCAATAATTGAGTTCGAAATCTCATGCATAAATTATAGGAAATCACAGTCAAACTCAAATATCAGTTTATAATTAAGCAATACACGATGGGAATAGGAGAATTTTCGATTCAAATAGCATATATTCAGAAAATATGCAACTCCAAATTTCAAATTAATGTTTGTAGTCATCAAAACCAACCATTACTTCTACGGGCTAATTATTGCGAATTCTCTCAATATATCAAAAACCAAATTTAAAATTGTAAATAAAACAATTAAAAATGTTCATAAAAATTAAATAAATGCGAAGATTTTGTACACTGCAGACAATAACAAAAGGGTATGAGACTTTCATATCTCAATATTTAACCAAATACAAAGAAAGTAAAATATTCTGTAATGGTTCTTGTGTATACACTTGAAAACGTATTATCCTATTGAGGCATTCTGTTTTTGGATCGATTTTAGTTACAGTGCATATGAAAAAACAAAAAATGTTCAAAATTTCACTCTAAAAGAAGAAATGTAGGAACGATTTAACTACTCACCATACGGTTTTGGTTAAAGTGTTCCGTTTGTCTCAGGATTAGAAGCCCCATATACACCAGCATACAGGGGTAACAATCCCGAAATGATCCGACCACACCTTTCAATTTTTGAATAGGATCTGATTTTATTTGTTTCGGGTTTCCAATCTGAAGTAGTTTTCCTACTATGTGACAAAAGTTGGCTTTGAATCGGGCTTATTTGGCATGAAATCATGACTTTTTATCTAAATTTTGATCAAAATTCAATGGTTGAGAGTTGATTTTCGGAATATTATTTCAGGATTAATAGAAGATACTGTCAAGCTTATATTCCTCTTGATTAATAATAAAAAAATGACAAAATGTTTTTTTCGCTTCTTTTGCATGTACGATCTGAAATAAATTGTTGCTTCTTTGAATCAGATTCGTCACTTTGCTCTGGAACAGCAGATTATTACTATACAAAGACAAATTATTCGGAGTTTTCGAAACTTGATACAAAATCTGACCTCCAGGTACAAATAGATGCAATAGGAAATATAAACTATGAAATACCATTGGATATATTTAATGTAAATAGTTCGGTTGTCATTCAAGGTAAAAATTTCAATGAATCAATAATAAGATTGATATCAACTCCTATTAAGAATCTTACATTAGAAAAAATGACAGTAATATTTACTAATTTAACAGATAATGCTACAATTAAACAACACAGATTCAATATATTCATGTGTAGAATACCGAAAATGAAACAGTTAATTTTCGATGTTGATGTATTTCTTAAAATGGATCTATATTCAGCAACAAATATTACGAAACTTCGATATCAAAAAGTCCGCTTTTATACAGAGAATTTCGTATCAGAACCTACTACATTAGACCTAAAAGGACTAGGAACGTCTTCAGTTGTTTTCAATTGGACATTACCTCCAGGAAATATTACATTTTATAAAAATTTGATAAATATTACGCTAAAAGCTTATCCGAACAAATACGTTATAATAAAGAACGCTGAGGATCAAGAAATCTATTTACACTGTCCTTTTTCAAGTAATTTCACTTTCATTTGTTATCAGGCTTATAATATACTCGGCGCTTATAAGATCACTACAGGATTTCTTAATGGCGGCAATGTTGACTTCCCAGCTTGTACATGGCCTTCTTATCCGCATCTTCCGTTTTATTTAACAGGAAGAGGAAAAATTACGATCAATTGCGATACAGCTATTTTGCCAGCCAATGTCTATACAAATGACGGAGAATTGACGCTTACAATGAAAAGACCAGATTCTATCATTTCTGGTGCACTTACAATGGCTTCAAAAACAAGTATCATTGGAAACCACATGCTTACAATCCAAGAATTAGAGTTCCAAAAAAAAGCTTCACTGACAATTTCAGATAAATTAATTTTGAATTCTCCAAGAGTAACAATGGGCACTGATGAATCTTTATACTTACAAGGAACTGGATTCTACTGTTTTGATAAAATTATTAACAAAAGAACTAATTTGACAGCACAAATTAGTAATTTCCAATTTTCTTCTAAAGGATTGACAATAGAACTTTATAGACGTGCATTAACTATTAGGATAAGCAATACAGGTCACTCAGAATCTCAGGATTTGAAGTTTTACTATCCTGATTTTGAATACAACTCTTCCATTGATACAGATCTCTGTACTTTTGAAATGCCTGGTGCAGATTCATTACTCCCATCCATTGTAAGGAACTATACAGACATTATTTTTGAAAATTCTTCATTTCTTTTCTTAGAAAAATCAACACAAGGGATAAAATTGAGGGGAATCAGGTTAGAATCTGATTTGTATTCCCAATATTGTGTAGGATTTAATGATACTGTTTGTCCGAAAAATTCAATTTTATTAACTGACAAAAACATAAGTGAATGGCCAACGCAAGAAACAAAATGGCTATTTAAGTTAAAGTTCTACATAGATCCTAGATATCCAGTTGAAAATCCAATTTTAAACTTGGCCAACTTCAACAAAGGCTTAACTGTTACAATTGATGGACCAATTATGCTTGATTTAACAAGTTTCAGAATGTTACAGAATTTAAATGCCCAGAATTCCAACATTTTTATCAATCATCCAGTTATTGCTCCATCAATGGAACATATGAAGTTCAAAAACTCAACCTTGAGCCTTGAACTTACCAGAATTCTTGGAAAATCCAGGTATGTCGAACTAGATTACCAAACAGCCAAAATCATCTCACAAAAATACCCTTCAAATACGTATGGAAAGACATTATACCTTAACCTTGAAGGTAGAAATGTGACAATTGATAGCGAAGGTCTTTATTTTGATGACATTAAACTTTATTCACCAAGAATTAGACTAATAACTGATGGAAAACCTCTTAGAATCGTAGGAAATCAGATTAATATGACAAAAACGTTTAGTTTGTCCATAGAAGATAGTCCAAGTAAGTTAATTCTTGAAGGAAGATTTGATAAGGAGTTTCAGATCAATATTACTGACTACTGCTCCAATATCATATCAAATACAGAGGATATACCATTCTATATTACAACAAATAAGCCAAACCAAACAATTAATTTCAGATCCAATCGAAATTACTTTATTTTTAGCTCAACTGTTGACTTTAATGGAAACATCAAGTTCGAAATACCTTATGATGCCGAACTGAGCTTCGATGAGCTAATAATGAGTGAACATACAGTTTTGACAGTTCCAGAAGAAAATGTTAACCAAATATATGTCAATAACTTGATTATTAACAGTTCATTCATTAATTTGTCAACAAATGAGTTCGAAACAACGAATTTTACTGTTCATCAACTTGGATCTGAAGTTTATATCAAGAGGATCTCTTACTATTCGAAATTTACCATTAACTATAGATTTAGAATGACTCAGATGCCGTTTTTAGTAATAGATCCCTCAATTAAATTAGAAAATATAATATTTAACTTTAGTTATGACGAATCTTCACTTGAAACTGACATGCAAATGATTAAGAATAATCCAGAAATGTATTATGAACCTATTCCAATCATTTGCGGTCAAAAAATCAACTGCACAAACTGGGAATCGAAATTTAACAATGAATTTTTCGATAATTACTCAGATACTATGTGCTCTATTGATGAAGATTATGGATACTGCTATTCTTTAGTCATTCCAGAACGTGTTTCACATAGAAACAAGCTTCTTCTTTTAGGATTTGGCTCAGTCGGTGGAGTTTTCTTCATTTTTATGGTTGTACTGCTAGGAAGATACATATATGATTCAAAGAAGGCTAAGCAAAGTCTTTCAGCTAAGTCAGGATTCTCAATAATTCCTTAATTTCTTTTTTTATTATTTTTTAGCGTTATTTTAGTTCATAGAACTAGATTAACACTGATTGTTTATTTTTTGTATAAATAAATGCATTATTTTAGTTGTTTTGCATATGTAATTCGATTTTTGCGATATTTATTTACAATTACAATGCAATCTGCATGTAATCATCTATCAGATCAATAATACATGTTAACACTCTTACCATTGAACTATACGATTGATCACATTTTTAACTTTGAAGACAGAATAATTTTTTTGCGAACATCAAATATTTGACGTTCAACACCGTATTCCATATTAATTGCAGCAATGCCTTTATGTATTGGTATTTTGTCAACCAATCAGAGATCGTCATTTGCTCAGAAACTGTTCGCGAATGAAAAATCATAATTAAATGTTTTCGTCCAGCGAATTTTGTTCTAAATCATCTCATTAACATTTTTGCTCGGACTTAATCCAAAATTTTATAAGAATAACGATACATGTGCTCTCAATTTGCTTACATCACTTTACAAAAGTAGCCGTTTTCTAATTCGGATGTCAGCTGAAGGAGATGCTCAAGTAGTTGTCCCAGAGGAAAACAAGGAAGGAGAAAATGCTCCACAAGAGCCAAAAGAATTAAATTGCAAAGTCGTTTTACTCGGCGATGTCGGCGTTGGAAAAACATCACTTGCTCTTTATTATAAGAATGGAGCTGCTCCTAATGGCGAACTTCCAATCATCTCACCAAACTATCAGAAAGATGTTAAGCTTGAAGATAAGAATGCAATCGTTCATATTGTTGTTTGGGATTCAGCATGCGGCGATGATGATAAAGAGATCCGCGTAAAATCATATGCTAATACAGATGTATTTTTACTCTGTATGAATCTCAAAAATGCAGAATCATGCAAGAATTTGATAAAAACATGGTCGGTAGAAGTATTTGCCCATGACAAAAAAGCAAATATTGTTATATGTGGCACACAACTTGATTCGATGAACATCGATCCCAATCAAATCCAAGCTATAACTAAGAATATTCCACATAACTTTTATATCGAGACATCATCACGCAGTGGTGTTGGCATTGAAGAATTGTTCAAGGTTATCGCAGAAATTAAAGCAGATCCAGAATCTCATCCAATTCACACCACAGAAGATGCTCCAACCAATAAGGAAAAGAAATCAGAGTGCTGCTTGCTGATTTAAATATAAATAACTGTTTATAGATTGATAAAATGCTATAGAATTTTTTGATGAAAAATATTTTGTTCTTTATGTGCCATCATGCAAATGCAATCAGTTTTTGATACCATAAGATGCGCTAATGACTCAAGGTTAATGATATTTTTTCAATATTTATTTTATTACATTTTAAATTTTTCGACTGTAGATACCAAAATTAACAGAATTGTTGATTTTGCAAAATGCACAGTTCAAATAGAAAATAAAATCAAGATGTAAAACATCAGCTAAAATTTCGAATCTCGCGCAACGTCGATTCAGCAAACGATACAACTGAAATACGATATGGAATAAAAGCAGAATTCGTATTCAAGCTCTCAACCATAATTTTTTCAGAAATCATCTCATTGTAACAAACCGCTCATTTGAGATGGAGTTCGTATATAACTCGAATGCACCTTGTGAGTTTGAAGGCTGGCTCGAAAAAGCTAATATTGGTATATTAGAACGTTGGCAGAGGAGATATTTCCGTATTCAAGGCAGGTGTATTTACTATTTCAAAAAAGAATCCGGTCCAGATCCACCAAATGGCAATATTCCCCTCGTTGATATAAAGGTTACAGATATTGCTCCAAGAAAAGGCCACAATTTTTGTTTCTCCATTAATATTCAGAAGAAATCAATTTCAAAGCGCGCGGAATATTTCATTGCTGCCGAAAACGATGCCACAAGAAAGAAATGGACTGAAAACATCATGAAGAACAGATCCATTTCAATTGTTGGCGAACCCTTCCAACTCTCAACAGTCGTTTCTCCAAGTGACTTAAACATCCACCAGACACTCCCTTACTTCTTCATCCCAATTATCCCTATTCTTGATTCCCAAGCATATAAACTCCGTAATATCTGGACAGTTGAAGTTCCAAATGAAATTGTTCAGAAAGGTCTTGCGACACTTGATTTTAACTACCCGCTTCATACAGAAGATATCCACAACGTTGTCGCTATTATACTCGCTTATCTCAGAGAACTTCCTGATGGACTTCTTCCGTCCGAATACTTCAACAAATTTGCTTCGAAAGTTACCCCTGAAGACCTCAAGGAATTAGTTCGCAATTCACCTGCTCCAGTTCGTCAGTTTTTGCATGATCTCGGTTTACATTTCAAGAAAGTTCTCGATAACACTTCCACAAATGGAGTCACTCTCTACGTACTTATCCCAATTCTCGGACCAATTCTCATCCGTCCGCCAAAGGGAAATTCAATGGTTTCTTCTCAAGTTAGATCTGTACAGGAAAACGTCGCTCAATGCTTCTTACAGAACGCTACAAAGATTCTCGATGATGTACACCAGTTCCTCGACGCTACACGCCTTCCAGTTATTAAGAGAGCTCGCGTTATCGAATCTATTTCACAGAAATCAGACGAATACCTCGAAGCCTCTCGTGGCCTTCTCATCCACGTCGTACACGAAGATAACTACGGCTGGTGCACAGTCTATACATCCAACCGCAGAGTCGGCTTGATGCATAGCTCCAATATGAAGCCACTCTCCAAGGAAGACGAAGAGGAACTTAACGATGGACTCAATATCGATGCTCTCATGGATGTTGTCAGAGAACATTTACCACAATTCATGTCTATCTTCGATGGCATGACCGATGAGGTTGCAAGGCTTAGAGATGCATTTGAGGCATCAAAGTCCGGATAATACATAATAAATAAACAAAGTGCGTATTTTTTTTTAATTTCAATTTTATTTTTTTTTAAATTCAACATAATTAATGGGTAACTTAGATCATCTCTAATCTTAAAATCATTATCTAATGCAACCAGGTTCGCCTTGATCTGAAATTTTTTTCTCAAAAGGTAACTAAACTCCTTTCGCCGATCCGATTTGCCCCATATTTAAAATATAGCTTGCATATGTAGAAGGAAAGCTAATTTTGAAGTACGCCCGAAATCCACCAACAGGATTTCGAGCTACTAAAAAGGTACTTTTAAATGTGATTTTTTTTATAAAAAATTAAATTTATTTTAAGATCAGACTAAAAACTAATTTTATGGAAAATCTATATCGACAAATTTATTACGTATTGGGTATATAGATTTTTTGATTATGGCGATTATGTCTGATATGCTTCCAATAAGCCAAAACAGTGTTTTTGGAGTGATTAAATACAAAAAAATCTGGCGATGCTTTACGTGGCAAATGGTCGAATGGTTATTACCCCTTACTATTGGGTACCGTGGACGCTAGTTCGAAACTGACGCACTATATTTTTTTACAAAATGCGTTTATTAGGACAGGGTAAAGAAAGGTTGCCAATATAATATATTTAAATAAATACAACTAATCTAGCATAAAAAAACTATTGAATATTTGAATTCAATAAAAATTTATATAAAATACATGTAAAGCATAAATTACTATATAAATCAAGCTGTATTTTGTTTTAAACACCGATTGTTTCATATAATATATATTCAACTCAAGTTTCTAATTAAGGATTTCATATAAAATTTAGCATATGATCAGCAACAATTAAAATTAGTATTACAATTAATAAATTTAGTATAAAAACATATAGATTTAGTATGGATTTTATAGCTGTAATAAAAGAACTATTATAAAAGAGTAATTTACTGAAATGCACCTTATATTTATAAACAAAACTTATAACGTGTTAGTTACATATAGAGTTGAAATTCATAGATAGCATAGAGAAGTTGGGATCTTGGCTTAATGGTCATAATATAACCAAATTAATTCAAAATTTGAAATTTTAATATTACTGTAACTATAATATATGGATATGTTTTATGAGATCATAATAAATGACATGTTAATGTAAAATTTAGAATAAAAAATTATATTTTTTTTAAAAAAACATTGTTCATGAGTGTTAATTGGAGAAGTAGTAAATTAGTTCAGTTTGCAAGTGATGAAAAAAAAAAAAAAAAAAAAAAGGTAGTGGGGCTTCCAGGGGCTGCGCCCCTTCTAGCCCCGAAGATGTTTAGTATAAATGAAGTTTTTATTCGGAAAATTGTTAGTCTTCTGGTGTGAATTCGGAGGACTCTTCTTCTTCCTCCTCCTCTTCTTCCTCTTCTTCGTCATCGTCGGCGTAGTGGAGGAGGACGTAGTTCATCCAAATTCTGTATGGACGTCCTGATTTGGATTTAAATGAGATGGACATATTTTGTGTGAGTGTTATTTCAGTTTCGATAAAGAGTTGGTGTGCTGGTTTGAATATATGTTCGACGTAGGAGAATTTGTGCAACTCATCTTCTCCCAATTCTGTATTGATACAGACTTCGATGAAGTCACCACTGAGAATGTCTTCACCTGTGGGCATATCCACAACAATTAAATGAACGACACAATAGTTGTGAAATTCATTAGTAGGAAATACTGTTGCAGGCGTATTATATGAGGGGAAAAATGTTTTTTCTTCCCCAAATTCATCTGCTACTTCATCTTCATCGTATCCGTTGTTAAAAGCTTTAAATTCATGTACAATTTGAGCAAATTGTTGACGGAGATTTGGTGGCATACGTAAGCAAGCTTGTAACAATGTCCTACCTTCCACACACTCAGCAAATATGGGAAGGTAGGAACATATAATGTCCGTCAATTGGTCCTGGTTGGGGACCAATTGACAGAGTTTTGTGTATGCCGTTATTGTTTCTTTAACGGTATTTGTGTAGATACGGTTATATGGAGTATTTCCCTGGTTGTTAAGGGAAAAATACTCATCCGATTGTAATTTCAATCTTGACCTCAACTCTTTGTTCGGTATTCTTTGGTCTATTCTTAGAGCTGTATTTGTTCGTGCGGGCTGTGGTTTTAAAACATTCGTGTCAAGTTTTAATTGCTTCGAATTGGATGTCGATTTGAATTGGGAGTCTTTTGAGTTCTCCTGAGCTTGGTTCTGTATTAAAGACTGAATAGCAGTGTCAGCTTCTTGTTTTTCGAGATAGTATTCTATTGAATTGGGCTTCACTGTTCGAGACGCGTACATTAGACAAAAATGAACTGTTTTTTTCAAATCAAGAAAAGTTTGAGATAAACCGTTTTCGTCAACGGAACCCCCTCTATTTTTTATTTTATTTAATAGTTACCGTTGGAAAACCGTTCCATCTCAAATATTGAATGAACTATAAACGTTTTTTGTTTTCTATATATACTTTTTTGTCCAACGGTAAAACTTTTTACACAACGGTTTTTGAGAGTCGTCGCTGTTGACTTTTTTGTAGAGCACTCAAAATAGTATAACTTTGTCCGGACAAGTAAGGGTCTATCGTCGCTACAGGAAAAGTTACAGGCGTTCCAAGGAAGTATACTTTGAGAAGACTTTCCCCCTTATAGAATGAGATAGGACGGTTATTTTACAAAACTGACAACACTTTGACCGAGTAGTTTTTTGTGCTGAACAAAAAGTGTCATATAAACATCTGTCAAAAACCGCTTTTTAACTTCACTTAAAATGCCACGTAAGCTACGTAAGAATATACGTAAGAGGAAGAGAGCATTGAAACATCCAATAGTAAAACTGACACCACAACAACAGTTGCAACAACAAATGATGAATGACCCCACTATGTTGCAACAAATGTCAAGCAACCCTATGCTTTTAAACCGAGTTATTGGTGCACAGAGTGGAGGTTTAAGAGCGGCACTTTTAGCGAAAATGGCAGGCTATGGTGGAGCTGCAGACGGAACAGCTTATAACCCTCAAAGTCAAATGAATTTGAGTTCACTCAAAAATCAAATAACAGATGTCAAAAAGTCAAACATAGACATACAGAAACAAATAAGTGAAAACGAAAAGAAACTAGAATATGACAGACACACAAAGAAACTCAATGAGTTAAACGTAGAGAAAAAGAAGAAAGAAGAACAACTGAAAGAACTAAGTACAGAGGAATATGCGAAAAAAGTGTCAGAAAAAGCAGCAGAAGTAGCAAAAATGGAACAAGATGTCATAAATTTGAAAAACCATACTACTCAATATAAAGTACTGAAAGATGAAGAAATAAAACAAAAAGCCCTGAAGACATATATGGATAGCGATGAGTATAAAAAAGAAGTTGAAGCAAATGTAAAGGCAGAAAAACTTTTACAGTTGCAAAACCAAACCGTACAGTATGAAAACTTAGCACAAGAAAGTAAAAATAACGACGCAGCCATGCAAAAGGCAATGAAAAGCGCAGAATATATAAAAGCTAATAATGACTGGTTAGATGCCCAAGCCAACGCTAAAGCAGCCCAACTTATAGGGTCAATAAGGACAAAAATACAAGCGGATGAAGACAGTTCAAATGAAGCTTTAATGAATGCTGACTTTAAGAACGCCTTCGAAGCTCTTCATAGTAAGGTGAAACTAGTGAACGACTTCTCATCTGGAAAGAAACTGAAGTCTGAAGGTTTCGACAACGAGTTAAGAGAAGTAGCACAAAATATGACGAAAATAACAGATGCAGCAACGAGACAGGCAGTTCAAAGTGCCTATGACGCCGTTAGAGCAACTGTGGAAAGTCAAGAAAAAGAGTTACAACAGACCAAAACAGACCTAGTAAATGCTTTCTTAAGAACGAAAAGTCAGGTAGGACATTATGCTGCAGATGGAACATATGTGCCAGCTGGTGGAACTTATATACCACCAAACCCTCCAAGAGAAGCACCTGCACCAGGACTACCTAAAACATTTACATCGTCACATGGACACAGACACAGGCATGCACCAAAACCAACACAAAACCACACAGCAACAACAGTTCAAAATCCAGCACCACAACCAACAGTTCAAAACACTGCACCACAACCAACAGTTCAAAACACTGCACCACAACCAACAGTTCAAAACACTGCACCACAACCACTCAAACCAGCACAGCAACAACCACAAACAGAGCAAGGACATAAAAGAAGTAGAGAACAAGGAAACCAAGAATTCTTAAAAATGCTTAAGGAAAATTATGGTTACCCAGATACTCTTGACTTTAGTGACAGATATAAAGAAGCTATTAGAAAGTTCAAGGAAGGAAATACTGACCCGAACCTATTTAGCTTTATGGTTCAGCACCAAATGGGATATAATTTCAAACCTGGAAAATACAAGCTCGCTAAGGGATATGATTTAATAGCATATCATCCAAATGACATGACTGAATTTACTCCGAGATATTTGGTGTCAGAGATAAATGATAATTCAACTATCTTCATGAAACGCGTAAAAAATAGAGACGGAACGAAAGAAGAAAGGTTATGAATGCGGATGCTTAATAGGGAACTTGTTAAAAACGGTCTCGGAATATATGAAATGCCAGCAGATGAGGTACAAGAAACTCCACAGGAAGAAGTTCAGATACAACCAGACATGGAAGAAATAGTTCAGCAACAACAGCTAGAAGAGCCTGAAGGAAACGAACAAGTCCCTCCTTTGGAAACTAACTTCACAGAACTAGATGAAGATTTGGAACAGCCGAAAAATCTTGACCCTCAACAAGAGTATGCGGGAATATGGAATCTTTCCAAGAGTCTAAGAAAAATTCGGCTGACATAGTAGAAGAATATCGAAAAATGTTCGCCGACATACAAAAGACTCCAACATCAGATGAAAATATCCAGCATAGAATGGAAGAACTGAAAGAAATGTACACAAATACAACAATCCTTTTTACTTACGAGCATATAACGTTCAATCTTTG